GGTGTTATGTAAGACGGTCCTCTACGGTTATCAGTGGTACTAATGAATAATCATATTCCGTCTTTGCGTATTGCAGAGTTATCTGCTCTTGTGAGCAGGTATTGATTGTTACGTCATTTGTTTGTGAGAGTAACGTCATCAATTTTTGAGAAAACGACGTAATTTTCTCACACAAACCTATGACGGAACAATCAATACCTGCTAACAAGAGAAGATAACTCTACAATACGCAAAGACGGAATATGCAATTATTGAAATCATTTTTATGTATCTACATATGGCGAAAAATGAAAAAAGAAATTGAAGTGGGGCCGAATGTTGACCCAACCTTTACCATTATTTAAAGAGAGCATAAAAACGTTTGGTAGCCGAGTGCCTATTGGATTATAAACTGGGTGAACTGTACAACAATCTGATTAAAATCATATGTTACATGGCTTCGTTAACTTCGTACTACGCCTGAACGTTCAGGCGGAGCCATGTAACAGATGATTTTAATCAGATTGACTGTACAATAGAATACAAAAAAATAAATTTGAAACAAAATGCATTGTTATCGTAAGAGACATATATCTTTCTTCAACACGTGCAGGTTCTAACGAAATTAAGAATAAATCCGGAAACCAGACTGTAAGACCTTGTTTGCACAAACGAGGACAAGATGGTTGTCATTCATAATCTCTTAAGTACCAAAGACCAAAGTGTTCGTTGATGAATCGCCTCCGAGTTTATATTTAGACACATCAAACAAAGAAGGGAATTCGAGACATAAATCCCCATTAGATGTTGAAATAGAAGAACTAATCAGTTAGGAAAAATACGAGTGTTAGGACAGATTCGTGGGTACTATAAGGATGGCAATACTACGCAGAGTATGTCAGACAAGAAACAAATTAAAGAAAATGACAAGAAAAACTAAAACTCAACTTGAACTTAGTATCGCAAAGGATTTGAATACCAACCCGTAGAAATTTTGGAAATACGTCAATTTCAAAACAAAAATTTGAGAAAAGGAACATCAACTACATTTACAGGATAAACTACCAAATGGTGTGTGGTGCTAAATGCGAAAGTGAAAAGGCAAACGTTTTGACCGACTTTTCAACAGTATATTTTACAAGAGAGCCAGCTGCCGGGGATCCCCGGATACAGCGCAACTTCCAGTTTGTCAATAGGGAAATCATCCCTGATCCCAGAGATTACGCGTTTTCCCTGAGATCAAGGATGTAAGGGAGTTAGCGTAAATCATTGATGAAGGAGGTGGTATCGAAATAGTCTCAGTGAAGGCCTTTAACACTGTTCCATGCAGAATGTTGATCAGCAAACTGAAATCATATGGATTGCCAGTAGAAATTGTAAGCTGGATGAAAAAACAAAATCTTTTTGGCTAAAATACAAGTCACCGTTAATGGTCATACCAAATCACAAACGGAACGCCACAGGGATTTCCTTCATTTTCGCCTAGCTGCTGCTGACATCAACCTTCGGTAAAAATGCCACCACCAGTAATGGTATATATGAGACAGACAATATTACCGAAAGTTGAAGTAAACCCCTAAAACATATAAATCACTCCAACGTGTAGGTCCAAATATAGCTGTAACAAATTACCAGGGACGTTTTCGTTTAAACAGTCAAACCGGTCGGACCACAGTTGTTCGTTTATTGAATAAGGTCGGACCTAGTAATCTGATGCTGCTTTCATGCAAGCCTTGACAAAGTCTTGCAAGCCCTGTATAAACATTTGTAGGTCCGCCAGGTTTTATACCCGAAATTGTTACATTTATAAACGGTCAAACCGGTTGTTCCGCATAAACGAACAGGCCCTGGTCCCTGTGGTTCTAGCCGGAAGAAGAAACGGAAGAAAAGATGTTAATATTTTTGTCGACAACAAATAGAATTTTAAAAATTAGATATAAACCAGCGTTGGAAAACAAAGCTCAGAGTTAAGTTAACCAGTGGTTAGGGGCAGTTTCGAAAAGGAATACAACAACCCCTACAACCTCTGATATAAGTTCAATACTTAAAGATGGAGATCAACATTCGGCCCCAACTTAAATATCTTTCATTGTTTCGCCATATGTAGATACATGAAAATGAACAGTTTAATACTGCATATACGATTATTCATAATGACTATTGATAACTGTAGAGGACCTCCTTGCATAACACCAGGTCGAGTGACGGGGGTATCCTAACAAAATGACAGATACATGTCACAGCCGCAAATATATTTTGAAAATTAATTAGGATAGCGTATACAATTACTGTTTTTATGTTAAATATGTCATATTGATATACAAGAAGTAAGCGAAAGGATACTTTTAATTTGAAAAAAAAAACATGCATATCAAAACCAGTTTAATACTTTTTTAACATGCCAAACATGACCAATGCGCAACTTCATGTAACCATTAAGATTTGATTATCAATGTTTACTATGGCAAATACCGTTACATTTTCTGTTTTTTTTTTATCATACTTAAACACTTCATTATTTACGCATGTTTTTAAGTTGTGTGCAGCAGTAAAAACTCATAAATATATGTTCCTGCAAAAGTAATATTTCCTCTAAAAACTAGTTTTAGGTCGAGATTGTGTTATGCAGATATGTAAACCAATAAGATAATCTTAGAAACTAAACTAATATATGCGCGATTATTATTTGTCTTTTCCCATTCACTGAACAAAACATGAAGGAATATTACATTATTTTACAGTTTTAACTCTAAACAAGTAAAGCTTGGAAAGATATCCTTGTCTGCCTCCCCATACACTTTTTTATTTTAACACATTTGATTCTTGTGACCTTGAACGAAGGTCAAGGTCACCAATGTTTACCAAATGAATTCCCATTCACATGAACAACCTACTTGCCAAATATTAAGACACAGGAACTTTATTGTTATGAAGAAACACAATGTAAAGGAAAATGGAAAGAAAGCTATATTTTTCTTTTCTTAAATCAAAGGTGTTATATGACAAATTTACCGGTTGTCAATTTTTTGGAACTCCTCATGGTAGCCAACTTTTAAGCAAGTATGAAAAATAAAATCGTTTTAGAACTATGCACATTAACGCGTCCAAAATGAGAATTCTCTCATTAGTAATGAAATTTACATACTTGTAATTTACATACATCATTAAAAAAAACATCTTTCTTGAAATACTGTAATATTTTGTATCAACTCAAAATAGTTGCACATGATGATGATACAACGTTATAGTAATTGTGTCAGTTAAATGATCTAGGAGAAATTGTATTACCGCACCTTTAACACCCACACAGGTGTAAGTCAATGAGGTCCCATTTGACATGAAATGAATTCTGAAGCTAACTATTCCTGATTTAAGCTTCCTATACCCATACATTATCGTATTTATCTTGTTTTGAAATCCCGACGCTAATGTTTAATCTCCATGGGCATACGTTGACCCTACATTTGTTTAAACAGATTAGGTTGTTAAGTTTTGAGGATTTATTTGGCGTAGTAAAACCTTTTTTGTTTACAAGCGACAATTCAATTTTTTTCACTAATCAAAGGTTGAAGTTAACAAAACAGTTGAGCAAGTAAGGTATAACATTTAAACATTTTGATAATCAATCAGTGTGCCAACTGTGAAGTTTTAGTTCGACCGCGCGCCCCTAAAGTGTGGAAGAGGATATTGACATAACGCCAGTGGAGGGCTTACTAAAATACTGCCAGGAATGCAGAATTTTCCTTACGAGGAAAGATTACCCTTAGTTTACAGACGTTATAGGGAAGACATGGAGAATTAACAAATAAACAAAATTACAAGAAATTAATTAACAAAGAAACGAATTAACAAAGAAACGAATTAACAAAATAAAACGGAATAGCAAAAAATAAGAAACGAAGTAGAAATGATTGACAACACAAAAAGGTCTCCACGACATAAGAATTTTCTTGTGATAAGCTAGCGTCATAAGGACACTTGATGACAAGCCAACACTCATCGCCAAGTGGTAATATATATATATGTATATTACTTACATTAAGTATTCCCCGTCCAGGATGTATATATGTATAAAATACGCACACTACTTCACGTGTGTGGATAAAATGTTTCCTCGCTGAACGGTCCTCATTGTCTTTACTACTCCATAGCCAGTTTTAACATGTAATCTTCTTTGTCTTAATATCATCAGAGTTAATAGATTACATTCATTATTGTGTATTTATTCCGCAGTTTTAATATGCTAATTAATATGTAAATATATACGTCTATGTCAATGCACAATTTTAATGTGGAACTCGAATGCCCCGCAAACCTGTCTGGGTTTTTTCTACGTAATTAGTTATAAATAATTTACAGTTGGAACAATATAAATTGTAAATGATGCATTGTTGTGGTGTTTGTTTTTTCCCGTTTTACGTCCTCAAAACAACTCGGGACTAACAAGAACTGCGGTTAAGCATGCTTAACTACGGTCGCCTTTCAGGTAAGTTTTGGTATGTGTAAATAAATAATGACTCATTATTATATTATGAAATATTTCCAGTGCGGTGTTTACTTTCTTATATATGAGTAAGTGCGGCATAGGTCAATATCAGAGTTTAACCGAAAATGTAGATTAGGAAAGAATAATACAGAAAATAAACATCAATGAATAAACTGTGTACTTGATTATACATGTGTAGTCATTCAACATACTCTCTGTCTTTGTTAATGACTATATCTATCTGTCTGTCTTCCTCTTTCATTTTCTCTCACTCTCTCTATTTCGTTATCTACTTCCCTTCGCAATCAAATATCGCTTGTCCCCTCCCCTTCCCTCTACTCATATATCGATTCCCTTGCCCCCTCCCCCATCAGTCCCCTGCCCCCACCCATTCCCTCTACTCATATGTCGATTCCCTTGTCCCGCTCACCCATCAGTCCCTTCCATGCCCCATGCCACTCCCCCTCCCCACCTAGTCCCCCTGCCCCCTGCCCCTGCCCTCCCCGACCAGTCCCGTCCCCTGCCCCCTCCTTACCTTGTATTGGAAATAAAACGAGTATAAACCACATCGCCTCCTGTCCGCACCCCATCGTCTCTGCTATACAGCCGGAAGTGTTGTACACATCTTATAAACTTTAATAGAGTGGTCATCAGAGCTGTGACGATAACTAAATATTGTAGGACCCAAAACTTCCGGCCACTACTACTTAACACTTCCTTGTTTTCAAATAGCCACGTCAACTAATTCTTAGTCGTGCGTACACGTTAAAAGCTAGTGTTATTGGGCGGATTGGTGGAGTGGTTAACACTCCGGCCATCCATGCATTCGGCCGGGGTTCGATACCCGAAGTCGTCGTGCGCATGAAAGTTTTTTCTCCAACCCACACAACTCCAACCACTGAGGTGGAGTATAAAATGGTCTGGGTGGATGTTGCGATAACACAATGTAGTTAAGGGGAGATATAACTGTATACAGGAAAAAAACCCAGTGCAGTATCGTAGCTCTTACATACGTCCTTAGTAAAATGAAATCGAAAGCAATTGATGACAAAGATTTAAATGTATTTTTATTTTATTTTTTCATTTTGTCAAAGATATGTTACAAAGCATATGAACACACACGCACCACTCACCCACGCTTACACACATCAATCATCGTCATCATCATAATCAATCATCATCATCATGAAAATCATCATTACCACCACCAACACCACCGCCATCATACAGTGGGGGGNGACATGGTATTACGCATGTGCACGTATAAACTGTTTTAAGGTCAAAGTTCACCAGTCCGACAATCAACATCCTTCCTGTAGAAATTATCCACGTTACGTAATATACCGTATTTCTTCACGTGTTTACGCTTATATCATTCTTATCACGGAATTAGTTTAGATTAGACTGCTATCTAAGGCCGGGTTCTAGTAGAATATACAATGCGTGATTTTGCAGTAGTAATTAAGTAATGTACAATTAATTAGTTTTAATTTGTTTATTCATCTATCTATCTATCTACCAATCTATCATATATAAGTAACTTATCAAAATTGTTTATCTGTTTGTTTATTTATAAATTTAGATAGTTTTTAAATTCGTTCTCTTATAAACTTACTTATATTTGTTTATTTAGGCCTTTTGGTAATCTATACATGTATTTATTGATAATGATTTACTTGTTTGTTTATTTATAGATTTATTTATATATTTTAACTGAGGAAATAACACATGTTGTTTACGGTGATTTCATTTACATACAGTTCATAATATCAAAGAAAGTAATAAACTAACGTCTAGTATAGCAGAGTTCCCACAATGAGGTCCCGTGACTATTTTCCCGGGACCAAGGTTTGAGAGTTGATTTAAGTCAATTTGAGAGTGCTGATTAAAATGAACTGGGGTGAATCTCTTGAAAATGTGGACTACATGTAACTCGGCCAGACGCAAAATTCAAAATGGCCGCCACCCGGCGTCCGGTATATCAAATACATATCTTTGCTTCTAGATGTATGGTATATCCTTTTTTAGTCTAAATATATGTTTCAAGGGTCATGGATGTAATTTATTAGTATAATAACTTGATAAAAGTAAGCGTTAGAACGAAAAATGGTCTTTTATTATCTTGCTACTAAAAAACAAGGATAATCGCCAGCTTGCTGCAAAGGAAAAAGACCAGGAAGACACTCTTAATGGTTTAAATACAAAGGTTTCGTCTTTACCCAGTGTTAATAAGATAAAACAAAGTTTGAATGAACTGTCTGGTCAACGATTTTGTTTATTTTGGGTTTATTGTAATAATATGACTGGTTTGGTTTGGTTTGATTTTAATTTGTTTAACGTCCTATTAATAGCTAAGGTCATTTAAGGACGTGCCTTCATGTGTGTTGTGTAAGCGTGCATATGTGTATGTGTGCCGGAGACAGGGTATGTTGGTGTACTTGTCTCCCTGTGATAGCGCGGATCTGATGCCGACTTTAAAGTGCTATTTCATCGAAATACCATGCCGTAGGCACCCAGCACAGCATTCCGTCCGGTCACATTATACTGACAACGGGTGAACCAGTTGTTGCCATTCCCCTAAATGCTGAAAGTTAAGCAGGGAATAACAACTACCATTTTTAAGTCTTTCGTATGTCCCGGCCTGGGGATGGAACCCATTGCCTTCCTCACCTGGGCGAACGTTCAACGTTAAAAGCAAAAGTGATGCCAAGCAAGGCGCAAGGAAATAAAAGTAATTAGAGGTAGAAAGAAATATAATACAAATCCCAAATATTGCAATGGGTACAACAGATTTATTTTAGCCGCTTTTATGTCCCCAAATAGAGGACACAAAAAAGAATCCCCAGTGGCTCATATTTCTAGGGATTACCACAAACAGCAAGTAGTTTAAAAAGAAAGAAGACAGGAAAGAAACGAAAAAGATCTGAAGTGTTGTAAAGGAAGAAGCGCATCTATTTCGGTCTCTTCCATATCACCTTCGTAGAAGACACGGACGAAACCGCCCAATTCTGCAGGGGCTCCCACATTAGTCGCCTCTTATGGTCATGCATTGGGATTCAGCAGACCTATTCTTTCCCCGAACCTGCACAGGTTGTCTGGTCAATGGAACATATGTCTGGTCAGTGGAACATGTATACTCTCAGTCACCATCTTCCTCCTTTTCGTGAGTCACTACATGTAACTTTGTCATCATTACTTTTATCATCATCGTACGCTCATGAGTCATGTTTATCCAAGTCATCCTAACTTATTATTGGACAGGTATCAACCTTAGCGATTGGTTAGTTACGTTTTACTTTGAGACCAATCAAATAGGTAGTCGCATGCCTTCAATTTTGCTATGACATATTCCAGGGGTGCAGAGAGCGAAAGCGAACTTTACCACTGGTGTAATAGGACGAGGAAAAGTGATAAAGATAGTGCCGTCGCTGGGGCTCGAGCCCGCGACCCTTGGCTCTCCAGCCCGATGTTCTACCGCTAAGCTAAAGGGAAATTCCCTACAGCTGATGCTTGTAAGGCAACCTAATTAATCCACATCTTTTACACTGGTGTATAGAGAATGTGAATTCCATGGACAACAAACAAACAAAACCCAAATGTCGCTTGTGAATTACATAAGCCGATTTAAGCTAAGAATAAATAAAGAAATCTCAGGATGTCCCGAACACAAAATTAAATGTAATCGGTAATAAAATCTTTAGTTGTCCCTTATTTTTTTCCACATGGACCTGCAAATCCCGCCCCGCACGTCGTGCATTGGTATACCATGTATGTTTATTTTTATACCATGATATGGAGTGTCATTGTTACAGCTATATTTGGACCTAAAGTAATGTATTCAGAGTAATTTTACATGGTTTCCCTAAACCATGAAAAATTACTCTGAATACCTTACTTTAGGTCCAAATTTAGCTGTAACAAATGCTCAGGTCCCTGTGATTCAGGCCATAATATATTGATCAGCAGAGCGCGAAATTAAGCATAATCCGTGGAGTATCCAGGATCTTGTTCCTGTTGAAATGTGAAATGTAATTAATACTTTTATAAGAATTTGTGGTGTTGATAAAGGTTTTTGTTTGAAAATATGACTATATACACTGCCCCCACCCCTAAAATCTCACTGCTTAGATAATACATGATAAAATTTCATGGAAAAAAGAGCGCCAGTCTATAGATCGAAGGGTCCCTGGTTCGAGTCCAGGTCTGGTTACAGCATTTGTATTCTACTATCTATATACATATATTTGTTCCATTTTCAGAAATCCTGCCTATGGTCATTGATATCATCCTCGATATCCAGGGATTACGCTCACTTTCGCTCTCAACACCCCTATGTCAAAGAAAAAGTGAAGGCCCAGTGTGCGCCACCTTGTTGATGAGACAAACATCAAAAGAATCTCGCGGTCACGTAACGGTAAAAATTGACAGGCTTTGTAGTCGGGCGTCTCTCCTTTGTAATCTTCAAAGGACAGGTATCAGCGATCGTTTTTTTTTTACCTGAGGCCAATCAAACAGCTATCTTCGGGCCTTCAATTTCGCTATGACATATTCCAGGGGTGCAGAGAGCGAAAGTGAGCTTAACCCCTGAATATCGAGGATGCATTTATGTGTGCTTTTTGTCATATTGATTGCAAAAGAAAAAATGTCTATAATGTTGTTTGTAATGCATAAACATCTTCCAGATGTCATTATATATATATATTTCAGTTTGAGTAACAGAAATTGTGTCCATATGTAAATCATATCTACATGAACAGACAGGTAATGGTGTTAATGTACATTGTTCTTTTTTTATTTTCTCTCTTCCCTAGCTGCTTTTTCTTTAAACGGTGTGCCCTAATTATTTGGCGCACGAACTCACATAACACTGCCTGTTGGAGGGCTTTTAAACCCCGTACAAACACATACACGCCTCCTTTGTGTCCAAGTTTCGTTTACTTAGCTACGTGATATTGAGAATGTTTTTAAGTTTCCGTCGTATGTTTGCACTTCAGCTATTCTACAGATAGGCTATTGTGATATATAATTTGTCACTATATAGATTTTTATAGTGACGGTGCTAATTTAATTACACTACTTTTCAAAACGTCAGCAAACAAACAAAAATATGTTTCAAGTCTTTGTATTAGTAGTTTGAATCCCATATTATTCATTGAGAATGATTTATTTTCTTGCAAAGTAAACAAAAAGTACGCCGTGTGAAAGATTGTGATACGTGTAGTTTCAATGTATTGAACCACAGTGCAGGGAACTGATAATTTGTTACAGCTATATTTGGACCTAAACTAAGGGTACATTCGCGTATCCGGTTGAAACGGTTGAACCTGTAAAAAATCCGACAGGTACAGATCTGGACCGAGGCTGACCTCAGGAAAATTTGGTACGTGTAGATTGAAGGGTCCAGACCAGGGATGTGTAGTGGAAGGGATGTGTAGTCCACTACACATCCCTGGTCCAGACGTACCTGACCGAAACTAAAATGCTGACTATTGCCAGTTTGCGTTATTCCTTTCTAAAACAATGTCAAGCCACATGTAGTTTTTAAGATACGTTATGTAATTTAGTGGACGGATGAAAGAAGGGCATATATATATATTATGCTTGATACAATGTTTTTTATTCTCCGAAACTGTGCATTTTTAGCTCTGCTTATAGAACGGTGAAAGTGCGTTCGTTTATCGTGGATAATTTCTGCGGCACACGTACCGTTTCAACCGGGATACGCGAATGTAGCCTTAGGCGTTCACAGTAATTTTACATGTTTTAGTGGTTTCCTGTTAACAAGATACCCCCAATGATCATATACTCGAACATGTCATCATGGGTGTCTTTTTAACGAAATTCGATCTAATCCCCTAAAACAGTTTAGGTCCAAATATAGCTGTAACCAGAGACGTATATATTACTATATATATATACGTCTCTTCTGTAACAAATTATCAGGTCCCTGTGTATTGAACCCGAACGAGGCTTTATGTGTCTCTGATTGAACCTATAAGGATCGACGTTCACTTTGGAAAATGCTTAGCAGACTCATAATTTAAATAAGTGTTATATAAAGTAATTACATTTGGTAAGAAAATGTTATAGATTTGTCTTTTAAAGTATGATCGGAGCCTCCAATGATTAAAGAATTCAATATGTTCTAAAAATACACCAGCTTTCTGTTTCATTATTTTTTAACCTGATAAACCTAGACGTATATATATGTAGCAAAGCTAATGCAGAATAGAGTAAACTGCGTGTATTTTTGGCGTTATCGAACAAGTCAACACTCGCCGTAGTCTGTAAGCATGGGATGCGTCGATTGGACAGAATTATGTGGGTGTCAGCATTATTACAACACATATAGGACAAAGTACGCGTCCGTTCTGTAAACCCAATATTCTGTTGAGTTGTCAAACTCAGACTGACAAAGGTGAGTGACATGTGTAAATTGCATGCACATGCACGCTACGAGAGTAAACGTAGCGTAGTTTAGTTACGTCGATCGCAGTAACCTATTGTTTATTAATATTGTTTACATCTGTATACACCCAAACATATACAATATCGTTACCAGGACATCAGAAACTGGACCCGTATATGTTGTTAAAAATCGGAATGCTAACATAATTACTTTGATGTTGATATTCCAATATTATATATGTTTTCACTCTTTTTTATGTAGATACATTGAATATTAAATGCACACATTGTATACATCTATCATAATGTATACATTTGTATCCTTTTCTTGTATCTGTGTCAATAAGAGAGTTATCTGCCCTTCCTTTTCAGAAACTATTTTTGTATGACATGTGGCAGATTTTAGTTTTAATACATTATAATATATATAGGATTGCAGTCGCCTTCTAGCTTCGCGCAAGATGGATTTTCTATTTAACTCAATACGTAGAGTGCGGAATGGGCAGCTGGGGGTCGCTGGTTCGATCCCCTGTGGATGTCCCGGCCACTACTCAGTTACCTGTTAAAGACATATATATATTTATTATCTGAATTTTTTGACAGATGCCACCCAAGAGGAAAGCAGGCGGGGCGACCAAAGCTGGCGGTAAAAAGGCCAAAACCGCAGCTGCCACTGACCCCGGACCGTCCACTGTGCAGGACGCCATCGCTAGTCTCAAGTCAGCTGACGCGGGCAAAACAAAGAAGTTCAAACCAGATAGTGCCTTCCCCATCTCGGGTTGTACGGTATGTCCATATACAAATGTATATGCCATCCTTTTAAATTTCCATCAGGACTAGAAATTTATTTTGAATACAACAAGCAAATTGGGGTGGTCATTTCCTGATGTCCATGTGCACTAACCTAATATTATTAAACAGTCTTGTCCAGCTGCAGTTGTCCAGCTGCAGATTTCACTTGTTTCAGACTATTTGACTACCCTTATTGTCTAGCCCTGTTCTGTTGGGGAGATTCTGCATGTTCAAAATTAAATCATAAATAAAATGTGTATATAACATTGCCCCCTTAGACAAATCAGATTTGTTCAGATAAATTATCTTGACACACTTTCTGGGTTATTGGGTTCAAATACTTTAAATTCTAAAACAAATCATTCCGAATGACTTACACATCTAAGGTCATGACATTTGACCTTAAGGGTGCTGGTTTCAAGATCAATCAGATTTGTTTGAAATGAATGACTTTTGACCATCTTTTGAATACAATAGTAATGAAATTTTACTTGTAGCATGTCAGGGATCAAATGGCTATCACTTGTGATAAAATAAATTAATTTAACTTACTTTAAAGGTTATAGGGGGAAAATGTGTTATAAAATGTTTAACAACTTCTTTTGAAGAACCAAAAGGCCTAGGGTAATGATATTTAGATTGCAGCATGCTGGAAGGTGGAGGATCAGGTCAAATAGTTCACCTTGACCCACTTTTGAAGTCATTGTGTTCAAATGTATAAAATCATTTATACAACTCCTTCTGAATAACCAAGAAACCTGATGTGATGCTATGTAGCCAGTAGCATGCGAAGATGAAGGGCTATCAAGTTTGACCTTAACCCACTTGCAAGATCATAGTGGTCAACTTTGTTAAAATCTTTAAGCAAATTATGAATAACTATGATATCTAGAGTAATGATATTTGGCTACATGTAGGCAGTCAATTTTGTTCAAAAAAACGACCTTGACCCAATTTTAAGATTACTTTGTTCATTGTACATATTAAAATCTTTAAACAATTTCTTTAAAAAAAACTATGAGGCCTTGTGTGATGGTATATGGTCAGCAGCATGCTTTGATGAAGGTCTATCAAGTTTATTCAAGGCAACAACCTTGACCCACTTTCAAGGTCACAGAGGTTGAATGTCTTGCAACCATCATTATGCAACTTCTGAATAGCCAAGAGGTCTACATGTAATTTTATGTTATTTTGCTTGTATCTTCTGTAGAGACAGAAGGGTGGGGCCCAATATTGGGAAACAGGGCTAAACATTAATAACAGATGTACCCTGATTGACAGGTATATATTCTGATTGACAGGTGTACAAGGACTACGATTGTATGCTGAACCAGACCAATATTGGTCACAACAACAACAAGTTCTATGTGATCCAGGTCCTGCAGCAGGGATCAAATTATTATGCCTGGAACAGGTGGGGCAGGGTGGTAAGTTATTCTTATAAACAACCCTCGTTTTAACCCTTTCACCCCTATGTAACTTTGGTAGACTCTACCAAGGATTAGTCCATTATGGTCTACAGTGGTGAAAGGGTTAAGTGAAAAATGATTTCCTCTTTCCTAAAGTTACGTGTATTGTAAAAAAATATATTTTTTTATTCACAATACATATTTTTACATGCTATTTTGTGAGAGAGTTGTCTCCCCTAGGTTACATAGGCCAAACAAAAATGATATGCAGAAAGGAGTAATTTTTCTTATGGTGTGGCCTAAATAGAAATTAGGTATGCTTGGCGTTACACGATCGATCATGGAAAATCAGCCCTGCTGCTAAAAAAATAAGTAATTTCCACTGAATTTTTTTTTTATGTTAAATTCAGGTATGATATATTGTCCCCATTTAGAAATGAAAAAGTGTTTTATTGACATTTATGAATATTAGATATTTAAAGTGCTTATGGGACTCAAGGTGGTTAAACAAAATGGACACGTGGCTTCTGTTGACAGTTCAAGTTATAAGAGAGGATAAAAATTGATGGGTTTTTTTTCTTTGTCTTATAAGCAATTATTTTGACCTGCTTATCTACTAAAACCTATAATCCTTGGCTCGATTACACCGAACAGAAAAGTTTTCAATGGTGGCCGAATATTTAGTGAATAAGTGTACGGTGACGGAGAGTCAAAGCAAACATTTTTGTCTCGCAGCCACGAAGTAGTGGAATCGTGACTAAAGTTGTTGCTTTCTGGCGACGACGGCGTCAACATTAAGTTTTTACGTTTAAGTTAGTTTCACTGAAAGTATAAATGCTAGACCAACACAACATGGACCATAGATGCATCTTAGGTAGTACATCTCAACCCATGCATCAAATTCTGGTTGTGGCCTACCTTTCATGGTCCATTGACTTCTTCAACATCTAAATCAACATTCAGTTTTTGCGTTTAAGTTATTTCTTTGAAACTGTAAATGCTAGACCAACCAAACTTCACATGTGCATTGATGGTCAAAGCAGGGCAAAGGTGAGACATATCAATCCGAATGGCTTGGTATAATTACGTAGATTCAAATTATAATGTGAAAAATGGGGAACGGTCAAAACTTTCGTCATTTTCGCCCTCCTTAATGAGGGCGAATCTATCATTACAGCAAAAATTAGCAATCATAATAACATGTATAATAATGAGATATGAAGGGCAAAATTAACATTTGGTGAATATGGTTTGAGCTCATTCACCCCTGAATTTTCATAATGAACTATTCCAACCATTGAATCCGGAGAGTTCAAGTGTGTTTTTAGGGGTGAATGGGTTAAACGGCGAAATATTTGACTGGGCAAGTTTACAGTTTGTAATTATATTAAAAAATACCAACAACAGGTGAATGTGATTTTAATGATAAGGGCATTGTAGTCCAAAAATCTTGATGCCATATACTCGTCATGATCTACAGGGGGATAGCGGTCTTAATTCCATGAAGGGACCCTTCCCAGATGTAACTAAGGCTACTGCTGACTTTGAGAAGAAGTTTTCCGACAAAACCAAGAACAAGTGGGCCAACCGAGAGAACTTTGAGGCAAAGCCAGGAAAATACACTATGATAGAAATGGCAGGCGAGGATGAGGATGAGGTGGATGCTGCGGTGAGTTGCATATAAACCCAACATATATACTCACACCTGTAGACCCTCGAACCAGACACGCACACCCTTACACATATAAACACATATCTGCTGCAAAGGACACCTATATCCATTCTTCCCCACACGCAATAATACATTGGAATCTCCTTCCCATAGCAGCAGTACGATGCACAACACTCAAGGACTTCAAGGCACACTTACTCTATGCAGCCCTTGAAGCCCTCATCACACGCTAGTACATATGTGAGTCAGCTTTTAACATTTTATGTTAAAACCTGCACACAAAAAAAAACACTTATCTAATCACTATTCTTTATTGTTCTAGTCACATGACCTTTCTTGTCATTGTACCATATTTGCAAACATCATGTAACTGTGCTCTGAAGACGGCCTCCCTTTGGCCGAAACATGTCAGCACGAAGGATATAAATCAAACATTACATTTTGTACCGGATTCAGTGGTGTTGTTGCTCATCATTTCTATTTTCATTTTATCTCATCACTGTCAATAATCCTGTTTTTCACGCCTCTGCACAGGTTCCAAAAAGCATAAATAGGGGGGTGGGCTAGTTACAGGACAACACATCATCTCTGACTGAAACAACACATAATCTGTGACTGAATGTAGGGGGGTGGGCTAATTACAGGACAACACATCATCTCTGACTGAATGTAGGGGGGTGGGCTTATTACAGGACATAGCAAAAGCTTTTGAATTTTTTCCACTGCAATACATAGTGGTAGGCTTATGACCATGCATGGGCTAATTGACAGATAAATACAGTTATAAGTTCTCAGGTCAGCTCCGAATCTCATGTTATAGTCTAACCAAGATCAATCATAGAAAATCATGATGGATTTGTCGTAGTCGGAGATAGATGACTTAACATTGATCAGACCACTCAAATGGATCAACATTAGTCACAGTTGATTGTTTAATAGAAGGTCATGACCTTTGGTCTTGTTAGGGGTCACCTTCTTAGTGGTTAGTGGTGCTGTTTCTGTATGGGCAACACCTCTGGTCATTGGTCTGACTGTTGTATATTATAGGTCATGACTCCAAGGGGTTAGTGGTCCTACTGTTGTATGTTATAGGTCATGACCCAGGGGTCTATGGTCCTACTGTTGTATACTATAGGTCATGACCCCAGGGTTTAGTGGTCCTACTGTTGTATACTATAGGTCATGACCCCAGGGGTTAGTGGTCCTACTGTTGTATGTTATAGGTCATGACCCCAGGGGTCTATGGTCCTACTGTTGTATAATATAGGTCATGACCCCAGGGGTTAGTGGTTTTACTGTTGTATGATATAGGTCATGGCCCCAGGGGTCTGTGGTCCTACTGTTGAATACTATTGGTCATGACCCCAGGGGGCGGTGGACCTACTGTTGTATGCTATGGGTCATGACCCCAGGGGTCCGTGGTCCTACTGTTGTATGCTATAGGTCATGCCCCCAGGGGTCAATGGACACACTGTTGCAAGCAATGGGTCAGTGGTCCTACTGTTGAATACTATTGGTCATGACCCCAGGGGTCGGTGGACCTACTGTTGTATGCTATGGGTCATGGCCCCAGGGGTCAGTGGTCCTACTGTTGTATACTATTGGTCATGACCCCAGGGGTCGGTGGACCTACTGTTGTATGCTATGGGTCATGACCCCAGGGGTCAGTGGTCCTACTGTTGTATGCTATAGGTCATGACCCCAGGGGTCGGAGGTCCTACTGTTAAAGTGGTTGAAATTTCTACTTTTGTATGTTACAGATGGTACCTGCGGTCAGTGGTCCTACTGCCCCCTGCACACTGGACGCTGCGACCCAGACACTGATGAAACTCATATTCGACCATGACATGTTTCAGGAAGCCATGAAAAACTTCGACATTGGTAAGTAATCGTGCCATGTAGGACTGAAACGATATGCCTACCTCACGATACAATACGTAATGCGGTACAGCATCCACAGTTCGGTACGTTTCGATACGATACAATACTTTCAATACAATGCTATTATTAAGAAATAAAATTAATATATAAATGTAAAGGAATGTTTATTAGTTTATTCTCCTTAAAATAATACTAAACTAAATGAAGAACAAGAAATAACAATTGTAAAATGCAAAAGAAATCTCATAAAAGGGGATTTCTTTTACTCTAATGGACAATATTTAAAACAAATAATCAAGTTAATATACATGTCACTGTTGATCAATTGATTATACGTAATCATAGCTCAAGATCGTCCATATTCTACTCTGCACTGTGTACGTGTACCTAGACTCCAACTTCTTAAGCATGTTTAGAAACCCGACATTCTCAACTACCGAAACCGGTCTCATACCGACAGCAATGAATCCGCCTATCGCTATTCTGATTGCTTCATGTCGTTGACTTATGATAAAAAAAACTTTTGTCCTCGATTGAAAACTTCAGGAAGAAGCATTTGACTGTGCAGGACTTCTGTGTTTTGACAGTCTCTGATGGGTTTTTTTCTGATGGCGATATCGATGCCTTCCCCTCGAAAAAAATGTCATGCTTCGTCTTTGGATGGGTAGCCATATTTGTTGTGATGCCTATTTTGTAACTCTCGTCAGTGTAACAAATAGTACACGTACAAACAAGTTTGCAAAGTAGCCCATTAACTACTCGAAAACCGAAGTATCCCCAGACAGGGGACCGGAATGATGCCAGAGGTTTCTTCAGTGTAACGGAGGCCTCAGAATTTGTATCCATGTTTGTTTATTTCAAAGTGATCTGATTTTGAAACGGCAACAGCGATTGGACAATGCGATGTCATGCTGAGGAGACCAACCAATCAGAACTGGCATTATATTGGGGAGCGTTGTACTTACAGCCGAGCGGGCAGGACCGTACCGAATGTGTACTGTGGAACTACTCAAAATAATCGTGACCCAAACGAAAACAGTGAATCATGTACCAGTGTATCGATTCACCCTTAGTGTCATGTGACGATCATGTGATACGTAATCATTTAACCATGTGACATTTGTTGGAAGTATCTATGACATATTATTATATCATGTGATCATCATGCGATCATCATGTGACTTGTCAGTTTCTATAGTATACTACAGTATCATGTGATCATCATGTGACATGGTATCATTTGATCATGTAGTTCTATACTCCAGCTGTTTTACTTGTGTGGTAGAATATGTTGACGAATGCGTTGACGAATACGTTTGTCAAAAGTATTACGAAGATGCATTGTAAACCTTACATTCAGATAATGGGTTAACTTTTGTCCCCAGTAGATAATCTAGCCTCCTTTATTCTCTGTAAGTAATCCTCTTTCATCCCCAGTAGATAATCTAGCCTCCTTTATTCTCTGTAAGTAATCCACTTTCATCCCCAGTAGATAATCAAGTCACTTTCGTTCCAAGAAGATAATCCATGCACCTTCGTTGCCAGTAGATAATGTAGCCGTCTTTGTTTCACTAAATGACATTGTTTGACATTGCGGTACAGATGTGAAGAAAATGCCTCTTGGGAAGATAAGTAAGAACCAGATAGCCAAGGGCTTCGAATGTCTGGATGAGATTGAGGCTAGCATCAAGGCAAAGAAACCACGCAATACTCTTGCAGCGCTCTCCTCCAAGTTCTATACTCTTATCCCTCACAACTTTGGTCGCAAGGTTCCACCAACAATTGACGACCTGGAAACAGTTCGACAAAAGATGGACATGCTCCTGGTAGGTTATCTGCCCTTTGTAGTCACATGACAATACTGAATAGTAATTGGCCTGTAATACAGAATTTCAGTTTCAAACATTCAGTTGTAGGGATTCTTTTGCTAATTAAACAATCTTTTTTTTTATATCAAATTTGAATGAAGAAAAAAATACCAAGTTTAAATTTACTTAAACTAAATTTGAATAAGAATTAAAATAATTTGAATAAAATGAGGTTTAGTTTAGACAGGTTTAACGCTACATTTGAATTTTATTATCAATAAGATGACTAATAATTTGTTGTATCCGTTTTCAGGTGTTGGGAGATATTGAGATGGCACAAAGTCTGCAGAAGCAGTCAGGAGACAAGGTAGGTAACTCTTTATTCTTGTCATCCTTCAGGGAAGATAGCTCCTCAGATCTGTTGGTTCTCTATTTTGGTATAGTTATCAGGTATCAATATAAACATTATTTTAAAAAAAATGAAAAAACAAATTTCAATCTAAATGGATTACTCGTTGGCCCCAATGGAAGCGCGCAAAGCATCTTAATTTGGGAGGAAGCTGGAGTACCCGGGGAGAAATATCCACATGGGTCGTGCAGGTGACCCCATACCTTTTCACGTCTGATCAGGGAATCAAATGCAGATGTCTTGGTGAAAGGTGAGAGTGATATCCACTGTGCCCCCCAGCCCCCCCCCCCCCAGTTATCAGTTGCTAATTAAGTCGGGTTGAGCATGTGTAAATCGAATAGGTGACAAAGCAGTCTGTGATAAATTAAATCATGCTCAATTGGACAAAAATAGAAAACTGTGCCATATATTTTTTATTATATGCCCGTCAAATTTGACGGAAGTAATATGGTATGGAGGTTGTCCGTCCATCCAGTGTAAACTTTTGTTTGTCCGGCATTCTCCTCTTACATTTTTCAACTGATCTCTTTGAAACTTGGTATACATTATAATCATGATATGAAGTTAAGTCACCCTTAAAAGAATTTTGATTCAACAATTTTTCCAAAAGTGATTGCCCTTTGTTCATTTCAGTATTTGATTTTTTTTTCCGGAGATCTCCCCCTACATTTTTTGACGAATTTCTTTGAAACTGAGTAGGCTAAATAATCATGGTGTGTTGTTGTGATTCCTTGAAAAGAATTTTGATTCAACTGTTTTTGCAAAAGTTATTCCCCTTTGTTTATTTCAGTATTTGATTTTTGTCGGTCAATCTCCTCCTACATTTTTCAAAGGATCTCTTTGAAACTTGGTAAACATTATAATCATGATATGAAGTTGTGTATCCCTTTAAGAATTTTGGTTCGACAATTTTCGCGAAAGTTCTTGCCCTTTGTTCATTTCAGTATTTCTTTTTTTTTCCGGAGATTTTCTCCTACATTTTTTATAGCATGTCAGCTAACCAATCTTAGAATGATGCACTATATGTCATTCGAAGGGTGTATATTGTTCCGCCCCGCGGTACTCTTGTTTTTTCTTTGAGCTACAGTATTTTTTCATACCTCAGTACGATCAGTGAATACAAGTTGCATTTTCAAAACATATTAACTTGGGATCAGTTCAATAAAGCAAGGTTACAGCCAGAAATTCATACAAGCCTTGCTTAACTCCAGCCACACTTACTGTTGATAATCTCCCACAGTTGTATCTCATTGTACAGAAATGAAAAATGTCGAAACAAACTTGATGTGAGACTTTTCCAAATCCTTATAATTAAAAGTGTATGTTTGATATTCCATCCTTTTTCATGCTCTTTCCATTTGTCCATGGTAAATTTATGTGGTATCTAGAAAATCTGTTATATTTATTATTGTATTTCAGTGTCAAAAAGTTTATTATTAAGTAGGTATATGTGTGATTAATATAATCTTCCCCTACCTTGAGAGTGTGACAGAGAAATCTCCTACCCGAGGGGTGATATTTTGTTGTTGTCCAACCCAAGGCTCTGCTGAGGGTAAGTCAACCAACAAAAATCACCCAGAGGGTAGGACATTTCTCTGTTACTCCCTCAAGGTAGGGGGTGATAACTTTTCTTCCATCCTAATATTTATATCACAACTACGCCGACAATGTTCTGCCATGTTTTTTAACAAAAACACATATGGGGTATGAATATCGTCATTCACTTTTGATGACGTCACAATAACAGCGTTGACACATTTTAATGACGTCACAATTGAATACGTGCTAGTCGGCACGAGGCTATCTCCCCCTAAGGGCTGACAAGCTGATCTTTTCCGGCTAAAACGGGAGACACACCTGTGCAGGGTGGGAGAAAGTGAAATTCTACCCTGGGGTTTAGAATTTGGGATCAGAACCTCGGCAACGCCTCGGTTCTTACCTAAATTCTTCTCACTTGTTAAGAATATCCATATCCCATATACCTACATTTGATAAGCTGCATATTATTCTTCATGACTACAACTCTGAGGCTTATGCTTAAACTCAAACCTGTCAATAATACTGTAGATATCCGTGACTTGACCTAATACAAAAAAACGGCAAATTTATTTGCATTTGTTGATAATGTTGTTGCCATGGTGATTTCAGAAGTCTGCCGGAAAAGAACCTCATCCACACGATGTCAACTACAGCCTGCTCAAGTGTAAACTGGACCTTTTAGACAAAAAATCAAAAGAATACCAGGTAAAACTCTGACTCCCACACAATCGTCTTTCTCCACAAATCCATCTGACGGCACCATAGTATCAAATTATCTATCTACTGGTTCGAGTCACGGCATGGCACGGCACTGTGTTGTATCCTTGAGCAAGATACTTTACTCCACTTGTTCCAGTCTACCCAGCTGTAAATGAGTAGGTGGTTGGGCAGTGCTAGAATTGTATAATGCTAGCTGTGAGCGCCGAAATGGCAGCTCCGGCTGTATGCTTCCCGGGGAGTTGAAAAAGATATTGGCTGGGTGCTAAGGCCCTATAACCACGGATAATAATTTGTGAACCACTTTGAGACGACCTACGAACTAGGTTGTGATAAAGCGGTATATAAGAACCTCAAATTATCGAATTATTAATAACATGCCCCTCATTTTCTTTGCCACCTCCTTTACCTCCAACATATTTCAAATTTCAATGTCCCTTTCTCTTAGTTTCTTTGAAATTAATTTAGACATTTCCCTCATTTTATCGCCAACCCCTTTATAATGCCAAAATTTAACTTGAAAAATGGTGGCAGTATAACTAAGTTTACTGTAGTATTGCAATTATAGTGATAAACACTGCACTGTCTATGTGTCATTACAACCAAATCTTTGTGTTTCAGATCCTTGAGAAGTATACAAACAACACACGTGGTGGATACCGATGTGCTCAAATCAAACACATTTGGAAAATGGATCGTGATGGAGAGGTTTGTTTACTGAAAATGATTCGGACTCTTACAAAAAACTTCTTTGTATACAATTTAAATCTTTGTTGTTTCTCAAGGTATGGTTTCACTTATCAATTTTATAGTCATGCCTGGAAAAAACAGTTCCCAATTATTTGTTACATTTTTTAGCAGTGGTATGGGGGGCCTTAAATTTCTTTTCAGCAAATAACAGTAATGTATCATTATAGGTTTGTGATGTAAATGATAAATACAATTATCTGAGCAATTTATCATGAAATAATGACCAATCAGAAATTTGATCATGACCAATGGAATGCTTAAAATTCAGGATCTTCACTATTTCAGCGATCACAAGCTAGATCATGAACAATTAATTGCTCGAAATTCAGGATCTCCACTATTTTTAGCGATCACAAGCTTATTCATGATCAATTAGTTGCTTAAAATTCAGGATCTTCACTATTTCAGCAATCAGAAGCTTGATTGTGATCAATTAATTGCTTAAAATTCAGGATCTTCACTATGTTTAGCGATCACAAGCTTATTCATGATCAGTTAATTGTTTAAAATTAGGATTTTCACTATTTAAGCGATCAGAAGCTTGATTGTGATCAATTAATTGCTTGAAATTCAGGATCTTCATTATGTTTAGCGATCACAAGCTAGATCATGATTAATTAATTGCTTAAAATTCAGGATCTTCACTATGTTTAGCGATCACAAGCTTATTCATGATCAATTATTTGTTTAGAATTAGGATTTTCACTATTTAAGCGATCAGAAGCTTGATTGTGATCAATTAATTGCTTAAAATTCAGGATCTTCACTATGTTTAGCGATCACAAGCTAGATCATGATCAATTATTTGTTTAAAATTAGGATTTTCACTATTTAAGCGATCAGAAGCTTGATTGTGATCAATTAATTGCTTGAAATTTAGGATCTTCACTATGTTTAGCGATCACAAGCTAGATCATGATCAATTAATGGCTTTAAAATCAGAATTGTTTGATCTTTACTTACACCGATGATACTTGTTCCAGGGTGATCGTTTCAAGATCCATGACAAGTTGACCAATCGTAAACTGCTGTGGCATGGAACCAATGTGGCAGTGGTGGCAGCCATCTGTAAAGGTGGCCTCCGTATTATGCCACATAGTGGTGGCCGTGTAGGAAGTGGTATCTACTTCGCTTCGGAGAACAGCAAGTCTGCCAGCTATGGTAAGTGTCTTTCTGACATAAACAGGCTAGTCACTTGTATTAAAGATGTTGTTTTTCTTACTTTTTATAAACTTTATTTATTTTACATCAATTAAAGAAGTTATTTCAACTGATATTAATCACTTTTGTTGGCCTGGATTCTAGCCTGCGGGGGGTCTTAGTGTGGGAGGAAACCATGTACCCTGAGAAAACCCATGTGCTCGGGCAGGTAACCCCATATTTGTTCACGTCCGATCGGGGAATCGTACCCCCGGTACCTTGGTGACAGGCAAGTGCACCTGAGTGTTCAAAGGGGTGCTTATATTTCTCTTCTATATGATTTTGTTTACAGTGCGACCAGCTGGTAACATTGGGATCATGTTTCTGGACGAAGTTGTCCTTGGCAAGGAACACCACATTGCTACGGACGACTGGACTCTGAAGGCAGCACCTCCAGGTTACGACTGTATCATAGCCAAGGGTCGAACAGAACCAGGTAGGTCACAGGTTCAGATAAGGGTCGAGAAGGTCACAGGCTCAGATAGGGTCAGAGATACAGAGTCTTGAATGTCAGAGATTCAAATGATGTCATAAATGTAGTTACAGGGTCTTGAAGGTCACAAGGTCAAATGACAGGATACATGTAGGTTCAGGGTCTGGCAGGTCACATGACGGGGGCCAGAATGATTCATTGATTCAGGGTCTGATACAACTTTGGTAAAGGGTTCAGGAGGTCACAGGGTCAAATGCAGACATACATATAAAGTTTAAGTGGCAATCATGTTCATAAGGGGTGACAGCTATTAAATCAGGAAGATTACAGTGCAAGGTGAGTCACAAGAGCAGAAATGCTATAAAGTCTAGTAGGTCACAGGTTTAGCTAAGTCAAAAGGTCAAGTGAGGTCATAAGTTTAGAAAGGTCGCAGAGTGAAATAATAATCAGTTAATCTTTGGAGAGTTTTCAAAGTGAAGGTGATATCAAGTGCTGAAATAAGTTACAGTATCTGGTTCCCAGTAAGTCATGAGCTGAATGAGGTCACAGTGTCTGGTTCCCGGTAAGTCATGAATTGAAATAGGTCACAGTGTCTGGTTCCCAGTAAGTCATGAGCTGAAATAGGTCACAGTGTCTGGTTCCCGGTAAGTCATGAGCTGAATGAGGTCACAGTGTCTGGTTCCCAGTAAGTCATGAGCTGAATGAGGTCACAGTGTCTGGTTCCCAGTAAGTCATGAGCTGAATGAGGTCACAGTGTCTGGTTCCCAGTAAGTCATGAGCTGAATGAGGTCACAGTGTCTGGTTCCCAGTAAGTCATGAGCTGAATGAGGTCACAGTGTCTGGTTCCCAGTAAGTCATGAGCTGAATGAGGTCACAGTGTCTGGTTCCCAGTAAGTCATGAGCTGAATGAGGTCACAGTGTCTGGTTCCCAGTAAGTCATGAGCTGAATGAGGTCACAGTGTCTGGTTCCCAGTAAGTCATGAGCTGAATGAGGTCACAGTGTCTGGTTCCCAGTAAGTCATGAGCTGAATGAGGTCACAGTGTCTGGTTCCCAGTAAGTCATGAGCTGAATGAGGTCACAGTGTCTGGTTCCCAGTAAGTCATGAGCTGAATGAGGTCATAGTGTCTGGTTCCCAGTAAGTCATGAGCTGAATGAGGTCACAGTGTCTGGTTCCCAGTAAGTCATGAGCTGAATGAGGTTCCAGTGTCTGGTTCCCAGTAAGTCATGAGCTGAATGAGGTCACAGCCCCCGGTTCCCAGTAAGTCATGAGCTGACTGAGGTCACAGTGTCTGGTTCATGGTAAGTCATGAGCTGAATGAGGCCACAGTGTCTGGTTCCCGGAAAGTCATGAGCTGAATGAGGTCACAGTGTCTGGTTCCCGGTAAGTCATGAGCTGAATGAGGTTCCAGTGTCTGGTTCCCGGTAAGTAATGAGCTGAAATAGGTCACAGTGTCTGGTTCCCGGTAAGTCATGAGCCGAATGAGGTCACAGTGTCTGGTTTCCGGTAAGTCATGAGCTGAATGAGGTCACAGTGTCTGGGTCCCGGTAAGTCATAAGCTGAATGAGGTCACAGTGTCTGGTTCCCAGTAAGTCATGGGCTGAAATAGGTCACAGTGTCTGGTTCCCAGTAAGTCATGAGCTGAAATAGGTCACAGTGTCTGGTTCATGGTAAGTCATGAGCTGAATGAGGTCACAGTGTCTGGCTCCCAGTAAGTCATGAGCTGAAATAGGTCACAGTGTCTGGTTCCCAGTAAGTCATGAGTTGAAATAGGTCACAGTGTCTGGTTCCCAATAAGTCATGAGCTGAAATAGGTCACAGTGTCTGGTTCACGGTAAGTCATGAGCTGAATGAGGTCACAGTGTCTGGTTCCCAGTAAGTCATGAGCTGAATGAGGTTACAGTGTCTTGTTCCCAGTAAGTCATGAGCTACATGAGGTCACAGTGTCTGGTTCCCGGTAAGTCATGAGCTGAAATAGGTCACAGTGTCTGGTTCCCAGTAAGTCATGAGCTGAAATAGGTCACAGTGTCTGGTTCACAGTAAGTCATGAGCTGAAATAGTTCACAGTGTCTAGTTACCAGTAAGTCATTTGACAGGTACCTATTGGGCTATTTTTTGGATCCCTGAATTGCTGCATTTTCTCCTGTTCAATGAATGTTTTAAAAAACATTTCCATCAAATGCATAAAAACGCATCCTTGCTACTCAAGGGGTTACGCTCATTTACATTGTCTGCACCCCTGGAATATGTCATAGCAAAATTGAAGGCAAGAAGATAGCTGTTTGATTGGTCTCGGGTAAGAAAACCTGACCCATTGCTATGCTGATACCTGTCCTTTGAAGATTACAGAGGAGTGACACCCGACTTCAAAGCCAGCCAATTTTACTGTTATGGGACCGTGAGATTCTTTTGATGTACATCAAAGGATCAGAATAGTCCTCATGTCTCATACACAAGGTGGCGCACACTGAGCCTTCAATTTTGTCACGACATACTCAAAGGGTGCAAAGAGCGTAAGTGGGCGTAACCCCCTGGCATATGGAGGATGAACAGAAGGTAAAGATGAATCTTCCCCAAAATTGTTTAGCTCCATAACTGTTACATCCATTCTTAAAATGTATACCCCATGAGGTAAAGAGAGGACTCCTCCATATCAAGCATGGTAGAGTCTACTAAAGTTACATAGGGGTGGAAGGGTTAAGATTTGAATGATACCAATCTGTTTTTATGTTCCAGATCCTACGAAAGATACAACACTGACTATTGAAGGAAAGAAGGTGACTGTACCCCAAGGCAGTGCACTCAGCCAGAAAAAGTACGCTTCTTCTAGCTTCTCTCAGAGCGAGTACTTGGTCTACAAAGAGAGTCAGAACCGTTTACGATACTTGCTGATGGTGCAATTTTAGATGGTAACCTTGATATGACCTCCACTGTGATCTAAATATAGGATTCAGTTATGACTCCAGCAGTGACCTTGACTGGTGAACCTGGATATGACCTTTGTTGTGACCTTAAAAGTCATACCTACGTGATGTTAAGTGGAGAATCGTACAACACCAATTTTTCATTGTTTATTAACATCTCTGGTTTCCACACTTACAAAAGAATGGTAGTTATGGGCACAGCAAACGTTTAACAGCTCCTCATACATGACTGCATCCGAGCGCAAGTCTCTGTTTTACAGGCGTCGTGGTACCTAATACCGGTACACTACTCAGAACTGGTGCAAAAGAACGGTATTTACGGGTACAGCTACATGACTGTATCCGAGCGCGAGTTTCTGTTTTACAGGCGTCGTGGTACCTAATACCGGTACACTACCCAGAACTGGTACAAAAGAACGGTATTTATGGGTACAGCTCCATGACTGTATCCGAGTGCAAGTCTCTGTTTTACAGGCGTCGTGGTACCTAATACCGGTACACTTCTCAGAACTGGTGCAAAAGAACGGTATTTACGGGTACAGCTACATGACTGTATCCGAGCGCGAGTTTCTGTATTACAGGCGTTGTGGTACCTAATACCGGTACACTACTCAGAACTGGTACAAAAGAACGGTATTTATGGGTACAGCTACATGACTGTATCCGAGTGCAAGTCTCTGTTTTACAGGCATCGTGGTACCTAATACCGGTACACTACTCAGAACTGGTGCAAAAGAACGGTATTTACGGGTACAGTTACATGACTGTATCCGAGCGCGAGTTTCTGTTTTACAGGCGTCGTGGTACCTTATACCGGTACACTACTCAGAACTGGTGCAAAAGAACGGTATTTATGGGTACAGCTACATGACTGTATCCGAGCGCGAGTTTCTTTTTTACAGGCGTCATGGTACCTAATACCGGTACACTACCCAGAACTGGTACAAAAGAACAGTATTTATGGGCACAGCAAATGTTTAACAGCGCCACATACACCACTGTATCCTAGTGCAAGTCTCTGTTTTAAAGGTGTTGTGGTACCTAATACCGGTACACAACTCGGAACTGGTACAAAAGAATGGTATTTATGGGTACAGCTACATGACTGTATCCGAGCGCGAGTTTCTGTATTACAGGCGTTGGGGTACCTAATACCGGTACACTACTCAGAACTGGTACAAAAGAACGGTATTTATGGGTACAGCTACATGACTGTATCCGAGCGCAAGTCTCTGTTTTACAGGCGTCGTGGTACCTAATACCGGTACACTACTGAGAACTGGTACAAAAGAACAGTATTTATGGGCACAGCAAATGTTTAACAGCGCCACATACATCACTGTATCCGAGTGCAAGTCTCTGTTTTACAGGTGTTGTGGCACCTAATACCGGTACACTACTCAGAACTGGTGCAAAAGAACGGTATTTACGGGTACAGCTACATGACTGTATCCGAGCGCGAGTTTCTGTATTACAGGCGTCGGGGTACCTAATACCGGTACACTACTCGGAACTTTGGGTCACTTGCTTATATTTATATTTATAAAAGTGTATGTGATTGCAAACACCATCATCATCAAAATGTTTTATTACATTTCGGTTACATACAACAAGTTTACATGCAAAATCATCCTGTGTGAATGAAATTCATGTATTCAAGGTCATCCTCTTTGTAACCTTGGGATCATGTGCCCCAGGTCATATTTACAAGGTCATCTCAGTGGGGTCACAAGTGTTTTATAGGTCATCAGCATACCCTGAGGTCATGTGATGAAGGTCATGTTTACAGGGTTATTCATTAGTTGTTTCCACAAGATATTTTTTAACACCTTTTTAATTGTAGATGTGTTGATTGTGTAGAAGAAAAATTCAATGTCTGAGAGATTCTTGTGTGTTTTTGTTAGAGTGTCATTACTTGTTTATTAAATCAATCACCCATGAAATTTCATAATGAACTATTCCAACCTTTGAATTGGAAGAGTTCAAATGTGTCTTCAGGGGTGAATGAGTTAACATAGTGAAATATGTTGAACTTTTGAAAACAAGATTTGATTTTAACCACAACTTTGGCAATTTAGCGTTTAACAAATTTTACTTCATACATTTTTAATTTTTTTAAAACATTTATAAGTTTATATATATCTTATTTATTTTAACAACAATTTTTACATTTTAGCTTTGACAGCTAATGACAAAAATGATTGTTCATGCTACAAGTGCATTGCTCAGGGGAGAGCACTCCTCTGATATGTACTAAGAGGAGAGCTCTTTTGTTTAACCCTTTCACCACTGTAGACCATAATGGACTCATCCAGATCAGTATATGGAAGAGTCTACTAAAGTTGCATAGGGGTGAAAGGGTTAAAGATCAAAACATTAGTATATCTTCCTTTGTATTTACATAGAATTCATCTTCAATTGCTAATTAACTGCTAGTACTTTCCCTTTTGAACTGACGGAAGCACTCTCTCCTCTTAGCACTTAGCAAAAGGAGTGCTTTCCCCTGAATCTAAGTTAATTCACATTCGCCCCTGAAATTTCATAATGAACTATTCCAACCTTTGAATTGGAAGAGTTCAAACATGTTTTTAGGGGTGAATGAGTTAATGTAATGACTTGTAGTATGTCTGAACAAGATGAGCAATATACTTTAATAATTTAATTTATTGCATTATTTTAAAAATAGAAACCCCTATTGTGATATAATAAATTTCTGTGCTTTCTTTATTAATGCATGTTATATTTACCAACAAACATATTTTCTGAATACTTTTCAGTGGTTTTATTTATATATTGTTATTAATTTTAAGAATTTTTCTTCAAAATTATACAAGATTTTGAAAAGAAATGTTGTCTATGCTCAAAAAAGCATAGGTTGATTCTATTATTATTTTTTTAAACATGTTCTCATATCAGTGATACTGAATATTAATTGGTTGGTTCTTTTACCGCCAATACATAAGGTCATCCAGGGTAAAAAAAGCATAAGATTAAGTAAGTAAATTGATCTTCTAGGTCAAACATCTTATCAAGTATGCGGATATTCAGATATATGTGAATAATCTAAATAAAGTGTGAGATTACTGGTATACGAGTTCATGTACAACCAAAATAATGTTCAGTTCAAAAAAATAAAAATGTGTGCGAACTGCAGTAGGAGAGTTATCTCCCTTTGAGCAGCGCAGCTCATTCATTCTCTTTTAGATCCTTGACCATGGAACAACTGACATATGAGTGCAGTTTCTCTGTATATCTCCTGTGGTGTGATAGCTCTGAGCTGTAGTAGTAAAACTGTGTGTGAGACACATCTGTAACACGTATAGAAGTCTGAGTAACTAGTGTAGAAACTGTCTGTGAGTCAGCTGTCATACCTGAAAAAATGACAATCTCCATTTATTTCAGTAGAAGTTTACTGATTTTTCTTCACATTATTTACTGGTAAATAAATTTCATCTTTTTATTTGTATTTGTGTTGTTGTTTGATTATGTTACCCGACCCAGGGCCCGAATTTATGAAACCATTCTCGTGCTCAAACTCAGATTCTGGCTCCAGCCCAATTTCTTGTTTGAATGAGAACTTATTACACAAAAAAAACATTTTCTCAATGATATGGAAGAATGTTTGAGTGCTGTTAAGCTAACCGCTATTTACAGTATCTAGGCTTCACTTTTTGACCTTGTTACATGATTTTAGCAAAATATAAAAAAGCTTGTTGGAGCACAGATTCTGTGCTTAAGCATGAGAATGGTTTCATGAATACAGGCCAGATCTACCAGCAATAAAACCTAGGTGAGGTGTTTCAAGCCTGTCTCATTGTGGGCATATCACTAGAGAGTTCAGCTGTAGTTTAGCTGTAGTAAACCTAAATAGCTCATCATGGCGCAGCGTCGGTCTTCCGGCCGGCCTCAACCTTTTACTTTATACAACTTTTTCTGAATAATCAAGAAGTCTAGGGTGATGATATTTGGCCAGTAGTATGCTTGGATGAAGGGCTATGAAGTCTGTTCAAATGAATGACTTGACATATATATTCAAGGTCACATAGGTCGAATATATTTTAAAACTTTAAACGACTTCGGAATAACAAAAATTGCTAGGGTGATGATATTTAGTCCGTAGCATGCTGAGATGAAGGGTTACCAAGTTTATTCGAGGTCACAGTTGTCAAATGTCTTAAAAAATCTATAAACAACTTCTTCTGAATAACCAAAATGCATAGAGTGGTGATATTTGGCCAGTATCATGCTCAGATGAAGAACTATGGAGTTTGTTCAAGGTCACATATGGTCAAATGAGAATATAAATGTTTAAAAGACCTCATCTCGATTAACAAAAGGTCTTAGATTGTGATATATGGCAAGTTGCATGCTAGTAGAAGGGCTATGAAGTTTGTTCAGCTTAGTGTCCTTGCTTGGGTTTCAAGGTCACAGGGGTCAAATATGTTGAAATCTTTTGACAGGTTCTTTTGAATGATATTTTGCCTGTAGCCTTGTTTCAGTCCACTTTTAAGGTTAAAAGTGTGATATTAATTCCAGTTGAGCAATTCAGGCCCATCGGGCATCTTGTTCGTACAGGCAGTAACCTCCCTTTAATTTTCGTTTTGAATGGAATGTCAAGTGACTATAGCAAAAATGTTCAGTATACAGTAGTACAGAAGAAATGCCTCCAGATAAAATTTTCCAAAGGAGAAGGTCGAAGGTCTAGCATATGTCACAGTGACCTACTTTTTAATCCCAAAATGTACTTGCATACCAAATCTGGTTATTCCAGGTGAAATAGTATAGAAGATATTAAAAAAACACTTTCTGACGAACCGACGTAATGAAAAACCTAGTTACCATGGAATTGCTGGAGGTATTAATAAACTAAATAACGAACAAACACAATAATCCCATCTAGTGCCACACCTTAGTCTTATCATCCCATAAACACAATAAGATCAACAACGGCCGCACGGTAGTCTAAACGTCCCGTCAACACAATATGATCAACAACGGCCCCACGGTAGTCTAAACGTCCCGTCAACACAACAAGATCAACAACGGCCGCACGGTAGTCTAAACGTCCCGTCAACACAATAAGATCAACAACGGTCGCACGGTAGGTAGTCTCAACGTCCCGTCAACACAATAAGATCAACAACGGCCGCACGGTAGGTAGTCTCAACGTTCCGTCAACACAATAAGATCAACAACGGCCGCACGGTAGTTTAAACGTCCCGTCAACACAATAAGATCAACAACGGCCGCACGGTAGTTTAAACGTCCCGTCAACACAATAAGAGCATCCAGGGCCACACGGTAGTCTCAACGTCCCGTCAACACAATAAGATCAACAACGGCCGCACGGTAGTCTAAACGTCCCGTCAACACAATAAGATCATTCAGGGCCACACGGTAGGTAGTCTCAACGTCCCGTCAACACAATAAGATCATCAACGGCCGCACGGTAGTCTAAACGTCCCGTCAACACAACAAGATCAACAACGACCGCACGGTAGTCTAATCGTCCTGTCGACACAATAAGATCATCTACGGTCACACGGTAATGTTAACAACTCGTCAACGCAATCACATCATACAGGATCGCACGGTAGTCTTAACGTTCCGTCGACACAATAAGATCATCAACGGCCGCACGGTAGGTAGTCTTAACGTTCCGTCGACACAATAAGATCATCAACGGCCGCACGGTAGTCTTAACGTCCCGTCGATACAGTAAGCTCGTCAACGGCCGCACGGTAGGCAATGCGGTAATCTTAACGTTCCGTCGACAAAATAAGCTCGTCTACGGCAATACGAAAGTCTTAGCGACCCGTCAACACAATAAGATCATCGTCAACGCAATAAATCACCAAAGGCCATGCAGTAGTCTTAACGTCCTGTCAACACAATAAGCCCATCTACAACCGCACGTTTGTCTTAATGTATTGTCAACACCATAAGCTAATCAATGGCCATACGGTAGTCTTAGCGTCCCGTTAACACAATAAGCTAATCAATGGCCGCACGGTAGTCTTAGCGTCTTGTCAACACAATAAGGTAACGTCAATTTAATTTAGTTTATTGGCCTTTAGCCTTTCGGCTAATCAGCATAAACATTACAATACATTTTACAAAATTGAGTGAGTGATACACAGCAATACAGACATATTATGGCCACGCAATCTTAACAGGCTATCAGCGCAATAATAACATACGGGACCACACGATAGTACGAAAGCCTATTGAGCTCATTTTCGTAGGAGAAAAAAACTCTTCTTTTTTTCGCGTAATAACACGAAACGTACTAATAATAACACGAAACTAACGCGTAAAAACGCGAAACTATCGCGAAATAACGCGAAAAATACTACAGTCGAACCTCGTTATCTCGAAGTCGACGGGATCGCTGGAAACCTTCGAGTTATCCGAGTATTCGAGTTAAGCGAGTTCATATGTTTGGCATAAAGCTTGGTTAAGTGTTTGGTCAAATATGAGGCTATCAATACGTTGACTGTCGGAAAAATCAACAACTTATATAAACAGTCGATAAATGACAAAAGATAACGATATAAAATAAAAATAACAATTTATTCATAATCATATTCATTAATTGATACAAATCAATGTTACAATAAACACACATACAAACAGGGAGAACGATAAACAAGTTGCTAATGCGACTTTTAACACACTAGAAATGAAATACCAAAACTTAGTTAGGTTTTATTTTGAACTTGGCCTATACCAAGCTGAAATCTTTTTTTCTTTTCTAAATTGAAGTTTTTCTAATTTGTATGCGTCACCGAGAGGAAACATACCTATGATGTATGTGATATTACTGTATTCATTCTAATTGAACTGCAGACTTCTGGACAACTTCATGGTTATAGATGGATGCATAACAAATGCGTACAGGCTGGCTTTCATCTATTAAATAAAAGCGGAAACGGAAACGACTATATAGACGGCAACATGCTATAAGTAATGGACCTGATTACTATGGCATGTTAAATTTAAAGTTATACAAATTGTTAAAACCCCAGTAAAGCTATATATGTTTATGTTCAGCATAGAAAAACAAGTGAAACAAGATGCCACACCTGAAATAATATTAATAAATAAATAAAAACAGAAGGGGATTCCAATGAAAGTAGTCCAGTTGTTATCACACACCCGTGTAATACAAACATTTTACCACACAGCTTTAATTGACCATTATCAGTTTAGGTAAGATTGAATAGAACGAAATTCTAGTTCCTTGTTTTAAAACATATACAATATTGAAAACCGGGCTGTAAAATGACGAAAACCGATAAAAACGTAAACTGATCGTGAAAATCGGGACATTATTTTGGCTAACTGGCGAGTGCTACCTTACTTGGTTGCAATGAACAAGCAAACTTAACTTATATCATCAAAACGATTGAGTTCATCCAACTTTAATTCGTTTAATTGAATTCGTTTAGGAACGATTCTAATTCAAACTCGATCTAATTCACGGGAGGTTACTTTTGTTTATCAAAAAGGGAACTAAAATTCCTTGTGTAAAAAAGCAAAACAAACATCTATCTTTTATTTCTCATCATTTGGTTCTTGACTTCTTCGGATGAAACATCCTCAAGCCAGTCAAAGAATACCCAAAAATCTTCTTCAGCCATGGTTCAACTGATATTAAGCAAAACGTAAAACCGCTTTTTATAACAAGTTTCGCGTTTTACCGCGATAGTTTCGCGTTATTGTGCGTTAGTTTCGAGTTTTTGTGCGTTAGTTTTGCGTTATTTCGGAATTCGCATAACGCGAATATTTTTTTCTCCTACGAAAATGAGCTCAATGAACACAACACAGTCTCCACAGCCTATGAACATAATAATGTAGTAGATCACGTGGTTGATTGAACGACTGGCTCATTCATACAATAACGTCATGTAACGGACCACACAGTATATATGCCAAACAACTATAAAAATGGACTGAAAATTGGAGCAATCGAAGATATCACTTGAGTGTTGCCATGGTGCATCAGATCAGTGTTGCAAAGTTCAATTTCCGCTGAAAACTGCGATAGTTAAAGTTCATATACATCCTACCTAGCTAGGTCACGCGTGGCTTCATTTCTGTTTTACTAGCTGTGGAGAGTCGACATAGTATCGACCTGAAATCAAAATCGATGTGGCAACTTGTGGCACATTTTCCCAAGTCTATCACATATTAGTCCTATCTAATAATAATGCTATACACTCTAACTTAGTCATATTGGTAAACTAACCGTTTAACTTCATCTCCCAAGATTACTTGAATGCTCATTGATTTCAAGAAGTTTATTTTGACCGAGAAAACCAAGAACATTGTTTTCGAATGCAAACCAACGCCACCCAATAGCAAATAGTGCAGTGTTTCAAAATTTCGCGGGTATCGTGACTTTTCTTGTGGAACGTCATGAGGTGTCTTACATATATCTAATTTAATTATACATTATCAGTAGTTAGGAAATGTATACTGCAAAATAAAATACATAATGAAACAGTTTGTTTTAACCTGTATATAACTTTATAAATGCCAGAAGCATGTTGTTTCAGAAAATAAATAAAAAACAAGTTCCGTTAGTATAAAAACACATTTTAAATATCAATACACCGGCAGACTGATACTCGCAGCGGAGCGATTACAGAGAGTGTGTCCTACCTACCGAATTGCACTGATCCATGAAAACGCCAGATTACAACGGTACACAGCAGTCGCGTACCATACCAGGATTGATTGTAAGTATCAATGAAACCAACGTATCTCATCGGTCACGAATTTACCATACACTGAACAACAGTCTGTCCGGTAAGTGTCTTTAACTCACTAGAATTTTCCGAAACCCGACTTTGATAAGACCTACAGTTACATTTCATCAGAAAACTTTCCATTGACATGACACATCTGTGTAACATTACAGTAGCATGCAGTACACGTGTCCGTGGTCTGCTACACGTGCACGACCCAAATACCGCTTCAGACAGTGACTAACTTACAGCCACAGTTGTGTAGAAATGTGTTGTTTTCAATGTTTTTATTAAACACTGAATATGTTGCAATGCATTTATAATGTACTGGAGGTATATCAAATCTATACTGTTATGTACAGGCAGGATGTAGCATGTTCAACGCCTTTTAAATTCATTGACAGCTTTAGGTTGTTTTTTTGAGCTTTCAAAAGACCCACACAACACACAATGAGGCATATTTTTTTGTACAGTACACGAGGGTGTGGCTGACCTGAGTTTAAATGACTTTGCACATGAACAGTTATTCTATTCACAAAGTGTATTTCTAGAAGATTCCTGAATATAACTTCAGGAAAAATAATGGAAACAAAAATAGACTGGATCCAATATTTTCAAAATGGGGATCCAGGACACCATATATACACTCATTGTCAATTTAACAGAAAAGTTGTTAGATTAAAAGAAATAAGTCTTTTTATTTATTTAAGCATACTGCAGGGTAAGAAAATAGTACTTTAGGGTGAGGCACTAACTACTTTTGCTTGGTAGGCCACAGGACTGGTTGAATAGATTATTTGCTAGTACCAGTTATGTATTCCGTCTTTGCGTATTGCAGAGTTATCTTCTCTTGAGAGCAGGTATTGATTGTTACGTCATTGGTTTGTGTGAGAAAATTACGTCGTTTTCTCATCAATTGATGACGTTAATCTCACAAACAAATGACGTCACAATCAATACCTGCTCCCAAGAGAAGATAACTCTGCAATACGCAAAGACGAAATAGAGGTAACTAGTCCAATATTTCCTTCCCGAAAACATCGCCAGCATGATTCTATTAACACATCACAAGTAATTGACTGTACTTAGGGGGACATAAAATAACTGCCATAAATTAAAGATGATTTTTTTTTTTTTTTTAATTATTTAAGGATTAACTTGAATATATTTTTCATGTTATGGAGATATAACACCAAAAAACGGAGTGTACTATAAATAAAACGCGAAGCGATTTATGATGAGAGTACACTCCGTTTTTGTGTCGCCTACGACGGATGTCGGAAAGACACATAGGCGTTGTTTTTCCGACGGCGATGGCGTCGTCAACAATGTTAAGGTTTTGTGTTTAGCTCTGTTTCTGACAAAGCTACACCAACAAAACCTCGATCATAGATGTAGCATGGGTAGTGGAGCCTACTGCACTAAAAACATTTCATTGATTTCTGCATTTTTTTGGTAAAAACCTCAAATTTCTGGACTTAGAAAAAAACTCAGCGTTAAGGTTTTGCGTTTAGCTCTAACATATTAGGCTGTGTAAGCATAAGGTTTTGCGTTTAGCTCTTACATTTAAGGCTGTTTCTGAAAAAACTTGTATAAATGCTAGAGCAACCAAACTTGAGGCATTAGGTGTATCATGGGATTTATATATCTGAATGCATTACACTCTTTACTAGCATTTCAACGATTTCTGTATTTTTTGCTAAAAAACTCAAATTTCTTAACTCAACGTTAAGGTTTCGCTTTTAGCTCTTGCATATTAGGCTCTTTTTGACAAAGTATAAGAGCTAGACCAACCAAACCTCAATCATACATGTATCATGGGTAGTAGAGCCTACTACTCTTAAAACATTTCATGGATTTCTGCACTTTTTCGGATAAAAACCTGAAATTTCTGGACTTTAAAAACAATCAATGTTATGATTTTGCGTTTAGGTCCATTTCCTTATGTACTATGTCAAATGCTTATTATATTGACAAAGCGGGACAGGCGACCCATATAATTACGCGTAATTCTTGTTTTGTGTTATAGCTCCATAACATGAAAAATATATATTCAAGTTAATCCTTATAATTTAATCTGCTATACACAATCCCTGTGGAAATTCTCTTACAAATTATTGTGCTGCTGTATCAGCCAATCAAAAGCGACGTTACAAACGGCGACATCATTTTTTTATGTTATGGGCTGATAACATAAATTTTTAAGCCAATGAAAATGCTTGTTACGAGCAAGATTTAATTATCATGCAATATATCTTTTATCTCAATAGTCTATCAAATTGTATTGATTGTGATAACAGATTCGTTTTTACAAGCCCAAAGGACCAGTTAGGCTAGGAGATTCACAAGCCCTTGCTGAAATTTACTAACCCTGAATACTAATTTACAGTACAGAAAAAAATAACAATTTCTTTCCCATGTCAGTTTACCGAGTAGTTCCTAAATAATATGACATTTTGTGACAAAAGGGACACAGTGAATAAATAATTGGGAAAAAAAAATGTTGAAATGACACTTAACCCTTTCACCACTGTAGACCATAATGGACTCATCCAGATCAAAGCTTGGAAGAGTTTACTGCAGTTACATAGGGGTGAAAGGGTTAAGTTCTTTTGCTTTGAAATTATTTTGTAAATATTTACTAAGTGTTTATCTTGTTCATTCTGAACACAGGTCAAATTATTGGCACCCACTACATTTTTTGGTTATTCATGAGTGCCAAAAAACACATTTTTGGCCCGAGTTCAAGTTGAGTTCAATGAACTAACTTGGCCTCCAACAAAACATGCATTCTTTTATTTTTGACCTTGATAGATGAATGAAGCACACATACAGGTGATTAAACATTTAAAATTTCGTAATTCTTAATTGAAACACAAACAGTTAGCCAAAAATGAATTACAATGCACCATAGAGCTGTTTCGGCCTTCTAGTGACACTAGGGGCCAAAAAGTTGTAAATTAGAATTGGTCAAAACTTCTGTTGAAACAAAAGGGGAGGTGCGTTAAACCTCATATTCACTCACAATGTTTCTTTTATTTTGGAAATTAGATACTGATACAAAAGATTCCATTAATCATCCGGGTTTATATGGACCTTGTTTAATCGCTAAGAGTGAAGAGTCACAGTGAGTATACCATTATATAAAAAAATACAGAAGTTAATTTTAGGGAACCACTGCCTAAAAACTGTAGCTTAGTATTGAAAACTGTTATTTTCGGGCATGACTATTGCTTTGATAAACATACTTACCAACTCTCCCTATTTTGACTCTCGATTTTGTGAATTTGCTATATTACTCCTAGAGGCGTCACGATTCACTTGTACCGCGATTATTTATGTTCGATTCGATTCACGATATATTTTTCCGGATTTTCGATGCTTCACAATCTGAATATTAGTGTATGCCGATGCGGCCGAAACGTCTGTGAGACGTTCAATTTCATTGGCTTATCTCTAAACCCTCAACCAATCGGCTGCGAGGATGCAATTTTCACAAAGCATTCATAACAAAATGGCAGACCGCCGTAAGGAAATGAAAATTTGTGATGCTCCGGCAAGCTTCAAACCAAAAGTGTGGAAATACTGCAGGTTTCTGTGTATCGACGACTTATATATCTCATTTTGTTTATATTTTGAAATAAAGGTGTATCGAATCGTGGTACAAATATCGAGATACGTATCGATTCGTGGGTAAAGTGTATCGTGACAGTTCTTATTACTCCTGTTTTCTATGATCTGATGATTTCACCTGAAAGAACAGCTCAAAAGAAGTCATCTAAAAGTGTCATTTCCCCCTAGGGTGTACATACACACAATATATTTATCAATATGCTTTTAGTTCTGAGCATGCGCAACCTCCCCCATGGAAATTTCAAAATATCAAGCATGGATAAATAATTCATGAGAAGAACATCGGCCATGATTGGGGGAATGTTATGGAAAAGGATAAAGATCAAATAAATAAAATATAATCAACCACATTGTTCTTAGTGTAAAGAAAAAAGCACTGTAGGGCTGGATCAGGATTCGACCCCTGAACTTCAGGGTGCTAAACAATGGCTCTGACAGATTGAGCTACCTGGTGACTGTCTCCATAAGAGACCACCTGTGTTAAGAGACCACCTGTGTTAAGAGACTACCTGTGTTAAGAGACCACCTGTTTTAAGAGACCACCTGTGTTAAGAGACCACTTTCAATACAGTCCTCCATTGAAGTGATTTCATGTGAACTGAACCTGTATTTAGAGACCACCTGCATGGAGAGACCACTTTTTTTGGACTTCCCAGGGATTGTTTTTTAATACAAGTTTGGTTGTAATTAATTTCAGAAATAAAAATAAATAAAAAATAAACCAGAAAAGAAACAAGGAGGTGCTTAATGATTCCACAGATGACAGAACTATTAACACAACACAGTCAGAAACAAACAAATACAGGCCAGGGCATTATTTTTTAAATGAAGATTTGTTTTTATTTATTAATATTTTGAAGTATAAGGCAAATTACATCAAAATTTTTGTTAATGATGACTGCTGGGTGGACCTGAATGGCTTGTTTTTCATAGTAAAATTAGCAAAGATGATCAATTAGCAAAAAAAAAATCCAAATATTGCAATATTGATTATTCGATTCAAAATGCTCTCTGGAACCTGAAAAAACTTTCAAAATTTTCTAAGGCCAAACAAAAAATATTTGGTGTTTCCGGTAACCCTACCTACTCTTATTTGTTGTACCTACCATAAAGTTTTTAAGGCAATTTTTGAAGAAGCACTGTTAAAGTCAAGATCACTCTCCAATATAAACCATATTAAGTGATTTATTAAATAAAATTTGTTACCTACTGTATCTACCTACCCTAACTTTTTTCAATTGGAAACATATATTTTTTGTCTTGCCTAATGATTTAAGTTTTCAGTTCTTCCATGGTTTTTTTTTTCCTGATTTTCAGATTCCTGTTATTCTGTCACAAACAAAGCTCAAGCGCTGTGATTAGAAATTTGATTCTGAGAGAAGCAGATGGAGTTTAATTCTTGGCATATTTATCTGTGATGGACATTGTGTCCATAGAAAGCTGTTACCCCAGTGACGCTACCCATAGAGGGACTACAGGGATATTGATGACAGAGATATTCTAGTCAACAAAGTAGTAACTTCCTTGTAGAGAGTGAGTCAAGCTGCAGAGAGAAACCATTACAGAATACGATTGATTGGTGGAATTTCCTATAGAGACTGTAGTTTGTAAAACCTTTAACAGCGAAAATTGATGAATAAATATTCCTATAGCTAGCAGAGAAAGTGATTTGAAAGATCCCATAGAAAGAAGTTATTTCTATAGAGTTTGATACCATCAAGATTTGTTCCAATATATAATTTGTTTGCATGCATCAACATTGTAACCAGTAATTATAACTGGCATATCAACAAAGTTTTACAAAGTTGAGCTAGGATGTCAGAAAAGGGAGCGATGGATAGACAAGAAAACGTCAGCACTGGAAGCGACGCTTCGAGTGGGGATGAGAATGTGGAGCGCGGCAACTGGTCACGGAAGATGGACTTCATGTTGTCATGTCTGAGTTATGCTGTGGGCCTTGGTAACGTTTGGAGATTCCCCTATGTCTGCTACAGGAATGGAGCAGGTCAGTAATTATGGATAATGATTGTGGGGTTTTTTTTTGGGGGGGGGGGGGGGGGGGTCATAAGATGACCAGTAGTTATGGATGATAAATGGTTTGGAAGGGGGGATGGAACAGGTCAGTAGCTATTAATGATGATGGGGTTGGTAGGGAGGATGGAACAGGTCAGTAGCTATGTATGATGATGGGGTTGGAAGGGGGGATGGAACAGGTCAGTAGCTATTAATGATGATGGGGTTGGTAGGGAGGATGGAACAGGCCAGTAGCTATGTATGATGATGGGGTTGGGAGGGGGATGGAACAGGTCAGTAGCTATTAATGATGATGGGGTTGGGAGGGGGATGGAACAGGTCAGTAGCTATAGATGATGATTGGGTTGGAAGGGAGGATGGATCAGGTCAGTAGCTATGGATGATGATTGGGTTGGGAGGGGGATGGATCAGGTCAGTAGCTATAGATGATGATTGGGTTTGGAGGGGGATGGAGCAGGTCAGTAGCTATAGATGATGATTGGGTTGGAAGGGAGGATGGATCAGGTCAGCAGCTATGGATGATGATTGGGTTGGGAGGGGGATGGATCAGGTCAGTAGCTATGGATGATGAATGGGTTGGGAGGGGGATGGAGCAGGTCAGTAGCTTTAGATGATGATGGGGTTGGGAGGGGGATGGGCCATGTCAGTAGCTGTTGATGATGATGGGGTTGGTAGAGGGATTGAACAGGTCAGTGGCTGTAGATGATGATGGGGTTGGTAGTGGGATGGAGCAGGTCAGTAGCTGTAGATGATGATTGGGTTGGGAGGGGGATGGAGCAGGTCAGTAGCTATTAATGATGATGGGGTTGGGGGGGGGATGGATCAGGTCAGTAGCTATGGATGACGATTGGGTTGGGAGGGGGATGGATCAGGTCAGTAGCTATAGATGATGATTGGGTTTGGAGGGGGATGGAGCAGGTCAGTAGCTATTAATGATGATGGGGTTGGGGGGGGGATGGATCAGGTCAGTAGCTATAGATGATGATTGGGTTTGGAGGGGGATGGAGCAGGTCAGTAGCTATTAATGATGATGGGGTGGGGAGGGGGATGGAGCAGGTCAGTAGCTATTAATGATGAGGGGGTTGGGAGGGGGATGGAACAGGTCAGTAGCTATTAATGATGTTGGGGTTGGGAGGGGGATGGAACAGGTCAGTAGCTATTAATGATGATGGGGTTGGGGGGGGGATGGATCAGGTCAGTAGCTATGGATGATGATTGGGTTGGGAGGGGGATGGATCAGGTCAGTAGCTATGTATGATGATGGGGTTGGGAGGGTGATGGATCAGGTCAGTAGCTATGGATGATGAATGGGTTGGGAGGGGGATGGAGCAGGTCAGTAGCTATTAATGATGATGGGGTGGGGAGGGGGATGGAACAGGTCAGTAGCTATTAATGGTGATGGGGTTGGGAGGGGGATGGAACAGGTCAGTAGCTATAGATGATGATTGGGTTGGAAGGGAGGATGGATCAGGTCAGTAGCTATGGATGACGATTGGGTTGGGAGGGGGATGGATCAGGTCAGTAGCTATAGATGATGATTGGGTTTGGAGGGGGATGGAGCAGGTCAGTAGCTATAGATGATGATGGGGTTGGGAGGGGGATGGAACAGGTCAGTAGCTATAGATGATGATTGGGTTTGGAGGGGGATGGAGCAGGTCAGTAGCTATGGGTGATGATGGGGTTGGGAGGGGGATGGATCAGGTCAGTAGCTATAGATGATGATTGGGTTGGGAGGGGGATGGAGCAGGTCAGTAGCTTTAGATGATGATGGGGTTGGTAGGGGGATGTAACATGTCAGTAGCTGTAGATGATGATGGTGTTGGTAGTGGGATGGAGCAGGTCAGTAGCTGTAGATGATGATTGGGTTGGGAGGGGGATGGAGCAGGTCAGTAGCTTTAGATGATGATGGGGTTGGTAGGGGGATGTAACATGTCAGTAGCTGTAGATGATGATGGTGTTGGTAGAGGGATTGAACAGGTCAGTAGCTGTGGATGATGATGGGGTTGGTAGAGGGATTGATCAGGTCAGTAACTGTAGATGATGATGGGGTTGGTAGGGGGATGGAACATGTCAGTAGCTGTAGATGATGATGGTGTTGGTAGAGGGATTGAACAGGTCAGTAGCTGTAGATGATGATGGGGTTGGTAGGGGGATGAACAGGTCAGTAGCTGTAGATGATGGGGTTGGTAGGGGGATGGAGCCGGTCAGTGGCTGTAGATGATGATGGGGTTGGTAGTGGGATGGAGCAGGTCAGTAGCTGTATATGATGATGGGGTTGGTAGGGGGATGGAACATGTCAGTAGCTGTAGATGATGATGGTGTTGGTAGGGGGATTGAGCAGGTCAGTAGCTGTAGATGATGATGGTGTTGGTAGAGGGATTGAGCAGGTCAGTAGCTGTAGATGATGATGGGGTTAAGGGGGATGGAACATGTCAGTAGCTGTAGATGATGATGGAGTTGGTAGGGGGATGGAGCGGGTCAGTGGCTGTAGATGATAATGGGGTTGGTAGGGGGATGAACAGGTCAGTAGCTATGTATGATGATGGGGTTGGTAGGGAGATAGAGCCGGTCATTGGCTGTAGATGATGATGGGGTTGGCAGGGGGATTGAGCAGGTCAGTGGCTGTAGATGATGATGGGGTGAAGGGGGATGGAACATGTCAGTAACTGTAGATGATGATGGGGTTGGTAGGGGTTTGGAGCTGGTCAGCGGCTGTAGATGATGATGGGATTGGTAGGGGGATGGAGCCGGTCAGTGGCTGTAGATGATGATGGGGTTGTTAGGGGGATGGAGCCGGTCAGTAACTGTAGAGGATGATGGGGTTGGTAGGGGGATGGAGCAGGTCAGTAGCTATAGATGATGATGGGGTTGGTAGGGGGATGGAAGATGTCAGTAGCTGTAGATGATGATGGTGTTGGTAGGGGGATTGAGCAGGTCAGTAGCTGTAGATTATGATGGGGTTGGTAGGGGTATGGAGCCGGTCAGTGGCTGTAGATGATGATGGGGTTGTTAGGGGGATGGAGCCGGTCAGTAACTGTAGAGGATGATGGGGTTGGTAGGGGGATGGAGCAGGTCAGTAGCTGTAGATGATGATGGGGTTGGTAGAGGGATTGAACAGGTCAGTAGCTGTAGATGATGATGGGGTTGGTAGGGAGATAGAGCCGGTCATTGGCTGTAGATGATGATGGGGTTGGTAGGGGGATTGAGCAGGTCAGTGGCTGTAGATGATGATGGGGTTGTTAGGGGGATGGAGCCGGTCAGTAGCTGTAGATGACGATGGGGTTGGGAGGGAGATGGAGCCGGTCAGTAACTCTAGATGATGATGGGGTTGGAAGGGAGATAGAGCCGGTCATTGGCTGTAGATGATGATGGGGTTAGTAGGGGGATTGAGCAGGTCAGTGGCTGTAGATGATGATGGGGGTGGTAGGGGGATGGAGCCGGTCAGTGGCTGGAGATGATGATGGGGTTGGTCGGGGTATGGAGCCGGTCAGTGCCTGTAGATGATGATGGGGTTAGTAGGGGGATTGAGCAGGTCAGTAGCTGTAGATGAGGATGGGGTTGGGAGGGGGATGGAACAGGTCAGTAGCTATAGGTGATGATGGGGTTGGTAGGGCGATGGAGCCGGTCAGTAACTGTTGAACAGGTCAGTAGCTGTAGATGACGATGGGGTTGGGAGGGAGATGGAGCCGGTCATTGGCTGTAGATGATGATGGGGGTGGTAGGGGGATGGAGCCGGTCAGTAACTGTAGATGATGATGGGGTTGGTAGGGGGATGGAGTCGGTCAGTAACTGTAGATGATGGGATTGTGTGGTGGAGAGATGGACCATGCATATTAGACAAAGTTTCAACAAAATTAATATAATAAACATGGAATAGTTCAAAGCAAGGAAGTGTTAGGCATATCACCTAGATGTGTTGTGACTCTTCTGGAGAAGCTTTTGTATGTATAGACCATGTCATCATCCAAGTGTTACAGTTTTATAATACTTTATCTTGGTTGGTAAATATATCAAGAATAAAATCCACTAAAAAGGAAAATTCCTATAATTCAAAATAAGTTTCTAATACATTTTACTCCCTGTTTGTTTTAACAATTGGGTTTTGATGTGCTTTGTTGTAGGGGCGTTTTTAATCCCGTTCATCATCATGCTGTTTGTGACGGGAATTCCCCTGGTTTTTATGGAGCTGTCCTTCGGTCAGTATGGGAGCTCGGGAGTGGTGTCTATATGGAAAGCCTCGCCAATATTTCAGGGTAGGTACCAACATGTGAATGACATTTATCCTGTCTCCCAACATTACACTTTGTCTGTTTTGTTTTGCAGCTTATCGACAATTTCAGTTATTCAGGGCTAAACAACACTGAAAATAATAGATCACAAAAAATAAATACACCAAACTTTATCTGGACAGGTTAAGAGGTTACATATGCACGGTAGTGTAGTGGTAGGACGCCGGGCTCGTGACCGAAGGGTTGCGGGATTGAGTCACGTCACAGCACTGTGTTGTATCTTTGAGCAAGATATTTTACCCTGCTTGTTCCAGTCTACTCAGCTGTAAATGAGTACGTGGTTGGGCAGTGCTAGAATTGTTGAATGCTAGCTGTTAGCGCCGAAATGGCAGCACCGGCTGTATGCTCCCCAGGGAGTTGAGAAAGATATTGGCTGGTTGCAAAGGCCCTATAACCACGGATAATAATTTGTGAACCGCTTTGAGACGACCTACGAACTTGGTTGTGATAAAGCGGTATATAAGAACCTCAAATAGATTAGATAGACCCGACTTTTATGGCTGATTTTTATACGATAAGATCCAAAGTAACCACGTGCTACTTGGTCAGAAAAATGAATTTGCTTCGATTAAAGATAAGAAATCATGGACTTTTTAACTTTGATGTACCAATTGCATTTAAGTTGAATACCCAAACCTTTATTTGACACTTTTCGTTTAAAATTTATATTCTTGAAAAAGTTGTGAATGAAAGTGTTTTTATTCATTTTTAAAATGCAATTATAGTTCAATTTATTACATTTTAATGCAGTATCAAGTGTTTTTTTTTCCAAATTGATTCTCATTTGTGAACTCAATATGCAGTTTCTGACATTATTAATAGCACTCGTTTAACGGGAGTTAAATGAGATAAAAAGCATCTGAAGAATCATTTTAACATATTATACATACCCCCGGTATATATCAAATCCTCTCACAGTTTAATGTATGTTGCAGGAAATGAAATTGTTTAAACTGTTCTATGCAAAGAATGACCTTAATTTGGGATATTTTAACATAAGGTTTATTTTTGCAGATTTCTCATAAAGTAGTGGTGGTCTTATTTTTTCCAATCCAATTTTTTTTTCGCATTAAGGCTTTGCTTGTGTAAAATCATGAGTACTGTAAAAATGTCAGTTTCAATGAATTTACAATTTTGGACAGTGGGCATTTACCCTGGTATGAAATCACTGCAAAGTCGAGACAGTTATACATCTTTTTTTTTCATTGCTGTGTATATTAATATTGTAAAACAAATATATGCAGGTTTCATATTGATCATTTACCAGTTCACCACTATAGACCATAATGGACTTATCCAGATCAATGCATGGTAGAGTTTATTAAAGTTATATAGGGGTGAAAGGGTTAATGAACAAAATCAGTCTGTGTAAAGCCATGTGAACTACTGTTACATTATACTCTCTAAATTATCTCTCCAGATTCTTTTAAAGGTCAAGCTGACAATTAAGGTCAAAGGTCAAATCATTAATTCAACACAACAGTATATTTACATGTAACAGATGGCTACCCAGGTATATAAAAATATAATTCACGTCCCATTAAACAATCTGTATGAAATGTGCGACTCATGCTATAGACGAATGACGATTTGGCCCGGCGAGGCGTCGACCACTATGTACACTGCAAAAGGGGTAGAAGGGTAGAGTATATATGTGTATTATAGCACTGTCATAGCGATATTAATAATTAATACCTTCTAATCGGATTCTCTTCATTGACTAGGACTGGATCAATTGTGCTCAGGTTCATACAAGGCTAAGCTATTCTACATTACCACTGAAGGCTAGGACCTGGCACAGCTATTACTGAGTATGTGTAATTACTATTTAATATCAGGATTAAAAAATGACTTTTGCAAGTCTAGATATCTTACTATAGGGATTAAAAACAGCCTTGTGTTAGTCATAGATTTCTCCTATTGTAGGGATTAAGAATGGGTAACTATTGTTCCCTGTAGGTCCTCCATAGCACTGTCCTTGTACCTATATTCCAGCCTGCTGGACATGTGTTACAGGACTCTCTAGTAGGGTAACAGGAGAAATACTCGGCCAGTCCGGGGTTCAAACCCGGAACCCCCCAAATTCTATAGTGATGCTCTGCCATACAAGCTTTTTTTTTATTTTATTTTTTATTTGACACTTTTTTTTTATTTTCCTTTTTGCATAATATAATGACAATGACAACACAATTTTACAATGGAGTACCTCATTGTGAGAGAAGAATGTTTCAATTTGACCATATATTTGTTGAACTCAGATTCTACATTGAAGAGCAAAGATATACTTGTGTTCGTTTTTATATGTTGCTATGTATATTACAACTGTAGGACCAATACATACCTATTGCAAAAAAAGGATTTATTTTTTATTTTATACACATAATACATTACTTTCATACATCCATTCACTCATGTATGAAATGCCTAATACCGGCCATGCAAGCTCTACCTGGTTGTCAGCGATTTACCCAAGTCAAATTCCACTACATTCCCCACTCCTTGACCCCGAAGTCACATGGGACCCTAGGCCACCTCCTGTGGGTAGATTTTGTTAGGTACCATATATTGTAACAGGAGAGAACAAATGTGCAGCCAGATCGGGGTTCAAACCTGCGACCCTCTGAACTCTTAGACGCACACTCTACCATTTGAGCTTCCTGGTCGTCTGCGATTGGCCCAGTCCAGTTCGGCTTCAGTAGCAAGCTTAACCCTTTCACCACTGTAGACCATAATGGACTCATCTAGATCAATGTATGGTAGTGTCTACCAAAGTTACCAAGGGGTGAAATGGTTAATAGTATATTAAATGACATTTAAATTAGTGTTTTTTATTATTTTTTTAATAAAACCTGAAAACAAAACATCTATGTCCTTGAAATTTAAATTGTTTACCTTAATTCAGACAGTATTTCTAAAATACTCATATTTCAACACAATTTTTTCAAAATGTTTAAATTTGTTTTGTTTTTTTAAAGTTTTATAAGTTAATCTAGCTTAAATTTAATACATTATATTTATTCACAACTGGATCTTAAGCATGAATCGTTCAACACACCTCATAATTCTGGTATATCGGATTGTAAACACCATTGTCCTAATGTATGGCCTCATTTATGGTCAATGATTCTTTCAGAGCATGGCATTTAAACAAAACAGCAGTGGAAAACCCCCAGGAAAGTCGGTCATGGTGGGTTCATTTATAGATTAAATTGTAAGCAGCTTTTTAGGCTACCTGTCGTTGATTATAAGAACACAGTCAAAAGTTTATTTTAATGATAATAAAACACATTGAGATTTTTAAATGTAAAGGTCGGACTGGATTATTGAAACTTAGTTAAAACAGCATGAATGCCGTTTACACATAGAAGTTTATGCAGCTCATGAAACATGTTAGATTCATGTTAAAAATAAAAAATACTTACTTAACTACAAGCAAGGAAAAAAATAGTCACAGAATTTTCAGAAAATTATCATTGTTCTGATTCCGCGATATCAGAATTGTCATAATTTAGAAAAAAAATAAACAAACAAAATGTGCTTTAAATTTGAAATGCATGCATCATTAAGCTGTATGTGTAACCTGATCTGGGTATTTACATTCAGTTGAATAGTTCTTGACAAGACCACTGATTATTCAATTCATAATACCTTCCACTCAAGTCTGTACGTATTTTCTTGTCCAATTCCAGACTTTAAGTTCAACCTGAGTCTAAAAAACTTTAATTATGGAAAAATTTGAAACAAAAAATAAATATGATTTTTTGATAAATTCTCCTAAATCCTTGTTATCTGTAAACAAACAACTAAGCCTATTGATATTGTGGAGTTTTGTAATTTATAGAAAATGAAATTATTTCTGTTGTATAATTTGAATGGTTTTGTTATGTATATGCATGGAATGGTATACTACTATTGTATTGAAGAGAAGACACCTCAGTGGTATTCTATAAATTAATCCTTACCACCATACAGATTTGTTTATATATGTCAGACCGACACAGACAAATCTGCCGAGGGAGAGATATAAATACTACAAGAAGATACATTGATAGAAAGAGGCATCTGCGTGGGAGTATATCCTCTGTATTCAATGTGGGAAAGTCGGGACAGGAGAGGGCCTGCCAAGGGGGGCATCAACTAAGCACCACGGACTGTACATACGACAGATTTATTACAAACCAACATGTGTCTCCACACGCACTCCCCACAACCTAGTATGCATAAAAACAGTGTGTACACCTACTACCTGCTCTAAGTGGAAGCGCCTACAGGGGTGGACTCAGATCACTAGCAGACGACAACATGGTATTAACTCATTCACCCCTGAGATTTCATAATGAAGTATTCCAACCTTTGAATTGGAAGAGTTCAAATGTGTCTTCAGGGGTGAATGAGTTAATAACTATAATTATTAAATGTACATTCCTTTAAAAAATAGTAGTTAGGGTGAAAATGTTGACAAAATAATATTTGGAAAAATTATTTTTATAATGCTTTATATGAATAATACTCTGTGTATTTAGCCTCTACGTTAATAACTGTCAGTAGAATTTTCACAAAGGGTATACTGACATGTTTTCATGACCTTATTCTGCAGACTTTGGACCTCTCTGTCTGTCGTACTTTGGTTTCGGTGTGAGACGCTTTCCGAAATATCACCTATAATTTAACCAATATCAGCAGGTACATTGTTCAGTGTATAGCTCTCATAAAATCCATTCATATTCAGGTTAAATAAAGATTTCAGAAGCGTTGGTCCTTTAGGCAGGTGGATTTGAAAAAGAACTTTAACAGAGGCAAAATATACAAAAATTATAATAATTTCTTCACAAAAAAACTCAACAACACTTTATCTCCTTCTGCGAAAGATCTTTAGAAGATAATTTGTGCATTATTTTATGATATGATCAATGCTATAATATGGTAAAAAATATCTGTAGAAGACAAAATAATCATAGAAAATAATGTAAAGATCTTTAACAGTGGCGTTTTTAATCAGTGAAAGTTCCGAACTATATTTGGTTTAAATTACTATGTCTCGTATTCCAATACTCTAAAGTGTGTGTGTAAGAGTTTTCTCCCCTTGTCCATCATTGCGTAGTTTCATGCTCGCGACTGTTTGATAACACTGTCCTTGATAAAGTAGGCTTCGTGTTTCTTTGTCTCAATGGAAAGTCTCCAAGTAAAAGAGAGGGTTGACTTATACTGAAGTAGCTGTCAGCAGCTGTGCCTAATGAGTTTATAGATAGGTTCCCAATACAGTGTCTAGATAATGGCCCGATTAGTATAATACAAGTGCTTTGTGAATATAGCCTATTGAACATCAAACATTAAAACCGTATATACATATTATTCACATTAACCAGAAACTGAATGATTATATAGGTCTTTAACCTTCGTTACAATATCGTCAGAAGGAGAGATACACAAGGGACTTGCATAAGTCCGTGATTACAATTACAAATAATTATTTATTTATATTATCTATATATTTTTTTATTTTTTTTATTTAATCATAAACTTTCCAATAATCTCACGGGACAATTTTGGTTTGCAGGGTTGTTTGGTCAAAGTGTCACTGTTACATTTTTAGCTCACCTGGCACGAAGTGCCAAGTGAGCTTATGCCGTGGTGCGGCGTCCGTCGTCCGGCGTCCGGCGTCCGGCGTCAATATTTTACTTTAAACGACTTCTTCTTAATAACCGAAAGGCCTAGGGTGATGATATTTGGCCAGAAGCAAACTGGGATGAAGGGCTACCAAGTTTGTTCAAATAAATGACCTTCATCTATTTTCAAGGTCACAGGGGTCAAATATGTTAAAAACTTTAAACAACTTCTTCTCAATAACCAAACTGCCCAGGGAGATGATATTTGGTCAGTAGCATGCTAGGGTGAAGGGCTACCAAGTTTGTTCAAATGAATGACCTTCAATTATATTCAAGGTCACAGGGGTCAATTGTCTTAAAAAAACTTTAAATAACTTCTTCTGAATAACCAAAATGCCCAGGGTGATGATATTTGGCCAGTAGCATGCTGAGATGAAGGGCTACAAAGTTTGTTCAAATGAATGACCTTCACCCATATTCAAGGTCACAGGGGTCAAATATGTTAAAAACTTTAAACAACTTCTTCTCAATAACCAAAATGCCCAGGGTAATGATATTTGGCCAGTAGCATGCTGAGATAAAGGGCTACAAAGTTTGTTCAAATAAATGACCTTCACCCATATTCAAGGTCACAGGGGTCAAATATGTTAAAAACTTTAAACAACTTCTTCTGAATAACCAAAATGCCCTGGGTGATGATATTTAGTCAGTAGCATACTAGGATCAAGGGCTACCAAGTTTGTTTAAATGTATGACCTTGAATCATATTCAAGGTCACAAGGAGCAAATATGTTTAAAATATTTCAACAACTTGTTCTGAATAACCAAAAGGCTCAGGATGTTGATATTTAGTTAGTAGCATATGCTGGGATCAAGGACTACTATGTTTGTTAAAGTGAATGACTTTGACTTATATTCAAGGTCACAGGGGTCAAATTTGTTTAAAATCTTTAAACAACCTCTTATGAATAACCATGGGTCCCAGGATGTTTATACTTTGCAAGTTGCATCCTGAGATGAAAGGCTATACAATGTGTTCAACATAATGACTTTGTTCGACTTTCAATCACAGTGGTGAAATGTTTTAAAAAAAATTAACAGGGTCTTTTAAATGAATTTTAATCCTAAATACTGATATTTTGCCTGTAGCTTTATTTTAGATCACTTTTAAGGTTACAAGTGTGAGTTTTATACCATGTGAGCGATGCAGGCCCATTGGGCCTCTTGTTTAAAAAGATCATTGCCTGCGCTGTAGCAGCTTCATTCCTCAAAGGATTTCTATCGATTTGAAACACTAATTAAGGACCATAATATCAGACAAGTTTAAATTGTTTTAGCAATACTCTGCTTGTTATATATATTTTTATTGAAAACTAGGATTACTCAACAACATGTTCTTTATTATTTACTGCCATTCTGTACTGATATACCACCTCCTTTATTCCATTATTTGAATCCTTCATACACAGCATCCCTGAGTGCTCTCGGCACTTTGATACCTATGTTATATTCTATGTTACAGGTGTGGGCTGGTCTATATAACCTGTGTTATATTCTATGTTACAGGTATTGGCTTGGCTATATTACCTGTGTTATATTCTATGTTACAGGTGTTGGCTGGTCTCTATTACCTGTGTTATATACTATGTTAGAGGTGTGGGCTGGGCTGTATTACCTGTGTTATATTCTATGTTACAGGTGTGGGCTGGTCTATATAACCTGTGTTATATTCTATGTTACAGGGATTGGCTGGTCTATATTAACTGTGTTATATTCTATGTTACAGGGATTGGCTGGTCTATATTAACTGTGTTATATTCTATGTTACAGGTATGGGCTGGGCTATATTACCTGTGTTATATACTATGTTCGAGGTGTGGGCTGGGCTATATTACCTGTGATTTATTCTATGTTACAGGTGTGGGCTGGTCTATATAACCTGTGTTATATTCTATGTTACAGGGGTGGGCTGGTCTATATTACCTGTGTCATATTCTATGTAACAGGCATTGGCTGGTCTATATTACCTGTGTTATATTCTATTTTACAGGTGTGGGCTGGTCTATATTACCTGTGTTATATACTATGTTAGAGGTGTGGGCTGGGCTATATTACCTGTGTTTTATTCTATGTTACAGGTGTGGGCTGGTCTATATTACCTGTGTTATATTCTATGTTACAGGTGTGGGCTGGTCTATATTACCTGTGTTATATTCTATATAACAGGTGTGGGCTGGTCTATATTACCTGTGTTATATTCTATGTTACAGGTATTGGCTGGGCTATGTTCATTGTGTCGGTATACATCTGTATCTACTACAACATGATCATCGCCTATACTCTGTATTACCTGTTTGCTTCGTTTACTGCTATGTTGCCGTGGAGTGAATGTGGAGAATGGAGTACCAGTGGTGAGTATACGTGTACCCAGAGTGAGTAAACCTGTACCCTGAGTGAGTATACCTGTACCCTGAGTGAGTATACCTGTACCCTGAGTGAGTATGCCTGTACCCTGAGTGAGTATACCTGTACCCAGAGTGAGTATCCCTGTACCCTTAGTGAGTATACCTGTACCCAGAGTGAGTATAACTGTACCTAGAGTTAGTATACCTGTACCAGTGGTGAGTATTCCTGTACACAGAGTGAGTATACCTGTACCCGTAGTAAGTATACCTGTACCCTGAGTGAGTATACCTGTACCCAGAGTGAGTATACCTGTACCCAGAGTGAGTATACCTGTACCTAGAGTTAGTATACCTGTACCAGTGGTGAGTATTCCTGTACCCAGAGTGAGTATACCTGTACCCGTAGTAAGTATACCTGTACCCTGAGTGAGTATACCTGTACCCTGAGTGAGTACACCTGTACCCTGAGTGAGTATACCTGTCCCCTGAGTGAGTATACCTGTACCCAGAGTGAGTATACCTGTACCCAGAGTGAGTATACCTGTACTTGGAGTGAGTATACCTGTACCCAGAGTGAGTTTACCTGTACCCAGAGTGAGTATACCTGCACCCAGAGTGAGTATACCTGTACCCAGAGTGAGTATACCTGTACCCTTAGTGAGTATACCTGTACCCAGAGTGAGTATACCTGTACCCAGAGTGAGTATACCTGTACCCAGATTGAGTATACCTGTAGCTGGAGTGAGTGTGGTAGTAAATGTATTGATAGGTAAGACTAGCTTATTGTCACTAGAGACATTGTATTAGAAACATTTCCTAATATTTATGCTCTTACTTTTTTGATAATTTGGAAAAAGAGTTCATTTCTCTGATATTGGTGTCTTAATGCAAATTTCATATTGAATAGTACAATCTGTATTTGTTTACATAATTGATTAGGAAATTCAAATCGAACAGGTTGGAATTTATTTTTTTCCGTAAACTTTTTGAAGTCTCATATTGGTCTGGCCCTGTTGCATATTTTCTGAATTTTAAAATATATGATCAGCCATATAAACTGATTACCACCGCATACTCTTTACTCAGCCTGCAGTGGAGGATCCCGCTTTGCCATGAAGAATTGTTCCGAGCACAGTGGGTCTTGGTGTAACGATGAGTGCTACAATCTGTCTACTCTGAACCAAACGTACAGGCAGATCCTGGAGCCAAACTGTACTGAACTCGCTAAGGGCGTGGACTTCCGGTCCCCCAGTGACGAGTATTTCCAGTAAGTATGTGGTCAACACTGTTAAACATGAAATGAAAGTTAACTTACGAATACTGGCTTTTCTGTCATTTATGTGTGTGTATGATAGAGCTGTTCTGGGTAAGAAAGGGGTGTAGGAAGTTTCTATCTTACACCCCATTTCACGTGACGTGACGTCACAATGGCTCAACAATGATGTGAGTCACAAATTTGGAAAACTTTGATGCCGCAATGCGGAAAAGTCGACGTGATGAAATTAAAATACTTCATGAAACATTGACGTTACACTTTAGAATGATGAGATTATTTTTTTTTGCACAAACTCTGTTTGCAAATACAGGGTATGCTTAATCTCTTAAACCCTCAGGATTTCAAATTTGGCAAAACCCTCGACAAAGCCTCAGGCTTTACCAAATTTAAAAAACCTCTGGTGGAATTTCCCTATCCTACACCCCTGGGCATGAAAGAGTCTTATATTCCTACACATATATTTAAGGCAGAATTTTTTTCCCATTCATAATGAGATTTGAAAAGTAAAACCCCAAAAAATGAAAGATTTTTTTTTTTTTTTTTTAAATTTCACTTCTTACAATTTATTCCTAATTTTCTTTTTGCATGCTTTATACCATGAAGAATTTCAATTCTGCAATGCACAAAGTTTTTTAGCTCACCTGGCACTAGGAAAGCAGACTTTCTGCGCACCATAGAATGTGTCATTCCTTAGGTAGCATTGTACAGTAGCGTATGGTGGCCATGGGTGATATTTTTGTACAATGAATAACCCATGTAATCAGCACTAAAATTGGCATATATACATGATGAAGTGGACTTTGTGGGCTTCACATTTAAAAAAAAAAAAAAATCGAATTTGGCTTGAGACTACATTTTTGGCCATTTGCAAATCTGTGCCTACACAACAAAAGCTAGCTTTTCATGTAGTCTATAAAAATGCAGTTGAATGACCTATGCTAAAACTTGAGTATTTCTGTTACCGAATAGGTGATATTCAATTTAAGACAGGTTTTTTTTAGAAAAAAAATACTACTTGCGTGGGTCAAATTTTGGGTTAAAAATCTTTTTCTTTTTGCATTTTTTTTGCATTTTTTGATGTTGTAACCATGGTTTTTACAAGTCCCAAATCTGGGGAAATCACTTTTTGAAAAAAAAAATATCATTCTTCAAAAAAAAATGTATTCAAAATGTAGTTTATAAATATATATAAATATGTACCTGGTAGGTGTGTTGTGTAGGATGATTCCGCTATCCATGTTTATCTGAGACATGCCCTGTATTTTGAGGATCAAGCCATTTCTACTGTACTCTGCTTCTTTATATAATGATCCAGTGTGTGCTATGTATGATGTCAAACATGCATGTTCCAGTGTGTTGGTAATGATGTCATGTTTCTATAATGTTCCAGTGTGTGTTAGGTATTACGTCATGTTTCTATAATGTTCCAGTGTGTGTTAGGAATTACGTCATGTTTCTATAGTGTTCCAGAGTGTGTTAGGTATTATGTCATGTTTCTATAATGTTCCAGTGTGTGTTAGGTATTATGTCATATTTCTATAGTGTTCCAGTATGTGTTAGGTATTACGTCATATTTCTTTAATGTTCCAGTGTGTGTTAGGTATTACATCATGTTTATCTAGTATTCCAGTGTGTACTAGGTATTATGTCATGTTTCTATAATGTTCTAGTGTGTGTTAGGTATTACGTCATGTCAATATTATGTTCCAGTGTAAGCGTGCTTGGTATGACATCAGGTGTACATGTCAATATTATGTTCCAGTGTGAGCATGCTGGGTATGACATCAGGTGTACATGTTTATATTATGTTCCAGTGTGAGCATGCTGGGTATGGCATCAGTTGTACATGTTTATATTATTTTCCAGTGTGAGCGTGCTAGGTATGACATCAGGTGTACATGTTTATATTATGTTCCAGTGTAAGCGTGCTAGGTATGACATCAGGTGTACATGTCAATATTATGTTCCAGTGTGAGTGTGCAAGGTATAACATCAGGTGTACATGTCAATATTATATTCCAGTGTGAGTGTGCTAGGTATAACATCAGGTGTACATGTTTATATCATGTTCTAGTGTGAGTGTGCTAGGTATGAGATCAGGTGTACATGTTATGTTCCAGTGTGAGAGTGCTAGGTATGACATCAGGTGTACATGTCAATATTATGTTCCAGTGTGAGTGTGCAAGGTATAACATCAGGTGTACATGTCAATATTATATTCCAGTGTGAGTGTGCTAGGTATAACATCAGGTGTACATGTTTATATCATGTTCTAGTGTGAGTGTGCTAGGTATGACAGCAGGTGTACATGTTATGTTCCAGTGTGAGAGTGCTAGGTATGACATCAGGTGTACATGTTTCTATTATGTTCTAGTGTGAGTGTGCTAGGTATGACATCAGGTGTACATGTTTATATTATGTTCCAGTGTGAGTGTGCTGGGTATGACATCAGGTGTACATGCTATGGGCACCATTAGGTGGGAGCTAGTTGGCTGCCTGGCGTTGGCCTGGGTACTGGTTGCCCTCTGCCTAGCCAAGGGCATCAAGACATCTGGCAAGGTAAACAATACCAACCTTTTTTCATGCTTGTACAGAAATAAAGGTTCATTATGATTTTGAAAACTGGGCCAATTATTCAGTTCTTGAATAGTAAAAGGAGTCATCCAATAAGAATTTCAAAATGTGACTTAAAAAAAAAAGGGAAAATTTGAAATATTTTTGTGTTTATTATTTACAGACAATCCATTTTTATTATTTTTACTTGATAATGTTACTTGAACTTAATGTCTTTACAAATATTTCCCACCGATTGTTGTTATGTTTTAGAATCAGTCTATGAATATTCATATCCAGATTGTATGAACTGATATCATTCAAATTGACATTACTTTGATAATAATGAGGGAAAAAATACTTCAGCCCAGGAAAAGAGGCTATAAAAATTGGTATTTGCTGGGTTTTTTTTTTTTTAATTAATGTTGTTTACATATATATATGAGCAAAAAAGTACTTCCTAGGACAAGTTTCAAAACCTTTCTGAGTCTGAAATAGAATTTTACAACGAAACTTAAAAATTCAAAGATTAAAAGAGTATTACAATACTTTTACATAACAGGTTTCCAATAATTGTGGAGATCTGACAACGTTAAATAACATTAAACAATATATATATATATATACCAAGTCTCAACAGGCCACAGTAAAAATTTTGCGCTAGCTTGTCCACCAATCTTGTGTACTTTGTGACGTCACGTTACCACTGTAGTGTGATGAAATGTAATGTGACGTCATGAAGTTTTTCCTTTTAAAAAAACCCTGAACAGCCCTGTAACGAGCGAAAGCAGCTTGTTTTTAAGTCGGTCGTTAGATCTTATTTTTTCTGTGCATGTATATATTTACTCTCAAATACTTCACAGCAGTAAAATTTCAGGAAAAAAATCATAAAAAAATATTTGAAATTATCTTACAAAACCATATGTTTTGTTTTGCAAATTGGTAATGTCTTAACAATAAAAGATATTCACTACCGGTATAATAAACATTTTACTCTGTCACTTTTATTTTTTTAACACAGGCGGTTTACTTCACAGCCTTCTTTCCCTATATCGTACTTCTGATCCTGCTGGTGCGGAGCCTCACTCTGGACGGATCTGTGGACGGTATCATCTACTACCTTACCCCCCAGTGGGACAAGCTTCTCAGTGCAAGGGTATGTGATTTGAGTATTGTATGTAGAGGTGTTTTGCAGCAGTGTTCGTTCTTTGATATTTCAATTCCTACTCAAGTTGGACTCAATGCAACTACCAAATGTAACCTGTTTCATTTGCCGATGAATTCGCAGTTCATTAAATTTGTTTCAAGACCAACTCAATTCATCACCCCATGAAACAGACCAAAGCAAGATTTGATCCTTAACTGTTTTAGAGTTGCTTAAATATTTGGTTGGGTTTGTGTTTTACGTCCTATTAACCGCTATGGTCATTTAAGGACGTACAAGTGTTTTGGTGGTGGAGGAAAGCCTGAGTTCCCGAAAATAAAACACCGACCTACGGCCAGTACCTGGCAACTGCCCCACGTAGGTCTCAAACCTGCGACCCAGTGGTGGAGGGTTAGTGGTAGCAGAATATCGGACGCCTTAACCACTTGGCCCCCAGAAGCTTAAAAGGGTTGATAGTTTTTCTAACAAGTTTTTCAGAAGCTTAAAACTTTTAAGAAGAACTATCAACCCAAAAATCTTGAAACAATGAAGTCATCACTGTAGGATTTCACCTTTTTCTGTAAACTGTGAGGCAACTAGCTTTTGACCTTACAAGTTATGGTCTTATTGTATATATTTTGGTTACTTTGGGGAAGTCTTTGATGCAAGTATTAGTTTGTCTGTTAAATGAAAATTAAAATGAATTAAAATCGTGATTAAAAGTCACTTCGTCTTTGTTACAGGTGTGGGGTGATGCTGCTGTGCAGATCTTTTTCTCACTGTCTCCTTGCTGGGGCGGCCTCATCACTCTCGCCAGCTACAACAAGTTCCACAACAACACACTACAGTAAGTAGACCACAGTATAATGTAGAAACAGTACCCTGTAGAGACAGAATTACACTGTACTGTAGACAAAACAATACCCTACCATAAGTAGACAACAGTATAATGTAGAAATAATACTCTGTAGAAACAGCAATACTCTGTAGAGACAACAATACTCTATAGTAACAGCAATACTCTGTAGTAACAGCAATACTCTGTAGAAACAGCAATACTCTGAAGAAACAGCAAGACTCTCTAGTATCAGAAATTCTCTGTAGAAACAGCAATCCTCTGTAGAAACAGCAATACTCTGTAGAGACAACAATACTCTATAGTAACAGCAATACTCTGTAGAAAAAGCAATACTCTGTAGAAAAAGCAATATTCTGTAGAAACAGCAATACACTGTAGAAACAGAAATACTCTGTAGAAACAGCAATACTCTCTAGTACCAGCAATACTCTGTAGAAACAGCAATACTATCTAGTAACAGCAATACTCTGTAGAAACGGCAATACTCTGTAGAAACAGCAATACTATCTAGTAACAGCAATACTCTGTAGAAACAGAAATACTCTGTAGAAACAGCAATACTCTTTAGAAACAGCAAGACTCTCTAGTAACAGCAATACACTGTAGAAACAGCATTACTCTGTAGTATTCTGTAGAAACAGCAATCCACTGTAGAAACAGCAATACTCTGTAGAAACAGCAAGACTCTCTAGTAACAGCAATACACTGTAGAAACAGCATTACTCTGTAGTATTCTGTAGAAACAGCAATCCACTGTAGAAACAGCAATACTCTGTAGAAACGGCAATACTCTGTAGAAACAGCAATACTCTCTAGTACCAGCAATACTCTGTAGAAACAGCAATACACTGTAGAAATAGCAATACACTGTAGAAACAGCAATACACTGTAGAAATAGCAATACACTGTAGAAACAGCAATACACTGTAGAAATAGCAATACACTGTAGAAACAGCAATACACTGTAGAAACAGAAATACTCTGTAGAAACAGCAATACTCTTTAGAAACAGCAAGACTCTCTAGTAACAGCAATACACTGTAGAAACAGCAATACACTGTAGAAATAGCAATACACTGTAGAAACAGAAATACTCTGTAGAAACAGCAATATTCTGCAGAAACAGCAATACACTGTAGAAACAGAAATACTCTGTAGAAACAGCAATACTCTCTAGTAACTGCAATACTCTGTAGAAACAGCAATACTATCTAGTAACAGCAATACTCTGTAGAAACAGCAAGACTCTCTAGTAACAGCAATACACTGTAGAAACAGCATTACTCTGTAGTATTCTGTAGAAACAGCAATCCACTGTAGAAACAGCAATACTCTGTAGAAACAGCAAGACTCTCTAGTAACAGCAATACTCTGTAGAAACAGCAATAGTCTGAAGAAATAGCAATACTCTGTAGAAACAGCAATACTCTTTAGAAACAGCAATACTCTGAAGAAACAGCAAGACTCTCTAGTATCAGAAATTCTCTGTAGAAACAGCAATCCTCTGTAGAAACAGCAATACTCTGTAGAGACAACGATACTCTATAGTAACAGCAATACTCTGTAGTAACAGCAATACTCTGTAGAAACAGAAATACTCTGTAGAAACAGCAATATTCTGTAGACACAGCAATACACTGTAGAAATAGCAATACACTGTAGAAACAGCAATACTCGGTAGAAACAGCAATATTCTGTAGAAACAGCAATACACTGTAGAAACAGCAATTCACTGTAGTGTGTAAACAACAATACTCTGTTCTCATGATTAAATCAAAGACTCATGAAATTTTCAACCTTAACTTGTAGAACGCATTTTTGCGCCATGTTAATTGTGATTAATTTGCCCTCATTACGGACAGCGACATCCTCAACCCTTTCGCTCTCTTCACCTCCCATATATGTCTAAGAAGTATTGAAGGCTCAGTGTGTGTCACCTTGTGGATGAGGCTAAAAGACTGTTCTTGTCCTTTGATGTAAATACAAAAAAGGCGAAAGTGAAAGCGTGGTAACAAATTTCCCGGTATACGATACCACCTCAATAAAGCCTACGTGACCTGATCTGCTTACTTTACAGAGATGCTGTGATCGTGTCCATCCTGGACTCCGTCACCAGTGTGTTTGCTGGATTGGTCATCTTTTCAATCATCGGTTACATGGCTAAGGAGCTCCAGCAGCCAATCGACAAGGTGGCAAGTGAAGGTGGGTGTGGTAACCAGGTGGTGATAAAAAAGTGATGATGATCGCAGGGTTATAGACACTAACATTTTCTGCTTGGTAGTCCACAGGACTAGTTGAGTAGATTATTTACGAGTCCTTCGTCGATGTAGATAGTCCAAGTTTACTAGTCCTTCGCCAATGTAACTTGTCCAAGATTTCATGATAAGGAAACATTGCAATCTACAGCACGAAACATCAAAAGTAATTGGCTGTAGGCAGGGACTTAAGATAACTGCTGCCATCAAAATATGGTGAAGTTTTAGGAAAATTTGCCATCAAAATATGGTGAAGTTTTAGGAAAATTTGACAATTATCATGCAATATATCTTGTTTTAAGCAGTTTTCTAAATTTTAAAAAGGAATATTATTACTTTATAATAATATCTTTCACAAATCCAAAGGACCAGTTAGGTTAGGTGATTCACTAGTCTTTGCTGGAAAAGTGTTAGTGACGACCTCTGACTAATGAAAAAGTATAGGTCTCAGAAAAAAAAGACGATGAAAAAGCATAGGACTTGGCTGTTCAAATATGATTAGTTTGATAAACACAGAGTCATTTACTAAAAAAAATACGAAAATCAATGCCTCTTTATGTTTAGGATGCAAGATTTTCATATTTCTGACAGTATATTGAAAATAAAAAAAGAACATTTTGTGTCATGTGTGGTACAAACGTATTATACAGGGGCAGGCTTGGCATTTGTCGTGTATCCAGAAGTGGTGACTAAGTTACCCATCTCACAGCTGTGGTCCATCCTCTTCTTCGCCATGTTGATAACCCTAGGTCTTGGCACACAGGTAGGTCTTTCTATTTAGACTTTACTTTGCCATGTTGATAACCCTAGGTCTTGGCACTCAGGTGGGTCTTTCTGTGTAGACTATGTCTTTGCCATGTTTGTAACACTAGCTCTGTAAAAAAAAAAAAATGTTTTGTTGTTAAATGTTTACAAACATTTGCATAAATGAAACATTGCAGTAAATAATGTTAGTTAGGAATTATATTTTTTAATGCATGGTGCCGATTTGTAAAAAAGATTAAAGCCCAATTAGAAACACACCTATCTTGAAAAATCCAAAAGTATTAAAGGTTGGTAAAAAATATTTTGTCTATATAATTGGTTTCTTTACATGGATTAGATTGCCACGGTGACAACAGTACACACGACCCTGCTGGACCAGTTTCCACAGCTGTTCCGACGTGGTCATCGGAGTCTACTACTGCTTGTTGGGATAGCCGTGGGCTGTTTCCTTGTCGGACTTCCCTTCTGTACGCAGGTAAGGTGCTGAAACAGGCTTATCCTGTTACTTTGACTGAAACTTGAAAGGAATATTGTAAGGAGGCATTGTTAGCCGTGATCGCTAACGTGCACAGTCATTTCTACTGTGTGAAATCAAGCATGAGCTTCAGACCACTCGCTCTACCAAGAATTTTGGGTTGAACTCATGCGGTGGCGGAAAAAGAGAGTGATGTCTGATAGGGTTGGTTGTTATCCCTCCGATGGCACGGTGATTTTCCCCGTGGGTTTTCCTCCACCACGAAAACATCATTTGTTTCCTTAGTGGTGTCGTAGTAAGAGCTATACAGAGCTTATGTTTGTTGTTGTGTATACACAGCATTAAATAAGGATTATTTATTTCTTACTTTTTTAATTTTATATTTGTAAACAATGATGTGAAATCTTCAATAAGATTCATCAGTTTGGAAATTTGTAATATCAGAGTTTTACTTGATATGCAAACAATGTACGTGTTAAATGTGTCGCAACGTTTCAAGATCAACTGGTCCCTTTGTCCAGCTATGACTGAGTGAGAGATTTGTATTGTTACACCTCAAGTGAATTTCTAGCTATTTAATTGGTTGGGAGAAAATTAAACAAAAATCTCTGTCACCCTCCGAAAATACATTGGTTTTGGGGCGTGGGTGATATTGCCATGAGACAGTGAAAAATATCACATGGGCGAAAAATGTGCGTTCACTACTTCGTTTCCTTACCGTGATGGTCACAAGAACGTTTGACAGCAACAGCCAATTTTATTAAGCGCCGGTGCGATAGCGATTGTAAACAGCAGACTATCAACAAACAAGATGTCATTATCGAGGTTTGCTGCCGTTCCTGAGCTACAAAGACTTTTGGTGTAACCAAAAGTCATCCCTCAAAAACCCATTGTCACACTCGGCTTCGCCTCAGGTGACAATGGCTTTCACGGGTTGACAATATTCACTGTCACCTGCTAATGAATGTCATATTTATATATTGGCACCTGTACAACAATGTGACAAAATTGTATATTTCATATGTCACTCAACCCAGGACGTTTGGCCTATAGAGACTGTATACACACTGTTTTGAATAGGTTACGGACCTTACTAGAGAAAGGGCTAGATCTTCACCCTACCAGTAACCTATTCGATACAGTGAGTACAATTGTATACACTCTTTTATCAATAGGCGAAACACCCTGGGTGGAGTGACATGAAATATATACAATTTCGTCACATCGTTGTACAGGTAAACAATACAAATAGCTCACTCAGTCATAGCTTGACAAATGGAACAGTCGGTCTTGACACGTTGTGACACGCTGTATACGTACATTGTTTGCGTATGGTAAAAAATAAAATTTGATATTAATGATGTGAAAGCGCAATAAGGTAACAATTTTTACAGTCGAGCATTTCGACTGTGATGGTTTAACATGTATTCCCTAATTTTGCCCTTTGCAAAAAAAAAATGTCTTGAAATCTTTTTATTTTAAAAAGATTTTTATTTTATTATTTTAAATCTGAACTGTTGCATTACATAAGGCGCCTCTGTGATGATTAAAGTTCCTGTTATTTGTGTTACAGGGCGGGATGTATGTGCTACAACTGTTTGATAATTATGCTGCCACCTACTCTCTCCTCATAGTGGGGCTTACAGAGTGCTTCGCCATAGCCTGGGTGTATGGTAGGTTACTGCTATTCATGCTTATAAAGCATGTGGCTTATATTCATACAAATAACAAATTTGGAGCATATTAAGCAAGAAAAAATGTAAATCCTGGAATTAGATTTTGAAAATTCACAATACGAGCACATTGTGTTGCCATCTTTGATTGCTTAGTGTTATTTAAAATCATTCTCTTCAAAAAGCTTTAATTAATGACACATTTTAAAATTACACAGGAAACGATGACACATTTTGAAGGTACACAAAATATGATGACACATTTTAAAGGAACACAAGAATTTATGACACATTTTAAAGGTACACAAAATATGATGACATATTTTAATTTTAGAGGCACACAAAAACTGATGACACATGTAAAAGGTACAAAAGAATGCTTGCCTCTGATTTTTGAAAAATTAGGAAATACTGATGTTGTTTTAAAGGGAGATATCATATTACCGTAAATCAAATGCATTTATGTCTTCTGTTTTTAATAGATTTATGATACTTATTGATTTCGGTGTTACAGGGGCAGATAAGTTCATGACAGACATACAGTTGATGACGGGGAATCGGCCTCACAACATGTGGAAGTACAGCTGGATGTTTGTGGCTCCTGTGGCTTTACTGGTCAGTGTACATAACTCCACAACTGTCACACAAACAGATGTGTGCTGGGGGTTATATTTCAAAAACAGGAGCAAAATTATATTTTAAATTATTAAAAGCATTGATTTTTTTTTAAATGAAAAAAATCTGCTACAATATTGTCTTAAAACAAAATCCCCATATTGAATTTCAGTCAAATCTGTACTACGAGACCACACTAGGGAAGTTAATTTTTCACAGAAGTAGTTCCTTATTGGAGGTAGTTTTATGAGCAACTTTGAGTGTTTAACAAAAATTCTTGTTTTATTTACAAATGGACAGCAGAATGTTACTAAGATATCAAGATTTCAGCCAATTTTAAACATAGCATAACAGTTGTTGTGAGGTTTTGATCATCCTACTATTAACCCTTGCACCCCTATGTAACTTAAGTAAAGTCTACGATACATTGATCTGGATGAGTCAATTAAGGTCCACAGGGGTGAAAGGATCAACACGTGTGATCGTTTGATGTAATGGCCAACAGATCAAGGTGTCATTTACTTATAATAAATCAATTTTCTGTCTTTGTTGAACAGTTAATCCTGCTTTTTACCTGGATCGACTTCAAACCAACAAAATACGACTTGTACATTTTCCCGTCCTGGGCTGAAGGTTGCGGCTTCATAATAGGCTTCTCCTCTGTCATCCTCATCCCGATAGTGGCTTGTTACAAGGGCTATAAGGCACACTCACAACAGCCCAACAAGTCTCTAAAGAGGTAAGGTCAAGGTCGCACACCCCAGCAAATCGGTGAACATGTCATGTTAAGGCCAAATAGCCAGACAAGTCTCTAAAAGAGGTAAGGTCAAGGTCGCACACCCCAGCAAATCAGTGAACATGCCATGTTAAGGCCAAGTAGCCAGACAAGTCTGTAAAAAAGGTAAGGTCAAGGTCGCACACCCCAGCAAATCGGTGAACATGTCATGTTAAGGCCAAATAGTCTGACAAGTCTCTAAAAGAGGTAAGGTCAAGGTCGCACACGCCAGCAAATCAGTGAACATATCATGATAAGGCCAAATAGCCTGACAAGTCTCTAAAAGACGTAAGGTCAAGGTCGCACACCCCAACACTTCAGTGAACATGTCATGTTAAGGCCAAATAGCCTGACAAGTCTCTAAAAGAGGTAAGGTCAAGGTCGCACACCCCAACACTTCATTGAACATGTCATGTTAAGGCCAAATAGCCTGACAAGTCTCTAAAAGAGGTAAGGTCAAGGTCGCACACGCCAGCAAATCAGTGAACATGTCATGTTAAGGCCAAATAGCCTGACAAGTCTCTTAAAGAGGTAAGGTCAAGATAAAGGCTAAGTGTGTTTTTAACACAAACAGGAATTGAAAATGTATTTTGCGAACTTTCGAAGACATCTGTTTCTTTTGTCAAGCGAAAAATGTAAATGACAGGTGTCTCGACTCTAAGCCACTGAAAACAACCCACTAAGCCACAGTGTGCTGAATCAAGTAAAGGCAGCTGTCAAAGATGATTTCGACCAATAGCACTCTACTACTGCAGTCAGTTAAGGGAATGGGTAACATGTTAACCCATTCTGTCCCTTAGTGGAAGGTAAGGTCAAGGTCACACACCCCAACACTTCAGTGAACAGGTCATGTTAAGGCAAAATAGCCTGACAAGTCTATCAAACAGGTAAAGTCAAAGTCTCACATCCCAACAATAAGTTCTAAAAACAGGCGAGGTCATTGTCATGTCAAGGTCACACACCCCAACACTTCAGTGAACAGGTCATGTTAAGGCAAAATAGCATGACGAGTCTATCAAACAGGTAAAGTCAAAGTCTCACATCCCAACAATAAGTTCTAAAAACAGGTGAGGTCATTGTCATGTCAAGGTCATTCACCCCAACACTTCAGTGAACAGGTCATGTTAAGGCAAAATAGCCTGACAAGTCTATCAAACAGGTAAAGTCAAAGTCTCACATCCCAACAATAAGTTCTAAAAACAGGCGAGGTCATTGTCATGTCAGCCTAATAGGTTGATGAAACAGGTAATTTCAAGGTCACACTGCCGTGCTAGTCTGTAAAACTGGTAAGGTCACTGTCACGCCAGCCTAATTAGTTAATTAAACAGGTAAAATTAAGGTCACAGCTCACCTTTTACCGTAAGCTCGGTCACATCAGCCAATCAAATTAAGAGGTTAGCTTTACCTCATACAGCCAAACATGTAAGGTCAAGGTCATATGGTCAAAGACATATATATCTTAAGTTAGGTCAAGGTCACACAGTTTAAAGCACACATTAAATTAGGTCACCCAAGGCTAGGTAGGTCACATAGCACAACAAGTTTATATAACAGAAAACTTCAAAGGTCACACAGCTCTTAAAGTTAAAAGAACACCTTAAATTAGGTCACCCAAGGGCAAAGGGTCCATAAAACAGGTTAAGTCAAGGTCACCCAACCCAACAAGTTTATAAAAACAGGAAAGGTCAAGGTTACTCAACCCAACAACTTTATAAAAACAGGAAAGTTCAAGGTCACTCAACCCAACAAGTTTATAAAAACAGGAAAGGTCAAGGTCACTCAACCCAACAAGTTTATAAAACAGGAAAGGTCAAGGTTACTCAACCAAACAAGTTTATAAAAACAGGAAAGGTCAAGGTTACTCAACAAAAAAAGTTTATAGAACAAGTAAAGGCAAGTTCACAGCCCCAGTCTAAGAAAAAGGTAAGGTCACGATTAGATCACGGGTTACAACACACTTTTTCCATTACCAGGTATATAACAAAACTGGGTAAATTGTCTCTTGATCTTGCCCGACATGTCAGATAATCTTCGAAAAATATTAAGGCAGGTTTCTTGTAATGTTATAAGCAGCGCATCAGTAACACCACTTAAGTAGTTGTCTGTATGTGACACTCAGCTTAGATCAAGAATTTAAATGTGCAAATTTAAAGTATTTATTTTTTGAACAAGGGTTCTTTATATTGACTGTTTCTTTTTCATTGGTTTAGATGTTTAGAGCTCCAAAACTTCAGAAGAATCAGTGGTTTAGATATTTTCTGTAATATCATTTCATAAAACTGAATTTATGCTTTGTTTAACTCTCACCCCTCCATATATAAACTGGACTTGCCCAGTCTATGATTTGGCAAGGTTCAAATGTGACCTCAGAGGTGAATAGGTTAAAGAATTGCATGGGAGTATCATACAGGTAAGCAAAACCACTAATTCCATTTCGTTTTCACTAACCAGATTGTCAAAAGTCTTGCCGCCTCCACGGAGGACTGGGGCCCTGCCCTTAAGGAGCACAGAACCCAGAGGCAGGAGTTGTACATCAACGGAGAGACATTTGAGTCTCAAGTACCCCTCACTCGGCCAGCCCTCGAGGACACCAAGTGCTAACACCTATAACGAATTCCCCATGTGCCACATGTGACCTTTGCCAGAAGCTGCCTACCGGCCTGTGGAACAACTGTTTTACTGACAATTACTAGCTCAATCCATTATTTGTAGCAGTGCCAGTCCTCCGTCCTACAACTGTCAGCGCTGTCCGTTCATCTAACACATTCCACAGACAACTGTCTGTTCCATTATTTTGTCACATAGCTCTTGGAACCGTCCGTCCCACACATTCCCCTGACAACCGTGTTCTGTTCCTAGGCAACTACCTGTGCACTGCCTCAGTCTCATAAATGTTAGCACTGTCCATTAAGCTTCATTAAGCTTCACAACATAGCCTGGCGACTGTTTTCATCCTCATCCTCCTCTATGTAGTCAGGATGTTGTACGAGATACATGATGATCCGCATCATTAGTCATCAATCATTGTTTTTTTGTTTATTAAAACATTGAGATTTATGACACAGATCTGATAGTATTCATCTGGAATGGTATATAATCTACAAAGGATAGTTTGATCAACCATGGGTTATAATGGTAATTTTGATCTGCTATGATCAGTGATGTGTGGATCTGCTATGGTCAGTGATGTGTGGATCTGCTATGGTCAGTGATGTGTGGATCTGCTATGGTCAGTGATGCGTGGATCTGCTATAGTCAGTGTTGCATGGATCTGCTTTGATCAGTGATGTGTGGATCTGCTATTGTTGGTTCTGCATTAAACTGCTATAGTCATTGCTGCGTGGATCTGCTATTGTCGGTTCTGCATTGAACTGCATGGATCTGTAATGATAGCACTGTCTTGAGCTGCTATTATCAGGGCTGCGCGGATGTAGTGATTACTGCGTGGATCTGCTATAGTCAGTGATGCTAGATGTGCTATAGTGCTGCGTGGATCTTCTTCAGTCAGTGATGCTAGATGTGTTATAGGGCTCCTTATATCTGCCAAAGTCAGTCATGCTAGATGTGCTATATAGTGCTGCGTGGATATGCTGTAGTCAGTGATGCTAGATGTGCTATAGTGCTGCATGGATCCGCTATAGTCAGTGATGCTAGATGTGCTATATAGTGCTGCATGGATCGGCTTCAGTCAGTGATGCTAGATGTGCTATAGTGCTGCATGGATCCGCTATAGTCAGTGATGCTAGATGTGCTATAGTGCTGCGTGGATCTGCTGTAGTCAGAGATGCTAGATGTGCTATAGTGCTGCGTGGATCTACTTTAGTCAGTGATGCTAGATGTGCTATATAGTTCTGCGTGGATCTGCTGTAGTCAGTGATGCTAGATATGCTATAGTGTTGCGTGGATCTGCTTCAGTCAGTGATGCTAGAAGTGTTATAGTGCTGCGTGGATCTGCTTCAGTCAGCGACGCTGGATGTGCTATATAGTGCTGCGTGGATCTGCTTTAGTCAGTGATGCTAGATGTGCTCTATAGTGCTGCATGGATCTGCTATAGTCAGTGACGCTAGATGTGCTATATAGTGCTGCGTGGATCCGCTGTAGTCAGTGATGCTAGATGTGCTATAGAGCTGCGTGGCTCTGCTTCAGTCAGTGATGCTAGATGTGTTATAGTGATGCGTGGATCTGCTTCAGTCAGTGATGCTAGATGTGTTATAGTGATGCGTGGATCTGCTTCAGTCAGTGATGCTAGAAGTGTTATAGTGCTGCGTGGATCTGCTTCAGTCAGCGACGCTGGATGTGCTATATAGTGCTGCGTGGATCTGCTGCAGTCAGTGATGCTAGATGTGCTATAGTGCTGCATGGATCCGCTATAGTCAGTGATGCTAGATGTGCTATAGTAATGTGTGGATCTGCTTTAGTCAGTAATGCTAGATGTGCTATAGTGCTGCGTGGATCTACTTTAGTCACTGATGCTAGATGTGCTATATAGTGCTGCATGGATCTGCTTCAGTCAGTGATGCTAGATGTGTTATAGTGCTGCGTGGATCTGCCAAAGTCGATGATGCTAGATGTGCTATATAGTGCTGCGTGGATCTGCTTCAGTCAGTGATGCTAGATGTGCTATAGTGCTGCGTGGATCTACTTTAGTCAGTGATGCTAGATGTGCTATATAGTGCTGCATGGATCTGCTTCCGTCAGTGATGCTAGATGTGCTATAGTGCTGCGTGGCTCTACTTTAGTCAGTGATGCTAGATGTGCTATATAGTGCCGCATGGATCTGCTTCAGTCAGTGATGCTAGATGTGCTATAGTGCTGCGTGGATCTGCTGTAGTCAGTGATGCTAGATGTGCTATAGTGCTGCGTGGATCTGCTATAGTCAGTGATGCTAGATGTGCTATAGTAATGTGTGGATCTGCTTTAGTCAGTAATGCTAGATGTGCTATAGTGCTGCGTGGATCTGCTGCGGATGATGCTAGATGGATATGGTACATGTATGTCCCATTCTTGATGGATTGATGGTCGGTGCTGGTTGCCTTATATTACTTGTGTACCTACTATTGTTTGTGAAATTGTGTTTTATTTGATTTCTTATATAAGTGATCTCTGCTTGCGTGATCACCACTGAAGCTGTTTATAAGGGACATGTTCTATGCTACAGGTATAATTAAATCTGCTTTCCTTAATGAAAGCAAGTGTTCACCTAGCATAGCATGCGCTCATTTTTGTGTGGTTTAACCTATATATATAAATATATATGATGTGTTATATTTTTACTTTAAAGCTCAAATCATGATATTCTATTTTAACAATAACATTAATCCCTCTGCTGTCTTCACTACACTATTGGTATACTGCTATCAGGGAGATTTTGTTCAAGATTAAGTTCAGACAGTTTATATAACTTTCTGGTTAGTCATTTAAGGTTATCAACTTCTGTAATTAAATTATTTTCTTCAAATGCAAATTTTTTGTTGTTAAAAATGTAGGGGTCAGCATCATTTCGATTCATTACTTGAAAAAAAAAAAAATGTTTAAATACCTTCAAACATGACCTCTTGTATACACCAACACAAGGAAAGGCTTTGTAATGTATCAGATTTAAGCCATCTAGCAGAGATATGTTACAACGACATCTGCACTTTTAAGTTTGAATTGTATACATATTTTTTTCGTGTTGAAATTAGCACTTCATTCAATCTTTTTATTTCAATTTTTTTTATTTTACTTGGAGAACTAGTAAAATATGATATTTAATTGTGAAAGACTTTTTATCATGCTGTTTTTTTTTAAACAATCCTTCCTGTGGAAATCTTAATTATGTTTGAATTGATAATTATTATATATATTAACAATATTCATTTTTTTTAGCAAAGTGATATCCTTCCCTTTTAATCCAATACTCAGTATTAAAACAGGGGCAGCTAACTCAAGTTTGATTTTAAGGCAAGGGGAGGTAACTCATGCTCAATACTAAAAACAATAGTCTAAGTCATCTCCAATTCTAAAACGGGGGAAGATAAATAGTGCTCAGTTCTGAAACACGGTAAGTTTACTCGTGTTCCTACATAAAACAGGGAGGTAACACACACTCTTAATAAAACAACAGGAGCTAACTCTTGCCGAGTACTAAATCAAGGGGAGCTTACTCTTACTCAGTTCTAATTACGATGTTTTATCTCAAATAGATACATTCTTTGACTGATGAAATTTTATGTGAGGAATGACTGTATCATTGGACCTATTTATCATCTATCCTGTCTTAACAGCGGACAAGGAAATGTAAATCTGCCGACCAATGTAAAATTGTTTGTGGTTTTAATTACTAAGAATCAAATGATCACTCTTAACAATTTATTCCCTGATAGGAGGATAGTGAAGTTTTTTTCTAAAAATAATATAATAAAATAATCTGTTTTTACTTTATTTGTTTGTTGTTGATTTTTATTCTTTTATATCTAATAAACATTTGAAAAAAGATTTTTGTCATCCAATCAGTTTTTTTGTCATCCAATCAGTTTAAAATTGGATCCTTATTTTACCAGACTCATGTAAAAAATTGTAATAAATTAACTTGGAACCCAGTTGCTTAACTCATTCACCCTTGAAATTTCATAATGAACTAGTCTAACCTTTGAATTGGAAGAGTTCAAATGTGTCTTCAGGAGTGAATGAGTTAAGGATCCCCGTTCCACTGCCAAAACCTGTAACTATGTGTTGGAAACTGTTTTTTCTGGCGTGACTATAGCTTTGATAAATCATCTGAAAAGAAAACCAGACCTTGCTGTACTATCTCTGTGTATATCCAAAATGAAATTAAGGGGAGGTTACTGTATATAGAAAAAACAACTGTCCAGTGGCACAGGGATCCTTATAGCTAGATTAACTGAACTAGAAATTAAACATGACAATTTTTTCTTTCATTGAAATAATTGAAATTCAAAACCTAAAATTACATGTATAGTGGTACAAAAAATTGGCAAATATTCTGATTTTTTTCAAAAATTGCATTTACGATTGGGCCCTTGTTTAATCTGATTGAAAACGGCTACACTATACAAATTAAGTACAATTAGACCATGGATGTTAAACTCACAGATTTATTTAAAACAGCTACCTATATCTTATAGAAAAACATGCAAATAACTGTTACATGTACTAACAAGATTGAATTCCATAAATGGATTGATTGTGGTAATATGTGCCAAAATATGCAAAATTTTTGCTAATGTTTATAGCTCTGTTGCTAGGTAACGACAGTTCTAATTTTAAAGGAAAATACATTTTTATGAATGTCATATATTCATGATGATATGATATGAAGATTAAGAAGTTCCTGGTTTGGGCCAATTTTGGCCCTTATCGCCCCTACTCCTTTGTAGTGTTCGAGCAGAAATATAGGTACAATATAAACATTATTGTACCTCAGACCATCCTGTAGAGAGCGCAGGTGAGCGTAACCCCTGGATATTGAGGATGACCTCGGACTAGAATACATTGCTTCGAAGCTACAAGTATTCGTAACAAAAGTCATGCAATTGGGAGGTCAGGTGGTACATTAGGGGGGTATGTATACTTCTGGTATGAAGATTTATCAGTAACGAGCTAACTTCAACGAAGTTTAAGGTTGATATAAATGGCTGAAATGTCACGTCCTCCATGAAAGGGATATCTGCTGATTAGATGGACACACAGTCACACACCAGACGTTTTAGCATATTGTTGTGATAGCTGTCAAACTATCAGTGTTGGCTGGAAGTGCTCGTGCCCCTCTATCATGTGACATGGGTCTAAAACCTGGTCAAATCTGGAGAGTCGTGTGACATGGGTCTAAAACCTGATCAAATCCGGAGTCGTGTGACATGGGTCTAAAACCAGGTCAAATCCAGAGAGTCGTGTGACATGGGCCTAAAACCTGGTCAAATCCGGAGTCGTGTGAAATGGGTCTAAAACCTGATCAAATCCGGACTCGTAAGACATGGGTCTAAAACCTGGTCAAATCCAGAGAGGCGTGTGACATGGGTCTAAAACCTGGTCAAATCCGGATTCGTGTGACATGGGTCTAAAACCTGGTCAAATCTGGAGTCCTGTGACATGGGTCTTAAACCTGGTCAAATCCGGAGAGTCGTGTGACATGGGTCTAAAACCTGGTCAAATCCGGAGTCGTGTGACATGGGTATAAAACCTGATCAAATCTGGAGTCGTGTGAAATGGGTCTAAAACCTGATCAAATCCGGAGTCGTGTGACATGGGTCTAAAACCTGGTCAAATCCAGAGTCGTGTGATATGGGTCTAAAACCTGGTCAAATCCGGAGTCGTGTGACATGGGTCTAAAACCTGGTCAAATCCGGATTCGTGTGACATGGGTCTAAAACCTGGTCAAATCTGGAGAGTCGTGTGACATGGGTCTAATACTGGTCAAATCCGGAGAGTTGTGTGACATGGGTCTAAAACCTGGTCAAATCTGGAGAGTCATGTGACATGGGTCTAAACCCTGGTCAAATCTGGAGTCCTGTGACATGGGTCTAAAACCTGGTCAAATCTGGAGTCCTGTGACATGGATCTAAAACCTGGTCAAATCCGGAGAGTCGTGTGACATGGGTCTTAAACCTGGTCAAATCTGGAGTCCTGTGACATGGGTCTTAAACCTGGTCAAATCTGGAGAGTCATGTGACATGGGTCTAAAACCTGGTCAAATCTGGAGTCCTGTGACATGGGTCTAAAACCTGGTCAAATCTGGAGTCCTGTGACATGGGTCTTAAACCTGGTCAAATCCGGAGAGTCGTGTGACATGGGTCTTAAACCTGGTCAAATCTGGAGTCCTGTGACATGGGTCTAAAACCTGGTCAAATCTGGAGAGTCATGTGACATGGGTCTAAAACCTGGTCAAATCTGGAGTCCTGTGACATGGGTCTAAAACCTGGTCAAATCCGGAGAGTCATGTGACATGGGTCTAAAACCTGGTCAAATCTGGAGAGAAAAAGTATTTCGAAAATGACAATTCTGTTATTCTGTCAAATTTTATAAACAAACATCTTGGAAATAACAAATATTTATTAAAACTGTAGGAAAGCATCAAGAAAATTGATGTAATACAATAAAATCAATTTGACAAATCATAACAATTATATTGTTTTAACCCTTTCACCCCTATGTAACTAAACTAAACCCTACCATGCATTGATATGGATGAATCCATTATAGTTTACAGTGGTGAAAGGGTTAAAGTGATTTCTAATAACATATTCCCAGCTTAAAAACCCAACAGACACTGTCCAGGATGATGAATAAATTACAATTACACTCGCACATTTGCCATCACACACACACACACACTCGAGGTCACACACACACACCTTCACACACAAACCCTGCTCACACACATACAGAGGAATCTGGTAAATTCCTGACCATATGATGGTTTCTGCAAACATTTTCAAATATCAAATCACTCGTATTTCAGCTTAAGTCTATAGACAAGTGTTAAGGAACATTAACTCTCCAGAAATCTTCAGTAAAATATTGCATTAATTTGTTATTAACAAGTCGGTGTGCATTCACCATTGATGTAGAAACAATACATTGTTTTAACTCATTCACCCAGGAAATGTCATAATGAACTGTTCTAATCTTTGAATTGGACGAGTTCAAATGTGTCTTCAGGGGTGAATGAGTTAATGTAACACTGCTGCACTGGCCGACCTGTGTCAAATCCATCTCTTGGGCATTTTTTGTTGATTGGTACTTTGTTGAGATTTATTAACTTAAATTTTGGGGACGAGTTATTTCTATCAAAAATGTAGGATTTTTTTTTTCTTCAAAATAATCAAATTGTCAATTTGTCCAGATCACCTTCTATGTAATTCAATTTCAAAGGGAGCAGGGCATCAAAATTACAAAAAGAAGAAAATAAATGCTTGCATGTGCGGAGGGGTCAAAAGGTGCTTACAAACTGCAAGTGGGGGGTGTATCAAAAAGTGCTTTCATAGGGCAAAGGGCTAAAAAATACTCATAAAACATGTGGAAATGAGTTTTCCAGAGTTTGCACTGACCAGGTTCCTCTGTAGAGGTAGATTTCAGTCCCAGCACAGTGTCGGTTTCTCCAATTATTGCAAAATTCATTGTTTTAAATATTTGGCAGTAAACATTAGTTTCCATATATGCATACAAATTACAAATATTCATAAAGGCAAAAATAATTGTAGAAATTTCTAGTATATTGATTTCTTGAAAAGTTCAATACAATATATATCATGTGTAAAAATACCTTCCACATACATACAAAACACAATGCATATTTTCAAGGATGAAAACTTCCTCAAATACATGCATTAATTAGTACAAGATTGAAGTAAAGCATTTACATTATATTTCACAGGGACTAGTAGATATCTATTGTATCTACTGTGGAGGACAAAACATTATCACAGGATCCAACACCAGATCCAATTTGGTTTTGGCTTTGTTTGTGTTTTACATCCCATTAATAACTTTGGTCACGTGCCAGGTTTTAGTGGTGAAGGGAAACCAGAGTACCCGGAGAAAAACCACTGACCTGTGGAAAGTACCTGGCGACTGCCTCACATAGGTCTCAAATCCGCGACCCAGTGTGGAGGCCTAGTGATACCGGCTGCCAGACACCTTAACCACTCAGTTTGTTTCGTTGTGGTTTATGTCCTATGTCCTGTTAACAGTTATGGTAATTTAAGGACATGCCAGGTTTTGGTGACGGAGGAAAGACATGCCAGGTTTTGGTGATGGAGGAACGCCATAGTGCCAGGAGAAAAAGCACAGATCTGCAACCAGAACCTGGTGACTGCTTCACATACTAGTAGGCCTCGAAATCACCACCCAGTGATGGATAGCTAGTGATACAGGCTGTCAGGAGCCTTAACCACTCAGTTTGGTGTGATTTGTATGTGTTTCACATCCTATTAACAAATATGGTGGTGGAGGAAAGCTGGAGACCAGCGACCTGTGGCCAGTACTTGGTGACTGCCCCACTTTGGCCTCACAACTGCAAACCAGCGGTGGAGTGCTAGTGATCGTTGTCATTCAGACACCTTAACCACTCAGTCACCGCGATAAGATCCTATACATGTATATCTCATTAGCAACCAGCAATATTTGCAAACCAGCGGTGGAGTGCTAGTGATCGTTGTCATTCAGATACCTTAACCACTCAGTCACCACAATTATATCCTATACATGTATATCCAATTAGCAACCAGCAATATTTACAAGACTTTTCGTTTGTAGTTTTAACGTTTCAAATATTTTCATGATGACATTGTTTTAAGACATCAGTATTCTTGTTAAATGAACTTGCCTCGTGCTGATATGGATACTGAGTAGAATATGGAAACGGTCTTGTGATAACCTCTCATTATGTCCTGACGGATGCATAGATATTCCGTAAATGTGCATATCTTAGCAAATTTATTTTTTTAATTTAATAAATTTTAGACAAATAATTTGATTTACATTTGAATAAAAAGATTCCTTGAATGTGCCAATATGATTAGCTATTAATGATTTCATAAATACTGGGAGTGGGAGATCCAACGCCCGTGCGAAGAGTTCAGCTAAGTTCGGTGTTACCCAGCAGACGGACTCCACAAGGAATACACGAATCCGGCCGTAGTAGTAGAGTTATCTATAGGTAACGATGACCATGACAACGTCGGGCTGGGTTTCATAAATATAGTACAGACACTGTATTTAGCACAAAATTTATATAAGGTGATAATACATTTACAATCACACCTCTTTATGGAAAAGATCGCAGCCTGTAGTGTTTACTCCCACAATGTGTTGACATGGACACGGTCCACATTTTTGGCATTATTTGAGCACTTTAAGGATGAACCATTATAAACTATGTAAATATATTAATTCTTAAACCTCGCTAAATCCAGCCACAACACAGCCAGACACATGTTAATTACCTAAACACATAATATCACACACAGCACTCACATCTGCAGACAAAAAATTACTTAACTCATCATCATACACATTGTACTGTACACAGACACGTATTAATTTCAGCAAACTCCACATATAACAGGATCAGCTGTTATGAGACTTCAGGTTTAGCAAGATAAAAATTAATCCCCCGTAAAATACATTTTCCCCCCTTTTATGTCTCCAAAATATCAAGATCGCCTATAATGAGATCCTGTGTACAACGAGATAATGTTCAAATCCCTGGATAAGTAATGCAGACAAATTTGCCTTTGTATGATTAAGTGTCACTCAGGTAGGTATTAGCTCACCCAAATTTATAACATCATGATTACATAACACGCATACCTGTTTCTATTCTTAGCCACATGTAACTGTAGAAACACAATCCTGTGTATCATCCTAAAGTGTGTGGGTGAAGACTTGTCGATACTAAATTCATTAACTCATTCACCCCTGAAATTCCATAATGAACTATTCTAACATTTGAATTGGAAGAGTTCAATGTGTTTTCAGGGGTGAATAAGTTAATCATGGGATCCAAAACTACATCCAATACTGCAGTATAGTTTCTACATATGAATTAGCATCGAGGCTCCAAGATAATGAAACGGTCCTTAATCTAAAATTAAATTGTTTTAAGTTTTGACCAATTACAAACCAATACTGCAGCATAATTTCTACAGGTGAATTAGCACTCGGGCTCCGAGATCAGGAAACGATATCCTTACTCCAAAATTGTCTTGACCAATCACAAATAGGACCATGAATAATGGCATCATAAGTGATTGGCTTAAGCTTAAGTCTAATTATAAGATTGCTTCATGATTCCATGGCCTGTACATTAAGTACAATTGTGATAAATTTGGAAAGCATAAATATGGCACACACAGCCAATCCTTACCGACAGAAGAGACAAAAACTGTCCAAGATGCAATTTTTTTCAGAAATTGAGGGCACTGTGTTACAGGCCGATCATAAAAGTCAAAGCCGTTTCAGATTAAACAAGAGATCCCAGAGGGATCTTGGCGCCCACCTTTGTACCATTTTTATTAGTTCTTTGTCAGTTCGATCTTTTCTCTTTCTTTCCTCTAATCTGTTTGATCGAGTCATGTTAACAGTAAAAGCACCTTGAGGTAACTTTTGATCTGATGTGTATGAAACCCAACCTTCAAAGTGAGTTTGTCTTTTCACATATTTACTAGTACAGTACTTAATGTGAAAGAAGTAGAATCGATCATTGCAATATGAGAAAGACCTGTTTAGTTCTTCTTTTAATCCATTTTGTTTTTATGATCAGTCTCAAAATATAACATGCACAACGAGGGATCAAGGGGAACCTACATTTAAAATTTGAGAAAGATCCCTCCCGTACTTCCCTAGAAACACCAATAACAAACTTTCACTATCTGATGTTGGGCTATAAAAGGATTTTGTTGAGCGATTAAAAACAAGGAGACTGATTCTTGTGAAAATCTGTGGGGTGAATTTGGCTTTTGTGTGGGTTTTTTTGGTTTATTTTTTTACACTTTCATTGTTTGATTGGTTTTACGTTCGATTGAATACCAAGTAGTTCGGTTATCTAGCAGACAAATTTTCTATTTACATGAAGTAGGTACAATTCAATGACAGTGGATGGGAGTTGACTCTCCAGATTGATTGGGTTTAACAGTTTACAGCGAGAACCATTTATAACGAGTGAAATTTGGGCGTCCCTAGACCGTGTTAAATGTGAAGTTTAACTAAAAAGAATACCTCAAACACTCTCTTACCGACAGACAGACAAATTAATTAGCTAACACATTCATCAAAAAGGTTATTTTTACTGTTATAAAATCATGTAATAAATGTGGCTGAATATTTTGTTACTAAGAAACCAAATTAGATTGTTAATATCATAGACACACATACAATCCCTCACTACCTATAGCGCTTGGCTGAATAGTTTGTTATTAAGAAACCAAATTAAATGGTTAATATCATAGACACACATACAATCCCTCACTACATATAGCGCTAACACACTTTTAGTATTTTTCTCACAGACACAGCCCAGCAATTATTGATACATAGTCTTTGAATAAAACAGACACAAAATTGTTAGGTTGAGTAATTGGAAAAGCAGGTAAAATATTCAACTTTTGTAATTTTGAGATTTCAGAAAAATATTCATTATATTTGTAAAATTAACTCTTTTAGTTATCTTGTTGTGCTGGTTGCATACTGTATACTGGAAAAATTTCGCCCTTTGACAGTAAAATTCATTTTCGCTCAATATGAAATTACCTCTTCACTTTTTATTTGCTATGTATATTATGTTGATTTCAAATGTTCCCTGTTATGATAAATTTGCCCTCATTATGGAGGGCGAAAAAACCCTGAAAATTATACTGCAATGAAAAATTTCCCAGTATTCAGTATGGAAAATTTAATATTTCATATTTCATATATTAAATGTGCACAGAAAAATTTGAAGCAGAAATTGCTACTAAAAGAAATTTGAATATTGCCAAATTGCAAAGATTTAATATCTCAATTTAGGCCCTGGCAGGTTACACGTTTGATATTGGCAACATGCATTCATTCCATCAAGATCATCCCAATGGTATGTTTAACTGGTCAGTGACTTAAGCCTTCTGGTCAGTCCCTCGAACGGTCACTCGGGTATCCCCGGCCACTCCCACAGTCTAACTTTGAGTCTAACGGAACAGTTTGTTACACATCACACTCAGTCTCCATAGAACACTTTGGCCAATTGATATCGTATAAAAAATGCTACACAGCTGCACAGCACCTGAAATACCAACAGAAAAACACCACTGTTTCATGTTAAATACTTAAGCATCGACACAGCTTTGCAAGCAAACAAATCGTAATGCAGGGTATGTTGTTTGCTTGCAAAGCTGTCATTCAAATCAGATCATAATTGCCATACAAAAACAGTTCAATGCTTCTATTTACGTTTTCTCCACGTTTCACGTAATTTTAACTTTCAAATCATATTTTAAAGATTTAAAATTTCTGTTGAAATACTATATTTTGGTCAAACCATTCTCATATATTAATAAACCGAAATAACATTTTTGTTATTGATGAACAAAATATTGGAAAAATACATATTTGGAATTAAATCAAGATATTTTTTTTCAAGAAAAACATTGCCAACGCAAGCACTGTTTTACTTAATAAGAGAAATAATTGGACCTTCGACAATTATTGGATCTTTGACCTTTGACCTTGAAATGAAAGTCACATTGTCCTTATAATGGTCCGTCACACCTTCTGTGGGTGATGAACGTAAACAATTATATCCATGACGTAGACAGAAATCTCAACCCTCGGGATAAGATTTTTGAGGATCAACACCTCTGACAAAGCCTCATTCTGAACCTGAAATATCATATCAACCTAAAAATATCTTATCAAGACATTGGCATTTGTCTGTCTACATCATAGAGGAGCAAAATACCATATAGCAGGATATTTTCGCACTAATGGGGGTCAATAACGTGATTGCGACAATATGTCATGAACATTAGAATAAAATGACAAGCATAAAAATGAGCCACGATAAAAAAAATTATAACCCGAATTTCGTCATGAAAAAGCGACTGTGGTTGTCATGATTCGTATACATCGGTGTTACAGGATGTTTGAAAATAGATTACATTACATTGTTGATGTTTTGTTTATCAAAATACACTGACTTGCTTTTGCTCAGTATGCTGTAATAATTTAATCTTGCTTGTAACAAGCATTTTCATTGGCTTAAAAATTTATGTTATCAGCCAATAACGTAAAAAATGACGTCGCCGTTTGTAACGCCGTTTTTGATTGGCTGATACTGCAGCACAATAATTTCGAAGAGAAAAGAGTCCATCAATAAAAGTGGATCTCCACAGGGATTGTGTATAGTAGATTAAATTATAAGGATTAACTTGAATATATTTTTCATGTTATGGAGGCATAACACAAAAAACCAGAGTGTACTCTCATCATAAACCGCTTCACGGTTTATTTAGAGTACACTCCGGTTTTTTGTGTTATACCTCCATAACATGAAAATTATATTTAAGTTAATCCTTAAATAACACGTATTAATTTGAATACTTCCTTTGCCAAGTGTCCAGTCTCTGTGCAAAAAACTCAGTTCCTTTCACATGTCTAGATCACAAAATTATAATCAGTGTAAATTCAATTGTCTAATTTTGGGTCAAAATCACCAAAAAAATTAAGCCCCGTAAATAACCTGTTATACAGTACTCTATTAGTTAGACTATGAACTATGACGCAGACACAATATTACCTGAATTATCATGAGTATCACACACAGCGTTCGTTCGTGAAGTGGACCCGTGAATTTTAGGATGAGGTTAATGAGCGTCATATTATTACAGGTCATCTTCTCCTCCTTCTCCTCCTCCACATGGAGCACCCCCAGGGTCCGCATCACCCAAATAATGCCCTGCCCCAGGGGATTTAGATTGGAGGACTTCATAACAGCCATACTCATCTTCAGCTTATCGGTCTTTGGGTCGTAACTGCAAGGGAAAATATTTAAAATACAGCACTGTTTGGCAAATACATATTGATATTATTATACAGGGATGGATGTTCAAGGATTTATCAAGGATTTAGGTATTCATAAACATTTAAACCTTGATACAGTCAAACTTTGATGTTTCGATCTTTGCGGGACCATTGGAAAAAATTTAAAACATCGGAACTTTGATCATGACTCACGAATGCGAAACTTGAACATCATTGAAATCCTGTACATAAGACCGACTTTGATTCTGAAATGATGAAATACCGGCTAAGAAATCTAATCTATAAATATTAGATTTGCAGTAATAAGAATCACACTGTAGTTGGCTTGATCTTATCAAATTCAATATTATTTTTTGGTTTATCAATTATCTTTAGAAAGTCTATGCCCGTGTTAATGTACAGGTATTTTTTTAAATTTCGACTTCTTAGTTGTAATTTTCATTTTTTTTCCCCATAAGGAACAGACCTTACTTGATTAATGAATAGAATATTAGTATTATTTAAGGGAGAAAATCTGGACTTTGTCGTAAACCTTGTTCACCACAATCATATTTCAAAGTCCCTTTTTTCTTGATTTCTTAAGAATTCCTTTATATCTTTCCCCCATATTATTGCCAAACCCCTCTATAATGCCAAAATTCTCTGGAAAATAGTGGCAGTATAACAAGGTTTCACTGTAGAGCCAAACAGGGCTTACTTTTTTCTGTAACTTGTAGCATTTATTTCTGATGCTCCTTTCTCCATAAGTTATAAATTTAAAAAAATAGAGCTAAATTTCTAATATCAATTTGTACATTTAAGGAGTGAACACAATATATATCCAGCACACACGCAGGTATACACACATAAGGAAATATTAGCTAGGTGGCATAGGACTAGTAGTTAGCGCCTGATAAGGCAGCTCCTGCAAATTCCTCAAATTTGTATTGATTGTATATCCATGTACTGTAAAGCGCTTTAGAGTGGCTTTTGTTAGCTAGATAGTGCGCTATAGCAAATGTTGTATATTTATTTATTTTAAGGTGCTAATATAAAATTGAACACGTTAGTATGTATTTATATAGGACAGTGGGTACTAAGTAGCCCACCCACATTCATTCCCAGCAAAATGTCTGGAACATTAGCTGCATTGTCAAGACAAGTTTACTTAGAAAAGTCCAATCTCTCTCAGGAAACACAAGCTTGATAGTACTGTTTTTCACTGGTGATAAGCCCATACCTGGTAATAAGCCCACCCCCAACTTTTCCTTACTTTCCATGCATAGTGTTGGTGCCCAGTAATAAGCCCATCCCCCTTTCTACAAGTTTGGTAACAAGATTTATTTTGTATGGTTGTACTTCGTGCAATACATGTAAGGCTAATCAGTAGAGTGCTACAAAACACTTACCGGTGATTAAAGGATTTGGTTTTTGAACCCCTGCAGTTCTGTGTTGGCAAAGCATAAAAAATCTACTAGCATGTGCAACATGAAAGAGGAATGAGGTGGCTGGATAAACAATGTATATTACAGTGGAACCCGCTTATTATGATATCCTATTTGCCAGAGAAAAATATCATAATAACCGATATATCATAATAACCCATCAAGCTGTTTTTGATCGTTTTTATGTTGTCTGAACCGGAAGTGAGATGCCCTATATTAATCAGACATAGATTGATGTGGAAACATGGAAAATATAAATACAAACTGATAAAGTATTTTATTTTACTATGAATCCCTTGACTTTCCAATTCTGTCAAGATTCAACACTCATCTTCTCCTGACTGAAATGTTGAAGGTTATTTCCTTTGGTTTCACCTACAAAGGAAGCCTGATTCTATGAGTCACGACCATGGGCCACTGGTGTGGACTTGGATTACACCTACCTTGGCAGTCGATGACGAGGGCAGGGTACCATTCTGAAGAGCTGAGGTACGGAGTACACAAAGTTTATCACTTGAGGTATAAAGAAGAGAAGCATGGTTTTACTAAAGTGTCCTAAGATAGCTACCACAGCAAAAGTCATTCCGGAGAAATAGCAGAAGGTGTCTCCGACAAAAACCTGGGAGGGGTACCTACAACACAGAACAGGCTTATTACAGAACACACCCAGTAAACATCTTCATATAAGGCCCAAACAAAATTTATGTGTTTCAGGTATCCCTACCTACCACATCCTCAATACTCCAGGATTTACGCTCACTTTTACTCTCTACACCCCTGGAACATGTCATAGCAAAATTGAAGGCACGTGGCTAGCCATTTTATTAGTCTCAGGTAAAAAATCCTGACCAACCGCCAGGCTGATACCTGTCGTTTTTAGGACCTGGTTACAGATTACAGATGAGCGACACCCGACTTCAAAGTCAATTCTACCGTCACGTGACCGAGAGATTCTTTTGATGTACATCAAAGGATCAAACTAGTCTTCTTGTCTCACCAACAAGATGCTGCACACTAAACCTTCAATTTTGTTATAACATATTCCAGGGGTGTAGAGAGCCAAAGTGAGCGTAACCCCTGGAAAATTCCATATTCGATATATAATTTGTTCATTAAAGAAATCAAAGTGTCAAATGTATATATACAATGTAAACTATGCATTGAAAATCATTTATTCTTATGACTTTTACTATATGACCGACAGAACTGCATAAAAGTTGCTTGAAATCCATTCATTATAAAGGAACGAAACCTAATGTATACTGAACAACTCTGTCTTTTGACGTAATAGTAGGCGTTCTCACTTTGTTTGGGTTTACAGTCCCATAAAATAATAAACCGATTACCGGTATGCTATTGATTATCGATCTGTTAACTGCTTCTGATTAAACACTGATTTTCATAATGATTTTAAACTGTTTGCCCATCACCAATTTCAAGTTATATATCGGCACAAACAACAACAGGGTTTTCCGAAACAAAAAATATCATTCCCAGACAACAAATACAAGGTTAAAAATTACCTTAGAACAGATGACAGGGTTATTGCTGGACAAGTAGGTAACAAGGTTATTATTGTACAACTGATGACAGGGTTATTGCTGGACAAGTAGGTAACAAGGTTATTATTGTACAACTGATGACAGGGTTATTCCTGCGAAAAAAAAATGACGGGGTTCGTTATTACCTTGCAACAGTTTACAGGGTTATACTCACCAGTTGTAGTAGAGGAGGGCAAGACTGACCGCGAGGAAAGGTATGATAAAGTAGGCACTGAACACATGGGCCTGGTGGTAGGGACCTGTAACAGATTGTGTAAAACATCAAGACCTACACAATGTAAACAAGAGGCCCAGTGGGCCTGGTGGTAGGGGCCTGTAACAAATTGTGTAAAACATCAAGACCTACACAAAGTAAACAAGAGACCCAGTGGGCCTGGTGGTAGGGACCTGTAACAAATTGTGTAAAACATCAAGACCTACACAAAGTAAACAAGAGGCCCAGTGGGCCTGGTGGTAGGGGCCTGTAACAAATTGTGTAAAACATCAGGACCTACACAAAGTAAACAAGAGGCCCAGTGGGCCTGGTGGTAGGGACGTGTAACAGATTGTGTATAACATCAGGCCCTTCACAAAGTAAACAAGAGGCCCAGAGGGCCTGGTGGTAGGGACCTGTAGCAGATTGTGTAAAACATCAGGACATTCACAAAGTAAACAAGAGGCCCAGAGGGCCTGGTGGTAGGGACCTGTAGCAGATTGTGTAAAACATCAGGACATTCACAAAGTAAACAAGAGGCCCAGAGGGCCTGGTGGTAGGGACCTGTAGCAGATTGTGTAAAACATCAGGACATTCACAAAGTAAACAAGAGGCCCAGTGGGCCTGGTGGTCAAAAGTTCTATAGAACTAACATTATTTGTTTTAAAATGCCCACCGACTTTGAATAAAATTTATTTTTTCCTTTCTTATCACCTTTAACAGATTGTGTAAAACATCAGGGCCGTATTCATGAAAACATTCTCATGCTCAAAGTCAGATGTTGTGCTCGAGCCGAATTTCTTGTTCCAGTGATATAGTCACTTTTTGTCAATGATATGGAAGAACTTTTGGGAGACTTGAATCTGATAATGTTTTGAATGTTTCATGATCTAAGGGAGTTACGAGAAAGTTGGCTTGAGCAAAGAATTCATTTTCTATAAATAGGAGCTCAGGACAAAGTAAACAAGCGGCTGAGGGGTCTGTATAGCTGTGGGAGCCCTCCTCACCCATTGAAAAAGGGAATTTCACTAGGGCCTTAGCACATAAAAATATTCCTGTTACAATGTAATATAAATGAATTAGGAAGCTTTGTCTGAATAATAACGTGTTTCCATAGTTGGACACAAGTATACATACCCGACATCTCAAGAAAGTTGTAGAGGAGGACGGAAAGCGCAATGATCACAGCTTGCCCACATTCCAGGCCATTGATTCCAGCTAGGATGTTTATGGCGTTGGTACAGAACACAGCCAGCATGCCCATATACACATAGTATAACACCCCTGAAACACAGATCCCAACATATACAGTAGTCCTATATACACATAGTATAACACCCCTGAAACACAGATCCCAACATATACAGTAGTCCTATATACACATAGTATAACACTCCTGAAACACAGATCCCAACATGTACAGTAGTCCTATATACACATAGTATAACACTCCTGAAACACAGATCCCAACATGTACAGTAGTCCTATATACACATAGTATAACACTCCTGAAACACAGATCCCAACATGTACAGTAGTCCTATATACACATAGTATAACACTCCTGAAACACAGATCCCAACATGTACAGTAGTCCTATATACACATAGTATAACACTCCTGAAACACAGATCCCAACATGTACAGTAGTCCTATATACACATAGTATAACACTCCTGAAACACAGATCCCAACATGTACAGTAGTCCTATATACACATAGTATAACACTCCTGAAACACAGATCCCAACATGTACAGTAGTCCTATATACACATAGTATAACACTCCTGAAACACAGATCCCAACATGTACAGTAGTCCTATATACACATAGTATAACACTCCTGAAACACAGATCCCAACATGTACAGTAGTCCTATATACACATAGTATAACACTCCTGAAACACAGATCCCAACATGTACAGTAGTCCTATATACACATAGTATAACACTCCTGAAACACAGATCCCAACATGTACAGTAGTCCTATATACACATAGTATAACACTCCTGAAACACAGATCCCAACATGTACAGTAGTCCTATATACACATAGTATAACACTCCTGAAACACAGATCCCAACATGTACAGTAGTCCTATATACACATAGTATAACACTCCTGAAACACAGATCCCAACATGTACAGTAGTCCTATATACACATAGTATAACACTCCTGAAACACAGATCCCAACATGTACAGTAGTCCTATATACACATAGTATAACACTCCTGAAACACAGATCCCAACATGTACAGTAGTCCTATATACACATAGTATAACACTCCTGAAACACAGATCCCAACATGTACAGTAGTCCTATATACACATAGTATAACACTCCTGAAACACAGATCCCAACATGTACAGTAGTCCTATATACACATAGTATAACACTCCTGAAACACAGATCCCAACATGTACAGTAGTCCTATATACACATAGTATAACACTCCTGAAACACAGATCCCAACATGTACAGTAGTCCTATATACACATAGTATAACACTCCTGAAACACAGATCCCAACATGTACAGTAGTCCTATATACACATAGTATAACACTCCTGAAACACAGATCCCAACATGTACAGTAGTCCTATATACACATAGTATAACACTCCTGAAACACAGATCCCAACATGTACAGTAGTCCTATATACACATAGTATAACACTCCTGAAACACAGATCCCAACATGTACAGTAGTCCTATATACACATAGTATAACACTCCTGAAACACAGATCCCAACATGTACAGTAGTCCTATATACACATAGTATAACACTCCTGAAACACAGATCCCAACATGTACAGTAGTCCTATATACACATAGTATAACACTCCTGAAACACAGATCCCAACATGTACAGTAGTCCTATATACACATAGTATAACACTCCTGAAACACAGATCCCAACATGTACAGTAGTCCTATATACACATAGTATAACACTCCTGAAACACAGATCCCAACATGTACAGTAGTCCTATATACACATAGTATAACACTCCTGAAACACAGATCCCAACATGTACAGTAGTCCTATATACACATAGTATAACACTCCTGAAACACAGATCCCAACATGTACAGTAGTCCTATATACACATAGTATAACACTCCTGAAACACAGATCCCAACATGTACAGTAGTCCTATATACACATAGTATAACACTCCTGAAACACAGATCCCAACATGTACAGTAGTCCTATATACACATAGTATAACACTCCTGAAACACAGATCCCAACATGTACAGTAGTCCTATATACACATAGTATAACACTCCTGAAACACAGATCCCAACATGTACAGTAGTCCTATATACACATAGTATAACACTCCTGAAACACAGATCCCAACATGTACAGTAGTCCTATATACACATAGTATAACACTCCTGAAACACAGATCCCAACATGTACAGTAGTCCTATATACACATAGTATAACACTCCTGAAACACAGATCCCAACATGTACAGTAGTCCTATATACACATAGTATAACACTCCTGAAACACAGATCCCAACATGTACAGTAGTCCTATATACACATAGTATAACACTCCTGAAACACAGATCCCAACATGTACAGTAGTCCTATATACACATAGTATAACACTCCTGAAACACAGATCCCAACATGTACAGTAGTCCTATATACACATAGTATAACACTCCTGAAACACAGATCCCAACATGTACAGTAGTCCTATATACACATAGTATAACACTCCTGAAACACAGATCCCAACATGTACAGTAGTCCTATATACACATAGTATAACACTCCTGAAACACAGATCCCAACATGTACAGTAGTCCTATATACACATAGTATAACACTCCTGAAACACAGATCCCAACATGTACAGTAGTCCTATATACACATAGTATAACACTCCTGAAACACAGATCCCAACATGTACAGTAGTCCTATATACACATAGTATAACACTCCTGAAACACAGATCCCAACATGTACAGTAGTCCTATATACACATAGTATAACACTCCTGAAACACAGATCCCAACATGTACAGTAGTCCTATATACACATAGTATAACACTCCTGAAACACAGATCCCAACATGTACAGTAGTCCTATATACACATAGTATAACACTCCTGAAACACAGATCCCAACATGTACAGTAGTCCTATATACACATAGTATAACACTCCTGAAACACAGATCCCAACATGTACAGTAGTCCTATATACACATAGTATAACACTCCTGAAACACAGATCCCAACATGTACAGTAGTCCTATATACACATAGTATAACACTCCTGAAACACAGATCCCAACATGTACAGTAGTCCTATATACACATAGTATAACACTCCTGAAACACAGATCCCAACATGTACAGTAGTCCTATATACACATAGTATAACACTCCTGAAACACAGATCCCAACATGTACAGTAGTCCTATATACACATAGTATAACACTCCTGAAACACAGATCCCAACATGTACAGTAGTCCTATATACACATAGTATAACACTCCTGAAACACAGATCCCAACATGTACAGTAGTCCTATATACACATAGTATAACACTCCTGAAACACAGATCCCAACATGTACAGTAGTCCTATATACACATAGTATAACACTCCTGAAACACAGATCCCAACATGTACAGTAGTCCTATATACACATAGTATAACACTCCTGAAACACAGATCCCAACATGTACAGTAGTCCTATATACACATAGTATAACACTCCTGAAACACAGATCCCAACATGTACAGTAGTCCTATATACACATAGTATAACACTCCTGAAACACAGATCCCAACATGTACAGTAGTCCTATATACACATAGTATAACACTCCTGAAACACAGATCCCAACATGTACAGTAGTCCTATATACACATAGTATAACACTCCTGAAACACAGATCCCAACATGTACAGTAGTCCTATATACACATAGTATAACACTCCTGAAACACAGATCCCAACATGTACAGTAGTCCTATATACACATAGTATAACACTCCTGAAACACAGATCCCAACATGTACAGTAGTCCTATATACACATAGTATAACACTCCTGAAACACAGATCCCAACATGTACAGTAGTCCTATATACACATAGTATAACACTCCTGAAACACAGATCCCAACATGTACAGTAGTCCTATATACACATAGTATAACACTCCTGAAACACAGATCCCAACATGTACAGTAGTCCTATATACACATAGTATAACACTCCTGAAACACAGATCCCAACATGTACAGTAGTCCTATATACACATAGTATAACACTCCTGAAACACAGATCCCAACATGTACAGTAGTCCTATATACACATAGTATAACACTCCTGAAACACAGATCCCAACATGTACAGTAGTCCTATATACACATAGTATAACACTCCTGAAACACAGATCCCAACATGTACAGTAGTCCTATATACACATAGTATAACACTCCTGAAACACAGATCCCAACATATACAGTAGTCCTATATACACATAGTATAACACTCCTGAAACAAAGATTCAAACATGTCCTATATACAAAAGCCTTGTCACACTATCCTGCAAAATTTTGTCATTATGAAGGGGGTTTGGTAATATAATAAAGGCAACATGAAAAAAATTCTTGAGAAAAAACACGAGAAATGGGATTTCAATATTAGAAACAAGTGAGATGGTAGAGAAAGATTTAACATAATATAAATTATATAATTAATTACAAATAAGTCCATCAAAAAGATCAAAATCTAAAAAAATAGCACACAAATCTAAATAGTAATAACTTGAGGTTCTTATATATATGCACTTCTTGCCAGATGAGAAAAACCTTGGATATGGTTTGGAAGCAGAAAGGCTATGGTGTATACGGAATCCCCTTAATTCTACTAAATCTTATACTTTTAATTTGTTAAATGTACTTTTTGTAGAAATAAATAAAGGTATGGGTACACCAATACATTAATAGGGCAACGAGATCCAACACCCGGTGGGTATAGTGGTCGGTGGATGTACCGGTGGAGGAACCTGAGGTGGACGCCGAAGTATGTAGAAGAGCTCCATCAAAGGAAGGTTAACACAAGAAGGTAAGTGATGGAGTGTCAACACCAAGGGTTCCCCTAACTGTAAGTTTTATTAGTTTAAATGTTTCAGCAACCGTCATCAGATCTGACGCTCCATCCCTTCCTACTTGTATGTACATACATATTATAAACATCTGTGGTTTTTTAGAATTCTGTTTTGGTAAAAATGCACTTAAATCTTATTTGAATTTGCCTGAATTTGTGTTCATTTCATCACGGACTACATACCTAGGTTGACGTCGTGACCCAAATAGGATCGCAGAGGTAGGGGTACGATGATGATGGTCGAATCAAAGTTGACGAAGTACACCATGAGAAGAGGAAGGGACGCCATGGTCGGTAGCCATAGCTTGTGACGCCACTTCAGGTTCAACACGTCGTCAGCGAATCCCAGGAATATCATACAACATATGGACAGCAGTGCCGCGATGTATTCGATGTACTGTAACATAACAATGGGTAAATATATATATCTCACACAACAGTGAAACTTCTAATTAGTTTCCATCTTTAAATTTAAAGTTGCTTTACATCAAGTAAAACTTCTACAAAGAACAGTATTTAAACCAAAATTTCGCTAAATGAATTTTGACAGTTTAATAAAGATTTCAGTATAATTAATTAATGGTGGCAGTTTTACTGTATAATGGTGACAATATAACTATAACACTGCATGTTTTACTGTATAAATGAATCAAGTCAGGGGTTTTCTTACTGGTAGCTATATATAGTGCTATCAAAAATTAAACCACGTTGTCCACGAGCTATGGGACAAGTACTCCTGAAAACGTATTTGCTAAGAGTTGAGATATACTGGTCTCAAACTATCATCATAAACATGTTTATTTCTTGAAATTAGTCTAGTATATAAAAAAAATCTTTCCTAAAAGTGTTATACAATTTTAAAGTGAACACAGGAGTGTACAATTTTGTATTAACAATAAAATAATAATTTTATATTAACCCTTTCACCACTGTAGACCATAATGGACTCATCCAGATCAATGCATGGTAGAGTCTACTAAAGTTACATAGGGGTGAAAGGGTTAATATTCCATTAAATTTGGTGTTTGAACATTGGCAGGCCACAGTATTACCTCATTGTGGGGGAACTTAGTAGAATGGTTGACAGCCAGATGTTTGTAGAATGGGAACGGGATGAAGAGAAACATGATGATGAGGAACACGGCTCCACACACCACACCTTGGGCTTCTGGGCTGAAAAATGATGGTGATCAGTGAATTACGGTACTTCTATAGTGGTGTTCCGATTAATCGACCAAGTCGAGCATCGATAAGTTAGGCGGCTAACAAACTGATTAATCAAGTACAAAATCCACGATTGATTTTAGTCGGAATTCTAATGTGTAGATATTATGGAGTGTACAGTAGACATCTTTCCCAGCTACTACGTAAAATTGTTGACATCACTGCATGACTTACTTTTAGCTCATGGCTGCTAGTTAGGACTATATATAACAGATTCAGTGTTTGAAGAGAGGTATTTCTTATATTATAAATAATTACATGGTATCACTTTTTTATTTGCCTAAGTGATTCGCAACAACAGCATAGAGGATTTCACTATGTATTTCTATAAAACGATTATTAATCGATCATCGGTTGGTTAATGGTAACCAATAATCGATCATAAAATGTCAACCGATTCCCCACACTAATTACTACCTTCAAATTCAATATCTTAACCATTTCCAGGTATCAGTCGTCTTTTACGAAAGCAAATTTTTGTGATACACAAACCTTGTTGACTTCCAGCAACCATGATAGGCCTACAGAATGTTCATTTCATAAATATGTTTGTAATGAATCATACTTGGATGCCAGGTTCTAATTGGAGAAATTTTAAACAGACTATTTGGTCAACAGGATAAATTACAGTCAGTAGGCCATTCAAGTTTTTCATGGTACCAGGCTATCAGTCTACCCGAAGTACCCGAAGCATGAACATTGACTTTATTATATAATTAGTCACTTATTTAGACAGAAGATCCTATATTTCTATGAAATGACTGTATAAGTAAAGAACATGATTTATATTGTTTTGGTTTTTTTCATTTGTGACTGAAGCTTGTTGACTTAGGCCAAACAAAAAAATAAATGTGTTTCCTGTACATGTTTCAAAAATTTAGGGTAAGTAGTAGGGCTGCAACGATACATCAACATGGCGAAACAAAACATACCTCAATACTGTGGTCACAATACGATAAGCATCGCAATATACAATAGTAATAGTAAAAGCAAAAAGAAAAGCTATGTTGCATATAGATCTAGTCCAAAATGTGCATGACTTTGAAGCTTTGACAAGTATGCTGAGCTGGAACTGTCAATCGCCATGTGGGAATGTATATAAGTGGACTAAATGTGAAAACAACAAAATCTGGAAAATATCGTAAATTAGTGTATCGCGACCTTCTAAAAAATATTGTGTATTGCACAATATTTAAAATATATGCATTGGGATATATCGTTGCAGCCCAAATAGTAGGTAGGTAGAGGGGATTTTGTATTTTTAAAAACGATTATATATGGTTTATATATGAGTGATCCTGCCTAGTGTTTCTTTGAAAATTGACAAAAAGTTTAGGGTAGGCACTCAAACTTAGGGTAATGTAACCGAAACCCAAAATATTTTCGCTTGGCCTTATGTTCCCTATCATTTTATGCATAAATAATTATCATGAAATGATTTTAAACATGCAGATTTTTTGTGCTATCATGCAAAATTGAAAATATACAAATTACTTTAAAAACTAATCAACTACTAGTAAAATAGGGGCAATATAAGGTTGCATAGGAAATATCTCATATCTACTACATAGAACTTATGCAGGGTTCTCCCCAGATTTGTTTTAAGCTGTGTATGTTTCTTTTTTAATGAACGTTCAAGACGGACACGCTCATAATTATAATACCTTATTAAATTTAAGGGGAGGGGGTGTAATATTATGTTTAAATAGATACTTTTCTTTACTGTAATTTTTTTTTATAAACTTTTGATGAACATTAAAACCAAAGAAATAAATATGTCCCTTTTCTAAAAAAAAAAAAAAAAAATTATAGAAAGGTGTATGAGTTTTGTATTAATTTATAATAGCTGTAATAAATGTTTGTTTTGTTAATCCTACAGCAGTTACTTCAATTAACCACCTATTGACCATGGACCTGGTGGTCATTGCTTTAGGCTCCAGTGAGCAAGCTTGCCAGACACCTGTGGGCTTGTCGTCCGGTCCCCCTGCCCACTAATTACAGGCCCCCTATGGCAATATACCTGACCAGTAAGGTAATTGCTGGACTTGGGTCAGCCTTGTGATTTAATCAGTGTCAATTTCTTCTGTAAAAAGACCCCCTTCAGTACAAGTAACAAGGTGAAATGGGTCAATTAAGCGGATACGACAGGGAGGATTTCAAACTGAAGCTGATACAAAGCCTTATCAGCTAACCTGGGGAGACCCCTGTTATGTACATACATGTATATATATATATTTACGGAGCTGTATCAGCTAACCTGGGGAGAACCCTGTTATGTACATACATGTATATATATATTTGCAGTATTTGACATTTTGAAACCTATACAGGTAGTGTCCTTTGTTTTCTGTAATTTGAGACTAAGCAAGTTATGAGAAGGGATACAAAAAAATTAGGCTAAAACAAAAATGTTTCAGGTTATACAATTACATCTCCAAGAAAGAAAATAATGGAATAATCCAAAGTGTAACATTTTTTAGACATAATTATATAAATGACATCTGTGCAAATGTTTTTTTGAAATTTAATTATTCTGTTAAGAGGACAAACCCTATCACTATGTTTTTTCTCCATTGACGACTGCATAGTTCTTTGATGCATCAAGTACAAATGTGAAAAGTACCTGAGCATGAAATGTTCTATGTTCCATTCAATACGTATGATACTGTTCATGGATATTTTCTTTCAAGAGATGAAGCCATCTAAATCATTTAGTTCAACAATTTTTCATGAATACCTCAATTCAATAACGGTAGTCAAGTATAAAATTAAATTTGCTGTATTTATCAAGTCGGGGAAAACCACTAACTTGCGTATAATACGCAAACTCACCTATTATACGCCACTTTGGGTATGGATTTGTTACTAAAAAAAGCCAAAATCACTTTAATCTTAACTTTTTCTAATTGTTTGTCCAAGTCGCATTTTAAATGCAAAAATAAACTTTATTTGCATGTGGGAAAGTACCAAAAATAGATGCAATACTTCCGGTAAAGTTACATCAAGTTTCTAAGTAGACAACGCTTTCAGTAAACATCTTTTAGCAAAATAATATTTACCTTATCGTAAATTAATGCGATTTTTGATAATATCTATCAAAAATTACTGTGAAATGTTAGACATGTCAATAAATCATTCTTAATGCCAAATTGTACCTCATTGTATCATTTATTAGATAACGTTGAAAGAATGACGCCTTGTTTATGTATATCGTTGAAAGACCTTTGTGTGTTTTATTTCACATTATTTCCCATTTAAGTAATGAAAATGTTACTGTAAACGGTTACTATTTAGTATAAGCAGGTCCAGTACACTCTGCCGATTGAGCTATATAGCTGTAAAGACCTATAATAGCTCTATTGACCTATCTGAAATAGGTCTTTTGAGCTATTTTCAAGTGATTTTCTTTTTTAAGGAAAACGGAACAAAGTCGCATTTAAAAGAAGATTGTATCATTAGGTTGATAACAAAAGACATTAAATATAAGTATTCTTTTTAAAAAAAAATGATGTAAAGAAATCGGAAATTTTACATTTATGAAAAATGAAAATAAACATCTAACTGTATGCTTTTTGTAGTCAACATTACCATTAACCTTATTGTTTTATGCGACTTTGCTTTAATTTAATGAAATTTGAAATCTGAGAAAATATAGCTCAATACAGCTATAATTTATAGGTGTATATAGCTATATAGGTCTTTATAGCTATATAGCTCAATCGGCAGAGTGTACTGGACCTGAGAAGTATAACCCGCATGCGGGGTTGTACCGAAACTGTTTATCAAGCTTTGAAATTTGAATACCCAAGAATGGGGGAAAGGTATGTTCTTAAGTAGACTGGTGAGGTTAAACGACATGCTGATGAAATACAACAGCTGGGGAGATACTAACATTTTCACACGCCCCGGTTTGCTCATGTCGATTCCGTAGAGGTTAGCAGCCACAAACATGTCTCTAAACTTTGGGATTATGTTCAACAAAAACAGGAAGCCCAAAACTGACATTCCTGTGTTGATCAAAAGGTGTGTCTGTGTACTACTAAGCTCCATTTTCGTAATTTGTTAAAATCTTATCTAAACCACAAGTGAAAATATTACTTTATCCGCCATGTCAGTTCTCGTGTGATTTCGACGTGATAAAGCGTTATCTGAAACAGTCACTTCCTGCAGTGACGACGGAGAGAAAGGTCGGCATTGATTGGATAATATTTTGAATTGGCTGTATTTCATTGGCTATCGTTTCAATCCCACCGAAGCTTATAAAAAGACCCGATTTCGCGCGAAGTTTCATTCTGATACTTCTGAACCCTACAAACAATACGTAACAAGCAGCTCAAGATGTCTGGACGAGGAAAAGGCGGAAAGACAAAATCCAAGGCCAAGAGCCGATCCAGCCGAGCGGGACTTCAATTCCCTGTTGGTAGAATCCACAGGCTTCTCCGAAAAGGAAACTACGCCGAGCGAGTTGGAGCAGGTGCTCCCGTCTATCTCGCTGCCGTTCTCGAATATTTGGCGGCCGAAGTCCTTGAATTAGCAGGAAACGCAGCCCGAGACAACAAGAAGTCTAGGATCATTCCCCGCCACCTTCAGCTGGCCATCAGGAATGACGAGGAGCTGAACAAACTGCTGTCCGGAGTGACGATCGCCCAGGGTGGTGTACTGCCCAACATTCAGGCTGTACTCTTGCCCAAGAAGACCGGAGCTACCAAGGGAAAATCTTCACAATCCCAGGAGTTCTAAATGGACTGAACTCCCCATAACAATCAACGGCCCTTTTCAGGGCCAACCAATCTACACGAAAAGTTCTCGAGACCACTCGAAATGCGCATACTTTGTCCTTTGCTGTATTGTACATCGGGTAAACGAAAGCTGTGTTTGGTAATGGACTTGCCGATTGAAAAGTGTATATGACGAACTTTTAAAATGAACGCCTATATCACTTCTGCACTAAATTGTGGCGACCCCCTAGTTTTAAACGTTTCATCACCGAAATAGAAAGTGGGTCAAGTGTCCTATATAATGACCTGTATAGCGTTTCTATGTAGTTATCATTTCTGATCCAATTAACTGACATTACTAGATTAGGTGTTTTAATGAACCATTTTTTTTAACACATACATTTGCAAATTAGCATATTGAGAAGATGTTGATACTGTTTAATGGTTCTAGTGTTCAAACCTAAAATGCACATATTTTGCTATTGTTTTTAATGAAAGCTCATTTCTGGCTAGAAATCTGAAGGTATGTTGATCTATCAAGAATGATGAATCATGGTTTCTATTGTTTAGATTGCTGGTCTTTATTTCATGTGGGTTGGAAACTAAAATGCGTCTCGGCCAGTACTTTCTGATAGTATAATGAATAAATCTGGCAAGATGGTTTATAAAGTTTGTGTAAACAGCTAACTGCAATTAATTGAATTGAATTGAACAGATGACTGATTGATACGGAATTGTAAACCCATGAAAGTATAAATTTAATATTTGTAATCAAACATCCAGGTTACTAGTTTTGAAAAATAAAGCAACTCTATAGGAAATCAGCCATTATGTACCAGTCGACATGTTCAAAGACATTTGGTAGGGTTGGAAAGGTACAGAATCGACTGGATTTGGGCACAATAATATGATGTGTATATACTAGATAACAGTAACGGTACATATCATATACAAGTGTTCAGCACCTGTGGACTTGGCTAGGTATTACTTTACAAATGGTACATTTAGATAAGCTAGATCAAAACATAAATGTTGCAGTTTTTCATTTAAAAGCTTTTTTTACGGTCATCCAGATATTATTTTTGTGATGTTTGAAAATGAACTGTGGTTTGTAACCACCCGTATGTGTCTCGTATAAGGTATTGATAATAATACTCGAGTATTAAGAAATAAACATAGTAGATATGTTGAATATGATTAGTAGAAGTAATCACATGTCCATTCCACATTATCTTATGTTGTGTAAACAAATAAAATTTGTGATACAATGTGAAATAAGAAATGATTATTTCTTTTAAGCACAGACTATGGGCCTTGCCCAAGGTCAGGATGTAGAACCGAAATTGCTGAACAAACGTTGATCATTAGTCTTGTCTTGGTGTCAAAAGTTTGATGGAAATTTTGTGATAAGGTCTCGAGTTTGTTAAGCAGCCCATTGACAACGATGTGGTAGGCACAGGGCGACCAAATAATGCCTAGAGCACAGGAAGTACAAACAATAGATATGTATAGTATACATGAGTATATTATCAGTAGCTTTAGTCCTCCAGGGTTATCCACATCCTAAAAATGACCTAAGCTGTTAATAGGATGTTATACAAAGAAAGAAAAAAACTCCAGGGTTCTTATAGTACAAACATTGCCAAGAATGTGTTAAGTTAAGTCATCGTGTAAAAATAGAGAACCACTTCCCCAGGCTTTCGATTATAGATCCTTGAGAGTATGTTTTCGACTCCTCCAAAACGAGCTTTGACTTGTGGGTTTTAAAGGACATGTCTATTTGACAAATATATTTTGACTTTCTAAATTCAGGAAAGTATCTATTGAAGGATGAAATTGTTAAACGTCAAAGATCAAAAGAAAACATTGGCCTCTATTCATATTCAATTTCATTATTTAGTTAGGAAGGATTTATGCCGCGATAATATAAAACTCGCGCAGATAATATGAACCATTATTACCTGAATTATACTTCTATTTGTTAATTATGCTAAGAATCGGTTTAAAGAGAACTAAAAATTAAAGTTAAAAATAGGATTTTCAGACTTGGATTGTGTTTATATACTAACTTGAGTTGGAGACCACTATAGAAAATTATAGCAAAGTAAGAAAAATCTAAAATTTTCATGAAAACTACATTATGATTTTCTTAACTCAATGTTGCGAGTATTGAACCTGGAATATGTTTATATACTTCTTTGAATCTCCATATTGAAAGTCATTGCCAAGTATTAATTATGGAATTTGTTATATTTTGTAATGAGACAAATATTAATAGTGTGTCGCGACTCGACACCAGTGTATAGTGATAGGCTGATGATTAATTAAAATCGAAAATCAATTTCAAAGATACCCTAACATAATCAATAGAATCTATTCAAATTCTGAACTGAATATTTTTTACAATGTAGTAGGATATATTGAAAGTCATTTATTTTACATACTTAATTATATATAATTGATGTCAAAACAATGTAAAATTGGCTTCAATTTTATCATTATAAAAGAAGGAAACAAAACGTGTATTGATTTAACAATAGTTTTGTAACTTTGAGTATTTAGTACCAAAAAATTATCAACTGAATATATAATTGATCGTCTACTAGTTCACTACCGACGGTTTCAAGTTGATCATCGATTATGATTGTAACCATCTGCCCATCACTACCAGTGTTGATATGCAATGCTGCTTCAAGAAAGATGTCCTGGAGTTGTTCCCTGTACCCTCCCCATCCCTATTAACCCTTTCAATACTGTAGACCATAATGGACTCATCCAGATCAATGCATGGAAGAGTCTACTAAAGTTACATAGGGGTGAAAGGGTTAAAGACGAGAAAAGAGACTGCCAACTGAAGAGAAAAGATTCATGTGCTTGCTTCACTGAAAGAGTTGTATCGCCAATGATATTCATTGAAACTTAACCCTTTCACCCCTATGAAACTTAAATTGACTATCGCAGGCATTGATCTTGACGAGTCCATTATGGTCTACAGTGGTGAAAGGGTTAAAAGACTAGATTTGTTGCATACAATAATGCTACATGTCTTGAATCTGTTTTCAAAACAATAACTTTTTCTACAATTTTTAACTATCCGACAACTGGTGGACCAAAAGGTATGTCACCATAACTACTTTTAATATTCGAGTTGACATTTTTCGTCTCAACTTTTTTTTTATCATTTTCTCCCACCTTTGACTGAAATTTCTCGTTTTACCAACTCAATGTTTCTCTTGTCGCCCCATAGGGTGTTGATTTTCTGTTGCCCCCTACATGGGTATGACATTGCAAGTAGATATAAATATTGTCGCCCCATAGGGTGTTGATATTCTGTTGCCCTCTACATGGGTGTGACATTGCAATGTAGATATAAATATTGTCGCCCCATAGGGTGTTGATATTCTGTTGCCCTCTACATGGGTATGAAATTGCAATGTAGATATAAACATTGGTCGCCCCATAGGGTGTTGATATTCTGTTGCCCTCTACATGGGTATGACATTGTAATGTAGATATAAATATTGTTGCCCCATAGGGTGTTGTTATTCTGTTGCCCTCTACATGGGTATGACCTTTCAATGTAGATATAAATATTGTCCCCCCATAGGGTGTTGTTATTCTGTTCCCCTCTACATGGGTATGACATTGCAATGTATATAAATATTGTCGCCCCATAGGGTGTTGTTATTCTGTTGCCCCCTAAATGGGTATGACATTGCAATGTAGAAAGAAACATTGTCGACCCATAGGGAGTTGATATTCTGTTGCCCTCTACATAGGTATGACATTGTAATGTAGATATAAATATTGTTGCCCCATAGGGTGCTGTTATTCTGTTGCCCTCTACATGGGTATGGCATTTCAATGTAGATATAAATATTGTCACCCCATAGGGTGTTGTTATTCTGTTGCCCCCTACATGGGTATGACATTGCAATGTAGAAAGAAACATTGTCGACCCATAGGGTGTTGATATTCTGTTGCCCTCTACATGGGTATGACATTGCAATGTAGATATAAATATTGTCGCCCCATAGGGTGTTGTTATTCTGTTGCCCTCTACATGGGTATGACATTGCAATGTAGAAAGAAACTGTACGACATCATGGGAACAACTGGATATGACATCGTAATCAGCGCTTGATATGAGAGGTATGGACTGGGTCGATTGTTGGCGTCCAGGTAGCTCAATTGGTAGAGCGTCCGTCTAGAGTTTGGAGGGTCTGGCCGTGAATTTTTCACTTCCTGCTACATAATTATATAATATAGGTTATGACAGTATAATTGAAATTCACAAAAAACAAATCTGAAGTAATCATTTATTTTGTCAGTTTATTTTTCGATTAGCACCAATATACATACCTCAGATAAAAAAAAACTCTCGCATGCAACAGACATTCAAATATGTGACAATTGAGACAAAGATCAATCAACTAGACTGATTTCTGCTTCTACAGCGAGAATAACTCAAACAAGTCTCCTTTTTTCAAGAATAAGGGTGACAGGATGACACTAGTATCTGTCATTACCTCCCCTTACATCAAAAATACTCATTAACTCACCTTTTTTGCATACTCACTGCCTCCCTTTACTTCATACTCGTTAACTCACCTTACTGCACACATCTTACAAACTCATCTTCAAATTTCGATTTTTCATTTGTATTTCAAAGTAGACAATGAACACAAATGGTGGAATAGGGCTGAAATCTACATGCAGCTGCTTGTAGAGGCTTCAAAAAACATTTCTTGGAGAGAATATCAACTTGATCATCAACAATAGCAAGACAAAAATGTGCAAAGAATATGGCAGAATTTTTCAACCCTCAAACTGAATAATTACTGTATAACATGTATCTATTAGTGTTAGTTCTGAGCATGGGTGTTCAATATCAAATAACAAAACTTCAACATCATCAGCGGTTGAAATCGGCACCAAAAAATAGGTTGTCTATTTACATTTTTTTCATGTTTTTAATTCTTATAAAAAACATCAATTTAAAAAAAAATCATTATAGCCAAAAAAAGTGATGAATTTGGATTGATTAACATCCATCTGAAACTTAGTAATTATTTCATTGTATTGTAGCAGTACTTGACTGGGCCGATAGCCGACGAGCAGCTAGCGTAATTGGTTAGAGTGTCTGTCTAGAGTTTGGAGGGTCCCTGGTTCGAACCCCGGTCTGGCCGTGCATTCTCTTTCCCCTGTTACATTTGGCGCACACCCCAGGTTCTAACTCACTGTCAATACAGGGACACCATTTGTTACACGAAAGAGAGTAGTGTGCTTCCACCAGGGATCGAAACCCGCGATCACATACTTCTTAGTCAGACGCTCTACCGCTGAGCTAAAGGGAGTCGGATATTCTACCACTGAGCTAAAGGGAAATTCAGTGGTAGAGTGTCCGAGGGTACGACTAGGACGCATGGGATCGCTGGTTCGATCCCCGGTGGAGGCACACTACTTTTCCTCTGACAGTATAATCAATAATTTTAAATTCAGTATCCTCTATGTTTTGAGTATACAGTTGAATACTTATTACATATAGAGCAGTTCTGAAAATAACATGGGTTCTTGGCATTATCTTCACTAGTCTTTACACTGACACCATGTCCGAGGCCGTTTTTGTTTGTAACGGTTAAACCGGTCGGACCACAGTTGTTCATTTATTAAATAAGGTTGGACCTAGTAATCTGATGCTACTTTCAGACGAGCCTAGACAAAGCCTTGCAAGGCCTGCGTAAACATTTGCAGGTCCTCCAGGATTAATATCCGAAATTGTTACATTTATAAATGGACATACCAGTTGTTCCCTGATGTTACCTGTCTTTTTCAACCAAAGAGCTTTAAGTCCATGACATATAGGTCTGAGGGTACAGAAATTCTGCCTACCTAGGTATTAAAACCTGGAATCGGAACTAAGGTTTGTCTCTATGTCGTTATGGGGAATACAGGAATTCTAACAAGAGGCCAAGAGGGCCTGTATCCTCACCTGGATATTTGATCAAGTAAGGCAATATATATACAATCAGAACTAAGGTTCATCTCTATGTAGGTATGGGGAATATGGCATTCTACATACCGGAAATTATAGAGTTTGAAATCAGAACTACAGTTTGTCTCCATGTAGGTATGGGGAATACAGGAATTCTAACAAAAGGCCAAGAGGGCCTGTATCCCTCACCTGGATATTTGAGCCAGTAAGGCAACATATACAATCGGAACTAAGGTTCATCTCTATGTAGGTATGGGGAATATGGCATCCTACATACCGGAAATTTTAGAGTTTGAAATCAGAACTACAGTTTGTCTCCATGTAGGTACGGAGAATTCTACATACCATAGAATATACAATTAGGAATCACAACCACAAATTCTCTCCGAATGTACTGAGATGGATATTCTACCTATTTAGGATATAGAGTTCGAAATCAGGACCAAGGCTGACAAACATATAGGTAAATTGAATACAGAAATTCTACCTACAAGGAGGTTACAAATTCACAAGCAGGAATAGGTATTCCACATGTATTGCATTGGTAGAGAAAGAATTATTTTCTCCCTATATTTACCATTAACAAATCTGAGAATTGTGAGAGAAATTTCACTGTATAAGAAAATTGCAGGAGAAATTTCCGTTTATCAATAGTAGACCTGGGATAAGTACATTTACAATAGTTCTGATTCTGAAGACAACAAATGTATCATTTTTGTTTCTGATTTTTGTGATATATCGGTTTGGTCCCCCCCCCCCCCAAACCCAAACCC